ACCGCAATAGGCTAACGACTAGGAACATTGGAGAATGTCGTTTTCACAAATGACATATACAGTGGTAGGAGGGGATGGTTGCTCGCTATTGCCATGCTATATGGCACAAACTTTATACTTCTCTCTTGAAAAGTAGTCATTTTGAAGATGTGTTGAAGTTTAAAAAGTTGTTATTACATCAAGGATGCAATGTCGCCTACTATGTGATCCTTATTTCATAAGGCTGATGTTATTACCGGGGATCGGAATAGGTACAGTTTTTTTACCTAAACTTCGAAGAACATAGACAGAAAATGGAGACTGCCTTACGACAATATTTTTTAAGTCCCAGGACCTTTTCAAGATTGGGGAAATCACTTAAGAACATTAAAAATTGACGTAATGGGGGACAGGCAGGTACACTATATTTATCTTAACTTTGCGACGCACAGTGGGTCGGATCTGCGATATTGCGAACATTGGATTTTTTCACAATACCTCTCTAAAAAATGCCAAGCAATGTCATTTAATCGACGCAAACACGAATTTCTCCATTAGGTTTAGGCACAAGAACTACGGGAGCGGCCCATGGTGATGAACATGGTTCGATCACTCCTATTTTCAACATCTTATCTATCTCTTGCTTAAGGATGTTCTTGGAATTCGCCGAAAGTCTATAAGGAGGCACTGATATAGGACGATCAGTGTTAGTTATAATTACATGCTCACCTAAGAGGGAAGGTTTATATATGGTAGTAAAAACGTCGTCATACTTATCAAGCAGTTTATTTAGTTTAGACACTTCTTCCACACTCAATAATGATGGTGTGACGTCGATGGAATCAATGTTAATATTTATTTGATCCGGGAATATTTGCTGAGAGTGTGGAGACAAGCTACTTTCAGCTTCTCTTACGTTCATTTCGGCGTCTTTCATAATGAAGTCGCAGAAGCGGGGTGAGTACCCATCAAACAATGGTTTTGACTTCTTAGTCGGAGTCTGCGCAATCGGGATGAGTTTAACGCGACATTGAAGCGCTTTCTTCCGGTATTGCAGCCTCTTTAGGCGTTGTAAGTCGTTTTGGTCTTACAGCTGGTTTACTTTGTGTTTTCATAGGTAAATGCGGCACTGCAGTCGAAGAGATGTGGACTTCCGGAAACGTGGCAAAATCCTCATTAAATAATTCAAAGGTACGAATGTTGTTTTAATTACCCGGTGTTCTAAGGTAACCGGTACTCTAGTTTACAGGACTTCTCGAGTTTTGCTGATTCCGTCTGCCCACGTAAGATTGACGACCTCCTTGTGGAATGCATGACCCTTGGCTAATAGCTGACTTTTTTCTACTAAACTATTATATTTATGGCAAAATATGATATGACAATATTTAATTAGGACAATAGGATCCTCGACCTCGAAAAAAGTCCAATGTTCGCAATGTCGCAGATCCGACCCACTGTGCGTCGCAAAGTTAAGATAAATATAGTGTACCTGCCTGTTCCCAATTACGTCAATTTTTAATGTTCTTAAGTGATTTGCCCAATCCCCAAAAGCTCCTGGGACCTAAAAAATTTTGTCGTTAGGCAGTCTCCATTTTCTGTATACGTTCCGCGAAGTTTAGGTAAAAATCATTTTAGAAATTGGTTGTCTACAACACCATGGATTTAACTCGTGAAAATTTTCGTAGTATGATTTTCTACGACTTTAAGTGTAATTTAACAGCTCAGCGGAGCTTCGCTCGGCTTCAAACTGCTTTTGGCGATGAAGCACCATGCAAGATGACTATTTATAGCTGGTTTGCAGAATTCAAACGCGGTCGTGTGAATCTAAGTGACGACTTTAGTGATGATCGCCCGTCCACTGCTCTGAACAACAAAAACATCGATGCTGTGCGCCGTATAATCAAAACAGACAGGCATGTAACATACCATGAGATTCAGGCATCTTTAGGCATAGGCATGAGTCAAATATTACACAAACATTTGGGTGTGAAAAAGCTGTGCTCTCGGTGAATCCCACACAATTTGACTGAGGCTCAAAAAACGGATCGCGTCACTTGGTGCAATGCCATGCTTACCAGATTCAATGAAGGGGCGTCAAATTTGGTGCGAGACATAGTAACAGGTGATGAAACATGGATTTATAGTTACGATCCCAAAACAAAGCAGCAATCGAGTGTATGGGTCTTTCAAGATGAGCCGAAACCCACCAAATTGGGGCGCGTGCAAAGTACCTCCAAGCGGATGATTGCTCCTTTTTTTAATAAAACTGGACACGTGGCTTGGAGAATCGTTGTACCGTGAATAATGATTGGTACACGACCATTTGTTTGCCGGAAATTATTAACAAATTCCGTAAAAATAACCGTAAACACCGTATCATCTTGCACCACGATATCGATAGTGCCAGTTCTCACACGGCCAGACAGACAAATGAATTTTTGAAGGTGAACTACGACCTTGTGACTTTTATTTATTTACAAAAATTAAGAACCAGTTACGCAGTCAACGATTTTCATCGCCTGAAGAGGCTGTCGAAGAATATGAAAAATATGTTTCAGAGATTGTCACGGAGGAGTGGCATAAATGTTTTCAAAATTGGTTCATTCGTATGAAAAAGTGCATTAACGCTAACGGAGAATATTTTGAGAAACAATAAATTCATTTCTGACCATTTACAGTATTTTTTTCTTATTAATTCCGGAAAGTTATGTAGTGCGCCACACGTATTCTCAAAAGCTTTGTAATAAATATTAACGTGTAATAGTGTGCCTTATTCCAGCAAAAAATATACAGTTATTTTCCCTTAATGGTAAATCCTAATGGATTAAATCGATTGTCATGATATTTATTAGTGTATGTATGTCGTGTTGGGCTCCTGGCTTACACGAGACGAACGAGTCGCGTGGACTACAGTCGTGTATGACAATTATACACACCGACAATTTATACAATTGACATGACAATTATATACACCGTCCAAATATTTATTTAACTTTTGATTTATGCATGCCTCCGAAGTTCGATAATAATTGACAAACAACCATAGACAAAACAATGCAATACTTCCTTCCTGGACTCTTTTATTTTTTAAGTTTAGTGAAGCGACATGCTCTTTAGCTCTGATATTTATCGAGCTAACAGATTATGTAACGAATATTATTCAAGTTGACAAATTTTGGTACCTGTCTAATAAATTATAATGAAATAAATTATAAATATTTATATAATAAATTTTTATTGTTTATTATAATGAGTCGTCGGATTCTTCTCCATATGAACGGGAATTATCACTTGAATCCTCATTAACATTAATAATAAATTCTTGAGTACACAAATTATCAAATGCAACATCACGATCCCAATCAGGAAATGTCTTTTTTTTATCCCGCTCACATTCACAATTTAAGCTTCTTCATAAATAAAATCAATTGTTATAAAAAATCTAATCAGAACATCTTAGGACATCACTAATTGACTAGAATTCGAGCTGCCAAAAGTTAAATAAATAGTTGGACGGAGTATAGATATACATTTTTCATTATGTGTACGATTTTTCTATGTAAATGGTACCTATCAATGAAAATAATTGAATATCCAATATCTTCTAAAAAAAGGAGCGACTAATTCTAAAATTTTGCAACTAGAACTGACTAATTCAAAACCTTTTCTGGGTCAATCTAAGCTAGAAGCTGTGGTTCTAGAGATTCAAAAATGGTGCCGCCGAATAGGCTTATCGATCAGTGTGACGCTTAGCATTAACAGTAAAACACGTTAATAACTTCAAACCAGCGTAATGACTAAATGTAGTTTTTTACTATTAGAACCGACAAAATCACGACTTTTTTAGTGTAATCAAATCTAAGTTAGGTGTTGTGGTGCTCAAAATTGAGAAGTGGTGCCTCTGGAAGAAGCTTATTCCAGCATGGATAGGAAAACACCCTTATAACTTTTGTACGGCAAACCGACCAAATCTAGTTTTTTGCGACTAGAACTGACTAAATAGAGACTTTTTTGTGGCTAGTCAAATTTTCGAAACTCGACCATGGTCATGCTGGAATAAGGTACATCATGCAGTGCTTAACACTTACTTATGCTGATCCAACAATGCAGTAAAGTTAACATTTGTAATGCTGTTGACACAGGTAAGAATAAAATAACCTTTGACAAGAGCTGCAGCATCAATTTCCCTCATTACATCACCCATGGTCTGACAAGTGTCTGACGACAGTACCTGCACTTCCATTGTCAGACTCCATGGAGCTTTATTATCAATGCCTTTTCTGTAAGGAAATAAAAGTTAAGGGAATACAAAATAAAGGCAGTCAAGTTTATAAATTTTTTCAGAAGAAAAATTATTGTACAAATAGTTAATAAAGCAGTATTATCAAAATGTACAATTACCCACCAATTCCTAACCTCGTAGACTAAGCATTTAGGTAAACAGATTTGTAACACAATACAATAGGTTTGTAACGTCTACAATTATGTAAAACTAATGCTTTGGAAAGGTGCAAGAACACAATATGTATCTTGAAAAGGGATTGCTCAATCAATCAAACTATTGACTGTAGAAAAAAATCTATTGGATAATATAAAAACGATTACAATGAACAAACTTATTTTTTTATTATTTATTTATTGAGCCATCAGCTTAAATAGGTAAGAAATAATTAAGAAACTCAAAACATGTTACCCATTACTTTAAGTAAAAATTTAATTTGTGTAAAAAAGGCTCTAGTTGAGCCATGGATTAGGGCCGTAACCATGGATTTTCTTCGAAAAAGCAATTTTTTCACTTACTTTATGTGTTCTTTGATCTTGGAACTGTCCTGGCAACAAAACAGAATAGTTTCTCCTACACCTCCCAAAGCCAACGCCTCCAATACATAATCTAAAAGCGGAACTCCCGCTACGTTAAATAATCCCTGAAAATGCAATAATTATTTGTGTATCAAATTTTGTTAGAACAAAAAGAAATTTCTTTACACGTAACACTTACCATCGGTTTTGTTTTATTTATAGGCGAGAAGTTACTATTGAATGTGTCCATAATAACAACTGCTTGCACCACATTTTCTTTATTTATTTCCATCGTTTTAAATAATAAAAAACACCTTCATTTATCTAAAAAAAATAGGTTATTTCTATTTCTACAACTCCGCATAAACCACGCATAAACGTCAGAACAGAAGTAAAAAAAAAACGTCATAACGTTCGTCCGTTTTTTTTATTAATAATTTTGGCTTGGATATAAGTCCTTTGAGCCATGTCTTCTTTTAATTATGTTTCTGTAAATATGGCCGCCACAAAGAGAATAGGCAAATTGAGGCTGCGTGCTTGGATTGACTCGGGATTCCTTAAAACGGGCCGATACGGGTACTTTAGTTCGAGATTCGTATAATTTCGCGTTTTAATCTTCGATTAAGGCACAATAGGACTATCTTATTCCAATTTAAACTAGTTTAAACTTTTTCACAAAATAAATGAAAGTCAAAATAAAAACGACACTTCCCTCCAAAAGGTCCAGAACGAATCCCGTCCGTCCGTTTGGTCCCTGTAGGGTTTGGTCTGAGGTCATACCTTATTTTTTATTTACTTATGAGCATTGGCTACAGAAGCATCTAATTTTGTTAAGACACTTTAAACGAAATGTAGGTATTTAAAATAAAAAAAATATTCGTGTAATAAATGTAACTACAAAACCCCGCCATTTTTGTCATAACTTATTTTATTACTTATTTATTATTACACAGATAGAATAACTTCCTTAATTAAATTGTAAATTAGTGTATTTTAGTATTGTATCACTTCTACATAAGAGACTTCTGCGTAGTATATTTTATTGCTTTTAGGTACATGCTAAATATTTACACCCTTTATACCTATTTAAATTGATAATGAAACAGAAAAATTACGATTTTACTACCCGTGTCCACCTTTTGTTTGATTAACGTTATGCAAAGCATTGTTAGTAATTCTTGGTCTGTCTTGTTAACTGTTTTAATGAACATAATAAAAACCAAAACAGATTTGTTGTAGAAACAGTTACTAAGGCGCTATTGATTGTCTGCGAGTCAGGTTTTATAGTCAGGTAGTTTCGTGCTTACGCTATATTGGTAGAGGTGACGAATAAATAATGGATTACGATTTATCCCGAATCGATTATACTATTTGTGGAATAACATATCCAGACACTTTAAAGATTTTACCACTCGCTTGTCCAAAACTTCAACAAAAAGTAGGTACCTACATAAAACTACGCTTGAAGTGAAAAGTGTACTTAAATTAGCTTAAATCTTTATTGATTAGTTCGTAGTTGGTGACAAAAACGGAGTATTGCAATGCCTCAGCATAAAGGACGAAGAGCCTGTGGTGCAGTTCAAAACTTTGCCTGGGAAACCTATAACTTCCGTTCAGTTAGCTTCAACAATCGGTAATTAATAGCCCTGCCTATACTATTTATAGAATCAAAGGACTTCTTTACTAACGATGAAGTTAATTTACACTCCTTAAGTTTGCTAAAATTCTATTTTCAGATTCGCCAGCTGATAAAATATTCGCGGCTTCTGGAAGTGAGGTGAAAGGCTATACGAGGAAGGGAAAAGTATTCCTAACTATCGAAACTTCACTATCAGATACTATAACATCTATGTATTACAACCAAAGTTAATTGATAATAGATAGAAAATTAATTTCCAAATAAGAATATCGGATTATTTTTTCATTACATTACAGGTGTATTTTGGGAGCTGATCTCATACTTTGCAGCGGACGCACTGTTACCTGCTACAGGGATCTCAATGAATTTTATTCATATGCGTGCGAAGATAGAGTACTCGATATCGCTGCATTTGCTACACCAAATGTTAGTAAAAATGGTAAATGTAGGTACGACTTGTAGTTTCGTGGATTTATCTTTTTTTTTTAACATAAATCTGCGAAACTACAGAACAATTGTAATACACGAATAAGATTTCTTCCTTGTTGATTCCTCATTATAGAGCACTCGAGTGCGGTTGCTAGTACTGATTGCCAACAAAGGTGCTACTCTCTTCGAAGGTGGTCAGGTGCTAACGCGAGCAGCAATATCTGCAGGCCCCTCTCGCCTTGCTGTACCTCTTTCACATCACTTATCTGGTATTAGCGCATTTTATGGCGCTGCTGATGGCTCTATAGGACTTATAACATATGAAGAGTACGTAAATTATTTAGTGTAACAAGATAACACTTATATTTTATACAATAATTTCCTTATCAGACAAGTTCTCAACTGTTTATGTTTGCAGATCGCGATTATCAAGCAAATGTCTTGTGGAAGGCCGAGAACTTGGATCAGTTGTGTGTGTTGGTTGGTTTGTGGGAAACGGAGGTACTCATTTAGCAGTTGGTCGTCATGATGGCTCAATTCAGCTTTACCTAATAGATTTGGAAAATATTGCCAAGAAGCCACGATTGAAGTTTACTTACGTTAGTCAGTTGGTCATACAGCTAAAACCCTTTTGAATAATAGCTAGAAATATTTTAGTTCCGTAATAAACTCAATATTTACAGTTTTCCGGGGAACCAGTAACATCTATTGATGGAGGATGCGTAGGAACTGAAGAATGCGAGTTACTAGTAACAACATTTTCTGGAAGAATTTTTGCATTGAGATCCCGTCGGTTAGTCTCAGGGGCTGTAGCTTTAGCTAATGTACCTCAAGATGCCTTAACTGCACGTCGAGCTAAACTTGAGTATGACCACTTTTCCAGTGAAGATTTTTTACACTGACGTACCTACTTACGTATCACCTATTGTTAAAATCTTGTAGAACTGAAGTAGCACGACTCGAAAAGCAAACTGCAAATGAACGTGAGAAATATCAGCGTAGTACCCGATCTTTGCAAGCTGTTTTATCAACCCCGCCATTACTGGACATTCAGTACGAGGTAAAATCATATTTTGCTAAGATCGTAGTTCGTGTATGACTAAGACATTTCTTGTTTTCAGTTATCCGGAGCTTCTCACGACGGATGGCAAGAAGCAAGGATCATATCAGCTGTCCCGTTAGACATGCTCTTCATTTATTGCGATAAAAAACTTGACATTCAAACAGATAATTCGGCTGTTCTTAGCATATGTCCTTCACAGGTTAAATTTTCTTTAAACATAGGTATTCACGTTGTGAATTACCTAAATTCATATTTCGATACACTTCTAAAATTAAAGTTTCCTATAGGGAACAGCTGCCGACCTACTTGCAACGGTAAGATGTCAAGCCGGTACTAGAAGACTTTGGGTACGTATGTGCTACGTACTAGATTCATCAATTGGAAAGAGAGCTACATCTTTGCGAGTGCTTATCTATGCTTTGCCTGCTGGAGCTCCAAGAGTTGCACGACTTCTTACTTTACGATTGCCGGCGTTGCCGTACTACTCCCTACACGAGGACATTGACTGCGATAATGAAAAAAGGTAAATCTTAATAATATACTTAGGAATATCAGAAGAAAATGTAGGTACGTTTAATTAAACAATAAAAAAATTTAATACCTATACTTAATTACAGATCATGGTGTCAAATTCGGGTGTCAGGAAGCTTTTCCGTTGCTGAATTAACTTCTTGGCTTACGGAAGCCTTACCAGGCGATTTACCACGACCAGCGTCAAATGTGACGTTTGTTCGACGTCATACACTACTTGGGACCATTATCATTTGTCGTTATCAGTAAGGAAATTAATGTCGAAATGTTTTAAGTGCATCGAAATCACACTGTACTGACACTTTGTAAAATTAAATTTCAGACGAGGTTCAGCAGTTTTAAAAACAGATAATATATCAACCGCAGCAGTAATTAAGGATATTGTGTCTAACTGCTCAGTGAAAAAAAGCATACGAGTAGAAATCAGTTGTGGTTAGTAGTTGAATTACTAATAATAGGTAGTTGAATTACTAATAATAGGAAAATGGATTAGTAACGGAACCTGAATTGTATAAGTGTATTACTTATTATTACAGATATACCTGATGATTGTTGCTTAAAATCATTTCAAAGAATACAAGAGCAGTTTATATTGCAACACAAAAAATATGAAGACACTACTTTAGAAAAAGCATTAAGGTAGGTGCTATCCTATTTTAAGATAAAACCAAATATAATATTCAAAAGTTTGTTTGAAATAAACTGAGTTCAAAAATATCGGTATTTCTAGCGCTTTAAATTTGGATGTAAACACGATGGATGAAGAAAATTCAACACTTTGCCACGATTATCTGCGTGTATGGGCAGCAAAAACGGACGACATGGCGGAAACGTACTTTAATGAACTAGTCGGTACGTAGGTATAACTGGCGCCCAGCACGGGATCTCGCTTCTTGAATGTGTTTCAACTATAATATTACTCAAAATGATGTATATTTCACGATTCTTTATTTAGCTCTCAACATTTCTTTACAGATACTGTAGAGCACTGGTACATGGACTGGTGCGACTTGTCTCTACATAGAAGTAAACAAATTAATGAAGGTTTGCAACTACGAGAAGCTTTACGACATTGCCGTTTGGAGACAGTGTATAAAATACTTGCTAATGAACCGCTATCACCACAAGAATATTATTAAAAATCTAATTATGTTATAAATCTTTAGATAAAAAATAAAAGCATGAACTAATTGTTGAAATTGTTATAAACATCACTAATAAAATGTAACTAAACATGTGCTCTCGGTTTATACGACCATGGATAGTTTTTCGCGAGTTGCAAATCATAATAATATAGAGCAAGTTCACTGTCACAAAGCTTTGCTAGTTTTGTCACATGGTGAGACATTTCATTCACAGAGCGCATTTGTTCATCCATAAATACTGAAGTTACAAAATCTGCACAATGGTAATCTTTTACAGATTCTGCAGTTATGATGAGATTTTCTAGAACCTAGGGACAAGCAAATTATTGATATTATTTTGATAAATAATTATTACCTCCTACTGAATATCACTTGTCATTGTAGGTACCTCAGTAATATTTTTTTCCATATCCAGGCCTTTCTTGAATGCTTCTATTAATGTAAGATTTGTTTTTATTTCTGGTGTTTTTATTCCATCTATGACAGTTGTGCCTCCCCTTAATAATTGATACTGAATGAAGTCTTGCATATGCCCAATTTCTTCTTCATACATTCTCATAAAATACCCGCCAGCACCAGGTTTTGAGATACATGGGTGCAGGAAAATTACTGCCATGCTTAAGTAATCTTGTGATGCTTGTTGTTCTGCTTGAATTTGTTTATTTACTGCAGCTTCTACTTGGGCTGTGAACTTATACTTGCTGTAGTACTTTTTATTTATGCCTGAAGTTAACTCACAGTTCAACAAAAACCTATTTTTATTTACAAATGAAAAAAATTGTCTGTTAGCTATTTGTAGTGATTTTTTCCGTTCAATTTGTTTTAGGTTTTTATGAACAATGTGGGCATTTTTAGTACTAGTTTTCAACATAGTGCAATTCACATGAACATGTTTGGTTTTGCAGTAGGTTGATTATAAATACTTACTTTAGAATTTCAAATAACATTGTTTTATAAAAACTATGAAAAACTAGTATAAACAGATGTGTCAAAAAATTGACATTAAAAAAAGTAATAATATTTTTTAGCCACTAAATTAAAAAAAATATCATTATCTTTTTGCTTAGAGGATCATAGAGGATGGAAAAAAAGAATTCCGTAAGACCTTTTGTCATAGCATATTTAACATTAAAGCCGCTTTCAGACTACGCTATAATATAATAGCATATAGTATAGTCAAGAAGGACCTAATGCTATACTATATAGCAAGGCGTTCACATTACGCGATAATCGCAAGCATCTAAAGCAAGCTCAGTTGACCGCGATCTTTGAACAGTATGCACAGTTGCACAGCACACAATCATCACTATCAACACAATGGATTTAATACTGGATAGTCTTGAAAGCTCATCGAGCGATGATGACAATGCGGAATTTGACACTATCTTGTCATTAATGCTACGAAAGAAGAAAAATGCCAGACCTTGGATATCACATCATATAAAGTTCAGAGGAGAACGCGAACGTGGTGATTTCAAACTTTTTGAAGATTTATGTGATGAGGATCGTTTTCAAAATTACTATAGGATGTCCAGGCAGCATTTTTATCAACTCCATTCATTGATAAAAAACGATATAACAAAGCAAAATACACTACTGCGAGATAGCATTACTTCTATGGAGCGATTAGCGGTGACTTTAAGGTAAGTAATACCATCTCAATTTAATATTCATTTATTCATAAAAATAAACATCGTCATTACAATTCAACGATAATTTACATCAAAATAAAAAAAAATCAAATATAGGGTGTAACCGAAACGGGGTATACATCAGAAGCGAAGTCAAAAAATATATTCGAAAAAACATTTTTAAGACTCCAGTCTCCATACAAAATTTAGGCGGAAAGTTCAAATTTGGAAATTTTCGTAAGTGTTGATGCTAGATATGTAGCTTCTTAAGTCATTGTTTTCAGAATTATCAATGTCTCCAGAAGTATTAAGGCTTCTAGAATTGTTAGTTACTTCTGTGTTTTCTAAATTTGTGGAGTTATCAGAAGTTACCAGAATTGGCATATACAAAGTTTCATTTGAGTCAAGTGCTGGATTATTCGGCGAATTATTCTGCAAAGGTGAATCGGAATATACTGTATTGTTCTGTAACTGAATGTCTGAATATGATGACATCGATGAATGAGAACGGTTTGGAGATGGTGTATTGATGGGGGACATTTGTGTCGGAACCCGAAACGGTACATTACTCGAAATTATTATATTAGATGTAGAGGTACTACAATTTGGCTGTTGCTCCCTGCTATGATTTTCACGTGCCTTCATCACGATATTGAAAATTTGTCGTTGAATTTTTAGTTGAGTATATTCCGGTAACACTTTACAAGTTTCATACATTGTATCGAAAAAACTTTTCAACTGCACAGAATCATTTTGTTGGCGTTGTCCCAACACATTTCTTCTTAGATCGTCTCTGGCCTTTGATCTATTCTCTCTGCGTTGGCTTTCATCGTGTAGGAACTGAACAATAGGATCAGAATTTTTTCGTTTCCTTTCTGCATACACCGGTGGTGATTGCCCTTCAGAGATACTGTTATTAATGTTTTGTGTTACCTCAGTGGCATTATTTTCAAATTCTTGTTGAAGGCTACTTTCTGAGTCATCTTGACAATTGTTTTCCTGAATAACAGCATTTGTGCTTCTTGGTCGATTTGACATGTATGGAAGAATGAATTCCATAATTTTCTCGTACTTCCAAGGATTTATTGAAGTCGCAGCTTGCCCTGTTGTACATTTTTTCTGAGTGCTTGTCTGTATCCATCTCTTAATTTTTTCCACAAGTTCTTTGCTTCTTTGACTGAAACATAATTGTTAATTATATTAATTTTTTTTTCAGGTATTTGGCAGCAGGTGACTCTTTTACATCTATGGGATATAGCTACAGAATGGGAATAAGTACAATATCTGGTATTGTTGAAGAAGTTTGCAACGCTATATACACCCATCTTCGACCATTGGTGTTAAGAGAGCCAACTACAGAGGACTGGAAAAATATTGCTGCTGATTTTAAAAATAAAACCCAATTTGATCATTGCATAGGTGCAATTGATGGAAAGCACGTTGTAATACAAGCACCTCCAAACTCTGGTACCGATTTTTACAATTACAAAAAAACATTTTCAATTGTCTTATTGGCGGTGGCTGATGCAAACAACAGATTACTTTATATTGATGTTGGGTCTATGGGTCGTTTTAGTGATGGCGGAATTTTAAATGACAGTATTATTGGTAAAAAATTAAGAACTGACCAATTACATTTACCTCCCGATGAGCCACTTTATAATGGAGGCCCAGAAATACCGTACGTTCTTGTGGGGGATGAAACTTTCCCTCTTGAAAGACATATAATGCGTGCTTACCCAAAAAATAAATTAACCGATTCAAGAAGAATTTTTAATTACCGGTTGTCAAGGGCACGCCAAGTAATAGAACACACATTTGGATTATTGGCAACTAAATGGAGAGTATATAGGCGTCCTTTTGAGTGCCGTGTTCAACTTGTTGACATAATTGTTAAAGCCACGTGCGTGTTACATAATTTTCTTATTGAAAACAAATACTATAACAGCACTACCAGAGAGCCACTAAATACCAACCAACTAATACCTTTAACTCACTGCGGTTTCACATATTCCAATGAAAATTTTTTCATCAGGGAAGAATTTTGCCGATATTTTAATACTACTGGAGAAGTCTCATGGCAAAACACACGCATACAGGATCAATTATCTCGTATGCAAAATAACTAAGTAGTTTTAAATAAAATATTTACTTACTGTCGGGTAGATCACAATCTTGTTTTACTTTTCTCCACGCTGCATCCTTCAATTCATTATTTTTGTACTGTTCTATTGTAGTGTTCCACAGGCACGGATATTTTCTTACACTCTCTATAAAGTGTTCCATAATGTAATCCTAGATCGATAATAGAGAAAAACTACGACAAAAACAATTATATGGCGCCAGTGCAAATTCGTCGGCACAGGATCGTGTCTAGACGTGTTGTGTAGCAGAGCAGAAACAAAACTGCTGACGGCAGGGGTGAGGAAGGAGGAAAAGGGCGGCGAGAGATATAGCACAGCACGAACATCGCATCAATTTATAGCGTATAGTAAGCTAATAACATATAGTACAGTACAGTGTGAACGTGTTCATAACAATGTATGGTATGCGATATTGTTGTGCTATGAGCTATATACTATATGCTATTATATTATAGCGTAGTCTGAAAGCGGCTTAACGGTGAGGGCATTTCCTCAAAAAGTTTGTTATAAAGCTATAAATTAAAATATAAAATATAAGCTATAAAATAAGAAATTCTGTCAATAGTAAAAGGAAATTATTATTTAAACAAAATGTTTATATATCTTATATCGATAATTTGAAATTCTATTAATAATAAAAGGAAAACATAATATAAAAAAATATTTAAATATCTACATTGTTTATAAAATATTTATTTTAAAACAAACATGTCAAATATTCTAGGGCTAGCAGTAGAGGACTATAATATAGCCCTTGCTGATATTGTACCTATGTTCTTAATATATATTACTTAATAAAGCTCCCATCACAGGACCACATACAATCATTAGAGAGACACTGTTTCCCTAACAATTTTGATACCACAGCATTATAAAGCTGTGCAGTGTGTCTAAAGTGCAATAGTTTTCATCCACTATTTAAAAAAATGTTTACCCAAATCATTTCTAATACACATGTCAGTTGCACCATATGGTCCCGTTTTCCATAATGAAACTGATCTTTGTAAGTAATGAATTAATTTTATAAAAGCCAAATACTATATACCATAACACAATATTATTTAAGTCTTGTTTTGGCATTGTTGAAAGGGTAATGTAATAATTTAATTACAAATTTTAAAGTGTAGGGAAGTTAATGGAACTGGGAGATTTTTTTTATATCAAGTGACGAAACGAACAAGTTGCGCAACTATTGGTAATCTACATGCCTGTCCAAAACAGTTGCAGTGCAACACAGAGCTTTAAATAGCAAAGATCTGAGCGGCACTGCCACTGTACCCGTCACCCTGAGATATAAGTTGACAAGTTCTATATGCCTGTAATTTCACCAGCACCCTTATCCTTCAAAACCGGAATGCAGTAATGCTAACATTACTGGCCGGCGGCAGAAATAGGTAAGGTGGCAGTACTTCCCTAGACAAACTTTTACAAGCAGCTCTACTGCTACTAATTTTTGGTTATGCTCATGAATAAAAGAATGCATTTAATTAAGCATAATTTAATCAACTAGTTTTATAAAAATTCTAACTATTATATAGAATTATGTCAACCATTTACGGATGATTACTATTTCTGGAAAGGATAATAGTCTAAACCAGAATTATATTTGAACTTATATGTGAACCTATTGACTTGCGTCTTTCCGATCTCTATCATCTTTTGAACTTCGTCGCGGTAAGCGGGCGGCAAAAGTTCAGATTCCAGGGTGCAAATATGGTTACTTTCCTCTTTCACTTTGAATACTCGCTGTCTGATAATATCCACATCTCTACTGTATTCTTCTTTCAAATCGGCAACGGTTTGAGTTGCTGTATCGATCTTGAACATGAAATAATTAGCTTCTCGATGTACTAGGTTGTGAGCACTGGTTTTGTAAGGCATTGGCCTGAATCCCAAGTTTTCTATATTCCTTATAATTCCACCACGATCAAATATAGCATTTGACACGCGCCTTAATGTGGTCTTAAGTTCTGGTTTAGGCATAGCCCGTAACATCAACGCTAATTCATATGTGGGCATTTTATTTTATAATAAAAGAAAGACTAATTTAGGTATTTTTTCATTCGTTCCGTATGGAACAGGTGGAGGTCAAAAATCATACTGCCTATTCTTTCTATTAAAAAAAAATACTTTTAAATTTAACATAGCACCAAATTCACAAAAAGGGTTTAAAAAACAAAAAAAAATCCAGTTTGTTCAATGACATTATATAACACTATGCTCACTGAGTTGGTTAATTAAATTACATTTGTGAAATCTCACATTTATAATCTCTTTAAAGACAGGAATAATCCTGTCTTTAAAGAGATTACAAACAATAATAACATATTATAAATGTTATGTAAAATACTACTTTATTTGCATTGAATTGCATCTTTAATCGTCGCCAAAGAAGTGCGATATCAAAACCCGAGAAGATATCATTCATTCTTTCATTCATACAAATATTTTTTCCTAATGTTGGTAAAATTGATTGACCGTCATGGCCGCGGCGTTTGGGGTGTCTTTATATTGACGAAATATTTTTTCAAAATTCGTTTTAGGTCCCTTTCGCCATGGGATCGTACCCAAAGTTTGTAGCTGAATATTGCAAGGTGTGGGAAAAATCAGGAAAAGAGCAATTGTGAGTATCGTATCTTTATAACCTTTAAATTGATTCTGACGATTCTCGTGTATGCTTGTAAATAACAAAATACCGCGTGCGATTGAGAACAGCCTTTGTCTGGGCCATATAAAAACAATAAGGCATTGCGTAATTATACATATAGCCTTAAAATTGGACTTGCATCACTATTACACTTAGTATTTATTAACTGACTGTGATCCCTATTTATGTAAATATATCCCGTATCATCATGTCAGAGAAACTCACGCTCTACTTACGTGAAATAAGCTTTCGCATAGATTAAGGCACTTTGCAAGGAACTAGGTACCTTGATGTTCTCAAATACCGATGGCACATGCTGTCATCAACAAACAATTTACCCACAATTTACACACAAGTATGTATGTTTGCCACTGTGACTGTCAATGTAATAATTATTGACTAAAAAAGCAACGAAAATTTCAGTGTTACTCAAATCAAAACGATATTATTGGATTCTTTAGTTTAATATGCCACATTTAATTTTAAATACTGGTATATAAATATGCAAATATGTATATTATTTATTCTTTCTTTCTGTATTCCCTACCACAATATGAAAATCTGCACATTCCACCGCTGTTCACAACTCTGTTTAAGAATATAATTTAGACAGTATTCTATAACACCGGCTCACACTATTATCCTTAATATATACTCCCTATTTTTCAGCATCAAATATGTGACACAATCTATCAAAGATGATGACAAAAGCCCCTTGTTTACAAAATCGGGCAAGCTATCGGGCTTGTCTCTAAACATATATGACTTACTACTGAGTGGCCTCAAAGGTGCACTCAAGAAAGATGCTGTCCTCTCTGTACTCAAAGAAATCTCTGTAAGTAATATAGGAGTAAGATTATGCCTTAAAGGGCAGAACATACATGTTAAATTCTAACTAAATAACTACCTTCAAGCAAACCTAATAAATAAAACAAATTTAAAAGTATGTGAGTGACATTGTGATTATTTTTATGAGATGTACTTATTACTAAGAATTAGATATATAAAATTGTATGTGTTCACAGACTTTGCATGCAGATATACCATCAATAATTCTAGATGTGGTATGCATACTAGATGCAGAAACTTGTACAGATGTGCAGAGTGAGCACAGAGCAAACTTTTGCTACATCGTTCGAGAACTTGAATCCTTTATGTCTGACAAATTGCTGAAAGAAAGACTGGAAATTGACACATTACAGGATGTAGGAACATTGAAAAACAAAACCTTTTACACAAAATTTATTAAAATCAAAACTAAGTTGTAGTGAGTATTAATATTACTTTTATCATCTTTATTGTGATGAAAACAATATACCATCACTAACAATAATGCATTGTTTTTATAGTTATAAACAACGTAAGTTCAATTTATTTAGAGAGGAAAGTGAAGGTTATTCTAAGTTAATAGTGGAGTTAAATCAAGAGATTAGTGAAGACACAGAATGGAAAACTATTTTGGAGATTATTCAATCCCTTATAGGTATGAAACTTAATTATCTTATTATCTGTTGCTCTATAATTTTTACGAATTTTGGTTACTCTGAACATTACTTACTTACAGGTTGTTTTAATTTGGATCCTAACCGTGTTCTGGATATTATATTAGAGTCTTTTGAGGCACGGCCACAGCTAGACAAGCTTTTTATAGCCCTCATAAAGAATTACATGGGAGACCCTCAAGTGATTTCTGAAGTGCTTGGTTTTAAGTTAGGGAACATGGAAGTTTTGGAGAGTTATAAGGAGCCACCACCTTTGATGACTGTGATAGCCTTGCTCTTGCAGCATCAAGTAATATCACTTGATGATATTTATCCATGGGTATGTATTATATTATAATGAAAACTACAGTCTTAAGTTTTATATTGTGATTGTGATAAATTATGGCTTTGTTCTAGTTGAGACCAGATGATTCTATTATGGCGAAAGAAGCAGATAAAGAAGTAAAATCGGCTCAAGAGTATATAAGAAAATTAAACATTGTTTCCACCAAAGGACCTCAGGCTAATGCCCCCACCGATTTTATTGAAGAAAAAGCGGATCCACAGGTATGGGGATCTACTCTCGTTCTCTGTCTGAAACAATTACTGTCAAATAGTAATACTTGATCAAACTGACAAATGCATTATGCGAATGAAGCCTTATGCTTGACGTTATCTTTTAATTTGATCAAGTAAAATTTATTTCACAGAAATTGTTACGGACGGATGTCGGGCAGAGAACAGGGTTAGACATCTAGTTATCTCAACACCAACATCAATGAAATAAAGTCTGATGATTTTTTCAACTGTTGTTATACAAGTATCATTGTATGTTACTAAATAAATGCATTTCAGGAATACTGGAGCAATCAGAAGCTAGTGCTAAGTGAAGCTTTGTTGAAAGTAACGGCGTGGCGCGAGTTTGCCGCTCTGGCTGCACGTCTCCCCACAGCAGCGATGCCCGCTCGGCCCGCCACAGCATTGTGCAACATGGTACATGCCATTATAGAGCCACTTTATAGAACGTGAGTACTTTTGTTATGCTGGTATCACCCAGGAACTTCTCAATAAATTGCATTGCTTGCTCAATAGCTGCATTCGCTTCACATTTATGGCCTTATGAAGGGATTTGACCACGTTTCTGCATATCGCAATGGCTTGAGATTCGCCATCGCCGTGATTTGAGAATGCTCTCCATTCTTTATTCTATCATTAACAATCAATGTGTTTTTGTGTTTATATATGGTATTATATGTTATATATTGTATGTATATTTATATTGTGTGAAAATAATGTATCATAATTATTTAAAGATTTTGGTCATATCTGTTTTTATTTGTCATCTCCTGCACCCTTGTTATTTATTCAGAACTTCGCTCTCTGTGGTTGCCTAGTAACGAATGTCTAATAGCATTAAGTCCACTATTTATTAAATACTATTTTATGTGCAGTAAATTTTAAATAAATAAAAATAATATAATACTTTTTATGTTCTTTTTTTTAAAAAAAAGGACAAAATGCTTTGTTGCCTATTGTCGATTTTGTTTTGGATAAGTGGTGTCCATGCTTATATCCTATATTAATGATAGCTGACATCAATGCAAGGAAGTATATTATATCAAAAAATCTTTTCTTATTATATTCAAACAAGTCCAACAATCCAAATCCAAACAAGTCCAAATGACAACAATATGGTATGATGTAACAGGCAATTTCCATAACTCGACATTGTATGGGTCTGACTCTACTCGTGTCACTTGTGCTTCTCTAGGAATCGTACCATCTTCTAGGGTTATAATAAAGTAAAGTTATAGTCATGAAAATTCATATTACACGTATTTAAAGAATGCATGAATGTTGGGCTTTGCATTCTTAGAGTATCATAAAATTAAGTATTTGATTTATTTATTTTATCGCATCAATCAACTCACATAAACATTCTGAAACATTCGTTTCGTTGCACCAGAGATATAATAATAAAGTCAGTCTTGGGGAGATGCTTAGCCTTTTTAGCATACTGGTAATTGTTGCAATTTTTTAAACTCATTTTAAAAAAAGGAGGAGGTTCTCAATTCTACTGCATTATTTTTGTATGTATGTTACGCAATAACTCCGTGTATGAAGTAAGTAACTTACTTACAAGTTTTTAAGTTTGTGAACAGATTTTGATGATTCTTTTTCAATGATGGAACGAGGGTACCTCAGCATAGGAACCATTTAGATTTGAAGAAAATATACCACCTCTAAGGGTAGCAAACTAGGAGCTGAATCCGGTTTTACGCACTTTCCGGTAACCGATTGCAATAAAACTTGGCAAAGAGATGTGTGATTGCACGAACTTTTGAGGTCGATTTTTTTCGTACACTGTACTGAGATTATATCAAAATCAAAGTCAAGTGGTCATTTATTCCATAGGTAAATTTTCACACTTGAAAACGACATTTTATAAGCTACCGCTATCGGTATATTGTAGTACTCGTTGAATAATCTATTAAGTCTACGAGTATATAATAGAATAAAATGTAATTTATTTCATATTAATGTCTCGCTATTACAATTTGAAATAAATGAATAAAATTACAATATATTCGAAATATTTTTTTCCATACTAATTACACTATGGAAAAAATTCTTAATAATCAGTCACGCACATTATTTACAGCCATTGTAGAGTAGCCCCCAAGATTATTGGGCGCCCAGTACCACCCCTAAAGTCGAAACTTGCCCCACGCGCGTGCAAGACGTTCGATGACATGAAAGATACAGTTATTCCAGCCCTAATTCTGTTGGGGCCCTCTCTCCATTACGATCCCATTTTGATGTACAAGGTAAGGAGATTTTGACAAATGGTAAATCTTTGACTATGTAGTAATTAAAATAAATCGAATATGAAGTGAATTTACTTTAGTCAAATCTTTTATGCCAAACCTTAATTTTTTAGCCGATTTTTTTAATAATAATAATTTAATTTTGGAGCAGTAGAGCTTCTTGTGAAAGAGTTCGTCCAGGGAAGTACTGCCACCTTACCTATTTCTGCCGTCAAGCAGTAATGTGACATTATTGCGTTCCGGTTTCGAAGGGTAAGGATGCTGGTGAAATTATAGCCACATGGGACTTGTCAATTTATGTCTCACGGTGTCGGGGCAGTTGCAGTGCCCCTCAGATCTTTATGATTCAAAGCTCTCAGTGACACTGCAATTGTTAGAGACAGGCGTGTCGCTCACCACCAGCTCACGATTTGTTCGTCCCGTCACTTAGTATTATCTAAAAAAAAACCCTGACGCAAAAAGAGGAGGGTTATAAAGCTGACGCTGCAACCAGGACAATCTACAGGCTACCCAACTCCTCAACAACTTGCAGTAGTCTGTCGTCTTTGGATTTTCGAATCTTGACGAGTCGTTCGTTTACAGATCGTGACTTTATTGACTTTTTGATGTACACTGTTTTGTATCGGGGTGTTTTAAATTTTAATTTAAGTTTTTTATAGATAATTCGAATACTACGAACTGCACGCTCATTGCAACAAGATCCTCTGCACCACGAGACTCTGACGGTACTTGACGCCGCCATACTGCCGGCGCTCACCTTGATGGAAGGAAACTGTTGTATGTCTGAGGAAGTGTACACCTTGCTCAAACTCTACCCTTATCAGTGCAGGTTAGATATCATTAATTACGTAAATAGTAGCTTATATTATGTTGGTTATAGCGAGTTTAGCATCTCATCGTTTCACATTGCATTTTTTCCATTTAAATTCGGATTAGGGGTATTCTCGGTAATGTCTTCATTTAATGCAGGACATTCCCTGGTTTAAAAGGTATCATAGCAGTTGTTTGGCACTTTTATTGTTGACACAATTTTTTTCCCGTAAAGGAATTGTGTTTTTTATCAACAATACTGGCAATATTGGCTTGTTAACATTAATTGAATTATGTACATTATAAACTTTGCTGTATACTATTGCACTATTTTGTAGATACTGCCTGTATTCTCGTTGGAAGAACGAATCAGGCGAACGAATTCCTTCATTAATGCGTGTTCGAGGCAACTCCCTACAGCGCATTAAGCATATCATGAAGAGAGTGTCCAAAGAAAACACCAAGCCTCAAGGTCGCCTCATAGGGAAGCTATCACACGCTGCTCCGGCGTTCTTGTTCGACTATATGCTTTTACAGGTTGGTCGACAATTTGAGAAACGTATTAACGGTTAGATAATTATATATTAAAGAGTTTCTTACATTTCAGATACAAACATACGACAATTTGATTGGGCCCATTGTAGAATCTCTGAAGTACCTCACTTCTTTATCTTTGGACGTACTTGGCTATTGCCTGTTGGAGGCGCTAAGTGTGGGCAGGGGGTCGGTGAGCGGGGCGGCGCATCCGCCGTGGCTGCAGGCGTTGGCGGCCTTCGCCGGGGCTGCTTTTAAGAAGCACAATATCGAACTCACTGCGCTGTTGCAGTTCGTGGCTAATAGACTTAAAGCCCAGCAAAGGTAATCATTACTTGACCACACCTGCGAGGAATTCATTCTTTCATCGTTAGGGACTCACCACATTTATTCACGCGGCCTTGACCTTGAACCCTTTATGTCAGAAACACCTTTATGTCTATGTTATAAGAGCCATAAAGATGTCGCGTGTTTCGCTTCCGGTCGAATCGCCGACGCAAAACGCCCGATATCATTTTCGCTTGTGCTGGTCAGAAAAACTTTTATGTCCATGCTATAAGAGCAAAAAGACGTCTCGCGTTTCGCTTCCGCTCGGATCGTCGACGTGATTTTCGCTCTATTGCATGACTTTAACGATTTTACTGACCGGCTTGATGATAAAGTGTCGATAAGTGTGGTGACTCCCATATACTGCTAAAATCAATTTTCTAGATATTTACAAACAATTACTTACTATAGCAAAACACATTATAATTGCTTATGTAAAATGCAAATATTTACCATAGTATCGGTAAAATATAAAATGTGGAATCATCTCAGGGTATTTGTAAGACATAGTCGTCGTTGAAATTTCAATTGCATTTTTGTTTCAGAGTAATTTGTGACATAATTGCTTTTCTCCGTAGAACGGCGATTTATATTCCCCGTGTACTAAAGTGCCTATTTTTTAGTATGAACAACCTAGTGCCTAAGCTGAAGAAAGTCATGTTGTTGATGAGATGAAATCTTGCCCTTTGAAATTTCAAATGTAAAATATTTGAGTTTTTATCGCTATTTCAGCCAAGATCTCTTGATTCTAAAAGAGATAGTGCAAAAGATGGCCGGCATCGAAGCCGTCGAAGAAATGACACCTGAACAATTGGACGCCATGGCGGGAGGCGAATTGCTCAAAGGAGAGGTGAGATTTGCTTTAAGGCCGTCGACTGTTTTTCTAACTTACTGAACTATTTACACATTGAAATGTACATGTCAATGACACGACTCATTGTTCGAATTCGGATTCGAATTTCCTACAAGTAGAAAGTTTAATTGTTACAAAACTAATATTGATAAAACTTCTTTGACGAAGTCAGTAAAAAGAACCAAAAATTATAACACATCGTCGCCTTAATTTCTCAAGTAAGTTTTAAGTTAAGCTTAAACTTACTGAAATGCAAAAATGGATTGATGCTGATTTCACATCACATTTCTTTCATATTCACTCACTGGCTTTTACATATTTTTAGAGTAATGCATCCAAATTAACAGCCTTGATAAGAAATTTAAAACAAAAACAAAGTTTTGCCATCTCCTGAAAAATCACTCTTTATGAGATACGAGTTTAGAGAAAGTAAGGCATCAATATCCTAATTTGATCACTTGAAACACTAACTCGCCATCCCACCTATATTTTGAAATATACCACGTCCATTAATTTGTATACGTGAATTATCTAAAGTTGATGTAACATTTTCAATGAGTAATTCCTGTATATAGTTTAATATTGTGCCAATAGACGACGTCTCAAAATATTCCACGAGATTTATACGAAACAGTAAGTTTTCGAAGTAGTTCGTGAGCACTGATTGAGTATGGTGCCAATCGCAACTAAGAGAACAAAGACAATCAACATTAACAATACACCAAACATACACTAATTGTCCTATGTTCTCTTAAATTTGTGTAATGTGTGCAAGTGAGGCTTTTGCCAGTCCACTACGCAATGCCGTTGCCACTGCGACCTTGTACAGATTCACCGATGCCGCGACCTGCAAATATGCTGTTGACAATCTCATTCATTCGCATTATTACAATCGTTAAATGTTTAATTAACAGGCTGGATACTTCTCTCAAGTAAGAAACACGAGGAGGTCATCAGCGCGACTGAAAGAGGCCATAGTGGGGAATAACTTGGACATTAGTCTCTGCATACTGTCTGCTCAGCAGCGACATTGCTGTGTTTGGAAAGGTACGACTTATTTCTCTAAGGTCTAGCAATAGGATTATGTGTTCTTCTCTGCTACATTTTGGTATATAATGGACCTTAGCTAGAGGGCACAGAGTTGAGAGCACGTTTCCACTTCGCTGTCTCATCGCTGTTGACTCTAACTTATATATAGAAGCGGCATCATTTAAAATTTGTCTATTTTCTGGTATAGAATATGAAGACGACAATCCGTCGAGCGGTGAAGCCCCAGGGTCACAGCTGAAGGTTGTGGGCCGCTTGGCAGATCAATGCCAAGACGCTTTGGTACAGCTTGGCACCTTCCTCGCTTCGTCCCATGCACCTGACGAATATGCCGCCAGATTGCCGCCTCTCCAGGTAGTTTGGTTATGCTGCCACTGTCCAGTGATATTAGAAAAACCCTCTAAATAAAAATACAAATATTGTACAACTCATTCATTGTTACATTTTGCTCTTTTCCATTTTTTATTGGACTCATTTCATACGTCTCTTTTATCAATTGTATTGATTTAACTGTAAAGCTTTGCCTACAAAATACTCAAAAATAAAAGTTAACTGCAAGTTACCACCATCATATGTCTAATCATAATTAGGCATTCTCAAAGTTAAACAGTTCCTAAGTATTGATTTGAGCTTTTCAAATGTATGCAGTTTCTGTCCTAAATTGTATGTGTATGACTGTTTCAACACTATTCAATACAAATGAATATCACTGTCAAAAACACTGAAGTAAAACACATTACAATAAGATATATCTCTGGTGTTTTATTTTTTCAGGAACTTCTTCGTGATTATCACGTAGATGCTGACGTCGCATTCTTCCTCCACCGGCCAGTACTAGCTCAAAAAATAGCTGCCAAGTGTGAATATTTACGTAAAAGCTCTGAAGTAAAGTCTAGTAATTTGGAGAAGACCATAGAAATATATACTACAGCAGCTAAAGATTCTCTGGAACCAATATTACATGCTATAACTCCTTTATTGCCTTCTAGAGTTTGGGAGGACATTTCGCCGGAATTTTATGTAACCTTTTGGTGAGTTTACTAATTTAAATCTATCCATATATATCTATTGAATTTGATCTCAGTAGTAGTACCGATGCAGTATTAAAGTAATTGCCTCCGTGGCCGAACTTCAAATTCAAAAGAACCAATCACATTTGTACAAGTTTAATCACATATCTGTAGGTGAGATGTAATGGGCCTTAAGTCTATATTTTATAATCTAACTGCCTCCGTGGCCGAACGGTTACTTGCTGATCTGCCACACAGAAATCCCGGATTCGATTCCTTGGCAGGAAGAATTTTTTTTTATGTAAAAAATAATAACGCACACATCGAGTACTTAGGTTTTCGATTGTTACACGTACCTATTTTTATTTCCTATGAATAACGCACACACTCAACATAGCCCCGCACTAGGAAAACCCGGTGTCGCGGGTGCCATGGACACATACATAGACAACCACAAATTACACCCAAACCCACGGGAGAATTAAATGTAGGTCATACAAATATTTCTCCCGGCCTGGGAATCGAACCTGGGACCTCTGCGTGGCAGTCCGGCATGATAACCGTTCGGCCACGGAGGCAGTTTAATAATACAACTATAACTAAATAAAACTCACGTTTAGGTCTTTGTCCATGTACGACCTGCGAGTACCCGTTGAAAGTTACGAGAGGGAAGTCGGACGCTTGAAGTCTTCTGCAGCTGCCGCCGCCAAAGACAACTCGCAAGGCACTAAAGGAAAGAAGGAGCAGGAGCGTTTTAACACACTTATTGACAAATTGCAGGTAAGTTGTCGGTTACTCATTGTTACATTAGTCTGTGACCAATGTGTAATCGAACAGTTTTTTAAGTCTAAACAATATTTTGCTTAATAGTTACAAGAATATGAATTGCGTGCGTTTTCTAAACGGAGTGCACTTTGTTGCCGCCATTGCCAACTGCCGTCTCAATATTGCCGAAATAACAAGTTAGCAAAGGCAAACCAGTGTTACCACTATGAGATCGTGTACTCAAATGATCTTTCCCTTGCTTCGCGACAAAGGTGTTGCAGTTTTAAAAAGTACAATTACAAAGTCTCATCTGTATGAGAGACTACCGGATCCAGTAACAGGTAGACTAAAATTTTTGAAGTTTTCCCAAATAAGTCTAAAATGGTTAGGCTGGTTTAACAGCTGTGCATACGGTTTGTACGGACTGTCTGCTTGCGGGTCATACGCATGCTTCGCATCCACACTTCAGAATCGGGTATTCAGCTTAATGAGGATATTCACGTAAGACCACAATGAAATCACGGGCGGCTTGCGCGGAGTTCACACGGAGCGTGTTCCATATGGAGCAATCCGTGTCACTGATAAATCCGCACTGTTTAAAACCAGCCTTAGTTGAAAGGGCTTGTAAGGGATTTGCTTGTTTGTAATATAACTAAAAACCGAGAAAAGTATGTTTAAAGAAATTGAATTAAAAACGATTTACTTTTCTCTTGCGCTAATTTCATACCTTATCCACCTAGAATAAAATAAACGTAGTGACAGATCGACCTTTTTTTACTGATCACGGCAATATACACATAACAATTTTTTTTTAAATGTCACATGTGCCCTTTTTAACGAATGGCGGCAGAACTACCGATGGAAGAAATTAATAGTCCACATGAACTCGTTTCACCTTATTCTGTGCTGTTTGCTTGTCAGGAGGAGCGTCGTCGCCAGTCGGAGCACGTGTCTCGCGTGCTGGCGCGACTGTCGCGCGAGTGCCGCGGCTGGTTCCCCGCACGCGCGGCTAAGTCAGCTAAGAACGAAACGGTGACGCGGCTGATGCAGCTGTGCCTCTTCCCGCGCTGCGTGTTCACGGCCGCCGACGCGCTCTACTGCGCGGAGTTCGTGCACACGGTGCATGCGCTTAAGACTCCCAACTTCTCCACGCTGCTTTGCTACGATCGGGTTACTATCTAGACTTACACTGCCGGCCACAAATTTGAGACCACCTACATCAAAGAAGGAAAATGAAATAAAACTCAAAGTATAAAGCAAGAGGTTTGATTATTGATTAAAATACTCATCTACTAATACACATACATCAAGAAGAAAACAAAACAAATCAAGAAATATCAACCATTTACGTTAAAAATGCCGTTCGTGTTTTAAACAGATTTTTCGTCAAAAAACCCTCCCTTGCATTTAATTACATTTCTCACTAGTCTCGGCATACGAGCAATCAATTTGTCAATTGTTTCTTGTGAAATATTGTTCCAGCTTTCTTGTAAAGCCTTCCACATGTCTTCTTGCGAGGAGGGACACCTAATACGCACATTTCTATCAAGCTCTTCCCACAAAAGCTCAATTGGGTTAAGATCCGGGCTCTGAGGGGGCCACACCATATTTTTAACACCCCTTCTGTTTCTTTATGTTCTAAATAACCCCTGCATAATTTTGAACTATGTTTTGGATCATTATCTTGTTGAAAATAAAATCCATTTCCAATTAATTTTAAACCAGATGGAACGGCATTTTGCTGTAGTATTCGTTTATACTGCTCCTTTTTCATGATCCCTTCAACTCGTACTAAATCTCCGGTTCCATGGCTCGAGAAGCATCCCCAGACCATAATGGAACCACCACCATGCTTGACTGTTGGCACCACACAGTCTGGCATCATCTTTTCCTCGGCGCTACGTCGAACAAAAATTCGTCGTTTTGATCCAAATATTTCAAATTTGGATTCATCTGTCCAAAGAACTTTTTTAAAGTCTTCTTCGGTCCAGTCTCGATGGGTATGAGCCCACTGCATCCGTTTCCTTTTGTTTTGTGGCCTTAGTAGTGGTTTTCGAACGGCGACGCGACCAAATAAGTTAGCATCTCTCAATCGTCTTTTTACTGTGGTCAATGACACAGGTTCAGATCGGGATTTGTTCACTTCTGCGCGGATTTCTGGTGCTGTTAGGCGTCTATTCCGCTTGCTGGTAACGACGATGAACTTATCCTCGCTAGAAGTCGTAGCTCTCGGCCTTCCCGATCGCGGACGATCTTGATTACTGCCAGTCTTCTTGTATCGCGCTATTGTGTTATGAACACAAGTTTTCGACAATTTCAGTTGAGTGGCAATCTCACGTTCTGATTTGCCTTCGTTGTGTAAAACAACTATAACAGAACGAGTTTCACTGCTAATTTCGCGCACTTTTCCCATTTTAAGATGTCTTCACAGTAACAACGACGAGCTTGGACTAACCAAGACAATGAAAGTTTAACTCCATGAAAACTCAGGTAATAAATATGTTTTATGAAGCAAAATAGTTCTAAATATCGGATAACACGAAACAAAACCAAAATAATTAGTAATGAGCAGCTCATAAAAATATTACAATGACTCTACCATCTGGGCATTTCGCGGCATTCATTGATGTTTGGAAACAATAGGCCTTTATAGGATAATAACTTAAAAATTTACTAAAAGATTGACTTTTAGAATTATTCTAATAACAATAGAATATGCAGGTGTTCAATTTTTTTTAGTATATCTCAAGCAGTTTTGAAATATTTTATTAGTGACAAAGATTCGTACTAGTGGTCTCAAACTTTTGGCCGGCAGTGTACATCGACTCTTAACAATGAAATTTATAAAACGAAATTTGAAGAAAGTTTTCATATTTACAAAACGAACTCTTAATCAAGAAATTACAAAGTAAACTTTACAAAGTTTGAGTCGTCCGTTTGTCAACTATAGCTACAACATTTGCTGAGTTTAGGGTTGCATTACAAAAAAATAACAAAACAGTTAATGTCTTTATATATTGTAAATTTCAAAAGTTTTGATTCAATTGTAAAAATTATCTGATAAGATAAATAATAATAATTATAAAACATTTCATTGACGGCTTTAAATACATCATTGACAACATTGTAAGAATTATATCAAAATAAGATAATAATATGTATATCGAGTTCTTAGGTTTTCGCGATTGTTACACATAGGAAATGGAAACTATTTTTCCGGATTTAAATCGCGTATATTTGTTTTTTCAGTCAACCGTGACCATGGGACCTGTAAAGGGCCCGAAACGTCGGTTTGTTTGAAAAAACAAATATACGCGATTTAAATCCGGAAAAATAGTTTCATTTCCTATAATAATATGTAGTTCATTTCCATTCTCCTTATGGCAACACTGTACTAAAGTTAGCATAGCAACCTAGTAAGTTTGCGATATGAGTATTTTCTAAAATAAAAATACAAAGTAACTGTGTTATAAATAATGGTTTAAAGTTGATTATGCTAACTTTGGTAAGTTTAAGTCAAAGTCTAGATACGAAAAAATGTGCCTGTGCGTGTATCGATTTTCGCACCCTAACGAAAGTCGTCTCGTGGTTAGCAAGTTCGTGTTATAAATCTCAGCCTATCTCTTGTGACTTTTCTTTACGTCCTAACTAAAGTAATATATTTATATGTTATTTTCAGCTGTTTTGCGACATCACGTACTCGGTGATGTCATGTACGGAGGGTGAGGCGGCGCGCTACGGTACGTTCCTCTGCAAAGTGCTGGGCACAGCCATGCGTTGGCACGCCGATAAGAGCGTCTTCCAGCGCGAGTGCGCCGACTACCCTGGCTTCGTCACTAAGTATCGCGTCTCCAATCAGTTCACCGAAGCCAATGACCACGTTGGATATGAGAACTACAGGTACACGTGCTTCACATACACATACGGTATCCATACATGTTGTTTGAATTGTCCTTAAGTTGTTCTAAAAAGGTAGTGATGTGGTCAAGATTTATAAACTATTATTTCTGTCCAGACATGTGTGCCACAAGTGGCACTACAAGATCACTAAGGCAATGGTGGTATGTCTCGACTCTGGTGACTACGTGCAGATCCGCAACGCGCTGATCGTGCTCATCCGCGTCCTGCCGCACTTCCCAGTGCTAGAAAAACTCGCACAGATCATCGAGAGGAAAGTCGAAAAGGTATGGACATGTTGCTCTTGTAACGCCGCGGGTGTGGACTCGGCCCTATATTGGATTCGAATAATTTTAGCATGTCTATATGTGTGTATGATCTTCGCTTCTTCAATAATCACATTCGCTAGCTTATGTACATGGTCAATTGTTCGGCGCGTCACGTTCAAATTGTTAATGATGACAGGCATCGATATGATACTATTAACTGCTATTATGTACGTGGGGCGTACTATAAGTTTCCGGAATGAATAACAAAAAAATATTATAAATGGTCAGAAATGAATTTTTATTTCTCACAATATTCTCCGTTAGCGTTAATGCACTTTTTCATACGAATGAACCAATTTTGAAAACATTTATGCCACTCCTCCGTGACAATCTCTGAAACATATTTTTCATACTCTTCGACAGCCTCTTCAGGTGATGAAAATCATTGACCGCGTAACTGGTTCTTAATTTTTGGAAGTAAATAAAAGCCACAAGGTGCCAGGTCGAGACTGTACGCGGGATGGCTCATAAGGTCAACGTTCTTCACTTTCAAAAATTCATTTCCCTGGCTGGCCGTGTGAGAACTGGCATTATCGTGGTGCAAGATGATACGGCGTTTACGGTTATTTTTACGGAGTTTGTCAATAAATTCCGGCAAACAAATGGTCGTGTACCAATCACTATTAACGGTACAACGATTCTCCAAACCAACAGTAGCCACGTATCCAGTTTTATTAAAAAAAGAAGCAATCATACGCTTAGAGGCACTTTGCACGCGCGCCACTTTGGTTGGTTTCGGCTCATCTCGAAAGACCCATACGCTCGATAGATTGCTGCTTTGTTTTGGAATCGTAACTATAAATCCATGTTTCATCACCTGTTACTATGTCCCACACCAAATTTGACTCCCCTTCGTTGAATCTGGCAAGCATGTATCTCGTTGCGATCCGTTCTTTGAGCCTCAGTCAAATTGTGTGGGATCCACTGAGAGCACAGCTTTTTCATACCCAAATGTTTGTGTAGTATTGATTGTATTTGACTCATGCGGCCTATGCCTAAAGATGCCCGAATCTCATGGTATGTCACATGCCTGTCTGTTTTGATCATACGGCACACAGCACCGATGTTTTTGTTGTTCACAGCAGTGGACAGGTGACCATCACGAAATTCGTCACAGATTCACACGACCGCGTTTGAATTCTGCAAACCAGCTATAAATAGTCATCTTGCGTCATGGTGCCTCATCGCCAAAAGCAGTTTGAAGCCGAGCGAAGCTCCGCTGAGCTTTTGAATTACACTTAAAGTCGTACAAAATCATACTACGAAAATTTTCATGAGTTAAATCCATGCTGATGTAGACAACCAATTTCTAAAATGACGACACAATGTAAAAACAAGTGACAGTCAGATGAAACAAACTGTATTCTACAGTGAAAGAGTTCCATTTTCAAATGTTGTAATTACGTTTTAAATATTGTTTATGTAAGTGGCCAGTTCCGACAACTTATAGTGCACCCTATGTACTATTATTTAATCATCCTCCTCTATGCTTAATATTCATCCCTTCTGGGGGTGGCAAGTGACTACACGCATGGTGCAATTAAACATTGATTTGTAAATTTCACGTGAAAAATTAACGATTGAACAGACTCTAAAGTTTAATTGAATAACAATCCTCCAAACTTTCACAGGTTAAAGAGGAGGAGAAGAACCAAAGACAAGACCTGTACGTATTGGCGACGGGGTACAGCGGACAGCTGCGTAACAAAGTTTCTAACATGATGCGAGAAAGTGACTTCCACCAAGTAAGTATCACAGGACCTGCTATTAAATTAAACAATTTCTTTCTTTAACTTCTTATGTGTCGGTCAAATTAATGCAGTTATTGCCTAGTCTGCAACTGTTCTAAAACAAGAAACGACGATAATATATTTTCTTTTCCTATTTCCGTAAATTTATTTATAGATTTCTCTAATACTAATTTCAGTGTACATTTTTTTTATTACCACGAATAATATGTAGCTGGTAGCTTGCAATTCAATGCCTAGTTAGGATATATAATTATAATAAATAAATTAATGAAAATTTGAAAATGATTAGTGTTACAAGCAATTATCGTTAAAGATTTAAATAACCCAAAGCCCTAGCATTTGGTATAGTATTAAAGATGTGGTAAGGTGGTACAATTGCAGGTGATTGAGAAACACAAGGCCGCGGTGGTGCCGCCCACCGTCCTCAAAGAAGATCCCCCAGCCTCTAAGCACGAAGAGTCCGTAATGTCACCGCCTCATGTTCTAGGTAAGCTACTTTATTCACTATAAAAGCTGACCTTAGTCACTTTGTGTAAATATGGACGACAGCATATCAAAGTAAATATTGACATATCATGTACCGTTGCTCTGGAGGCGATATTCGAACAAAAGTATATAGTTTGCTGTACTGTTGACCTACGTTATTACATTTTTATAAAATTATTGATAAATAAATGAAAATAATGTGCTTAGTACGCTTAATCAGGATGAATGGTCAAATCACTTGAATTATTCGTATTCATCTGTGCTTAGAGATGGGTTTTTACCCGATAAATATCCGTCAAAGGATAAATATCCAATACATATCCGTTTTTACTGAGTATTTATGTTTTTTGTAATAAAATTCATTACAATTCATTTTTTAATTAATAATTACGTACGATTACTTCTCATTTTGCCTTTGTTTTATGTAACAATACTGTTCTAGTACCTAAGTTTTTCGAGTCGATAACATCTCACTAAATGGTAGGAATGTAAACTAATTGCAACATACTCACCTAAACTTTTATCAACATTAAAATTGGCTGGTATAGAAAATTCGATTGACAGAAACTTATCAAATTAACTGTAACCCTTGAGCTGACCTACCCTGGGTTAATAAAGTGCGACCCAACATTATAGTCTTGGGGTCTACTGCGTAATAAATAAAGTCATGTTTGAACTTGAAATACCCTAAGGATTCTCTTTCACATTGTACACACAAAATCTATTAATTAAAACACATGATATAAAAAATAAATGTTTACAATTCTCCTTGGCGGCTCTCTCCGTCTCCTTCGCACTCCTGTAATGTATGTATTTGGTAGCCAATTTAGACTTTGGCATAGTGGTCAAATGATTTTGAATTTAATATCCTTTGTATTAGAATTAATTATCCTTTAAGTATTTGCAATGAAGTCTGTACAGTTTTTTAAAATAAAATACTGAACAACCAAAAACCCATAAGAAGCTGAACAAATGTGCAAAAACGGATCAACTTAGTAACTTGAAAAAAAAAATTCTATACAAAATGTTACACAGCTGATTAATATTATGTGAAGACAATTTTTTTTTAATAAACTACGCATTTAAATAATAATAAGGTTCACGCAAAAATACAGGGAGTTACTGTACCTAATTAAAAGGATTGTTTTTATCATTGCTTATAGAAAAAAGGTATAACAAGCAATATACTACACGTACATGTTATTAAATGGTATATTTTTTTTCATTTAACTAAAAATATACTTTGTTTTACTAAATATAAATAATAAACCACGATTAAAAATATTTATCCACGTTTTTGGATAAATATCGAGTAAAAATGGATAAAAAAGGATATTTATCCACGACCCATCCCTGTCCGTGCTACAAAAGAACTAAAAAGTGAAGAAGTTTACCAAAATGGTCGGTTTTTATCACGGAAGAAAAAACCATGGAAGTGCCTTAAACCTTGATTACTATAAGAACCGCTGTCGCCAAAACTCACACATTCATAATTTTTATTTTAACACTGAAATATTAATAATGATTGGTTGTAGTTCCTAATTTAACAAGTAACAAATTCTGTACTGTTAATATAATTTAAACTGTACCATGTTAGTATATCGTTGACAGTTCAATGCCTATTATTGAAGGTTACGACGTTTTGATTTTATATTAAAATTTTAATCTTTGTGCTGCCATCTAGTGGTCAGTAGATGAACGACGACGAATTCGAAGTGTTTGTTTTCTTTAGTTCTCCAAAAAAGATATGGTGCCATATTGCAGCGGTATAAGGTTTACTTTCGTTTCTTGTAACAAAAACAATATTACGATAAACAGAAAATTGAAAAAAGAAAATAAAGTAAGACTAAAGTAACGATGATGAAATAATATTACAAATGCGACTATCATGTTTGCTCTCCGAAGTAGCAAAATAAGGCATTTGTCTATAACGTATAAAACGAAAATGGCGGACTGAAGTCTAGTATGTGGAACTCCGCGTACTGTTGGCACACGTGTCACGCCCAAGCGTGTAAGTACTTCTACTGTATTTATTGTTCTGTGGTTTTTGTAATTAAATTTTAATTTCTTAAATTTTAATTGTAATTAAAATTTAAGATTTATTCACAAATGTAGTCAAATGAAATAGCATAAAAGCTTTAAATCTTTACATTGTTTTGTTAATAAATAAAATGTTTAAACACTTAGAATATATTGCAAAAAATACAATTTATAGTACTTGCTTAGGAAACATTTGTTTAGTTTTTTTATTTCTCAACTTTTGTACTTAAAAAGATTTCATAACTGTTCGAAACAAAAAACGCGTTGTTACTAAACTTGTAAATTGGATTTGTATAAAATTAAGTGTGATATCGGCAATGAGAGCACTGAGTGAGCTCTTCTTTGACTCTTAGTGAGGCTTACAACTTCTGTGGTTTTTCTTCTTTTTTTATATGTTTTATATAATAAGTTAAGTCAATTGTGCACCCAGATTCCTTAATATATTTTTACTTGTGGGGATCCTTAATTGGCTCTCACTCGTTATTAATATTATTTAATTTAGTTTTAATCTGTTTTTGTTGATCTTTCTTTAAATAAATGATAAGTAGTCTAAACGCGAAAGTACGTAAAAGGAAATTAAGTTGTGAAGAAAATGAATTTGAAAGAAAAGCACTAAGGTTCTGTAAAGTACCACTATTTGCACAGTTCCATAAATAAAGTTTTTGTATAAATCTTTTATTTTTCTAGAAGTTGAAAAGCGAGAGTCTCGAAATAGCGACAGGCGCCGTGACGATTCTGACCGTGAAAAGGAATCCAAACGTGAACGAGCGTAAGTTAAAGTTGACACATATTTGTAATACCCGTATTTTAACAAGATTGCGATTCACGATAGCTTAAACTACATGCTCAAATCATTTCAGGACTGTCAAGGAAAGGGTTAAAGAAGAAAACAGGAGTAAAGAGCGTTCACCAAGAGAAAGATCGCATAGAGTAAGTTATATTTTTATATAACTTACTATTTTATGTTTTCATATAAAATAATGGCTGACTCGTTACATTTCGCCATCAATTTGCGAAATTTTATAATTTATTTCATTGATGTCGTAACAAAATATTAACACCATCCTTTCAGGATCCAAGTAACTTGTCGACTTTTACTGATCTGTTTAAAACTAATACTAATAATTACAAATCTTTATTTGTTCAGGAGGAGCGCTATTTGGAATCGGTGTCCCCGCCACACGATCATCGTCAACCGGTGTCTGATGACGTTGAACGAGGTTAGTTATTGATCTAAATAGATTCATAAGTATAATTTGAAAATATATTGTTTAATGGTGTCAAGATAGAATGCCGACCAGTGCAGTAAGAGAGCGTTGTGGTATGAAAGATGATGTAGTGACAAGGATAGAGAGAGAGATGTTACGATGATTTGGTCATGTACAAATAATGAATCTTGGTAAATTGACGGCACAAATGTATAGAGCGAATGTGGATCGAAGCGTGGGGAGAGGTAGACCTCGGCGAAAATATCTCAATCAGATTGAGGATATCCTTAAAAAAGGCCGGGTTAAAAGTACCAAGACTAAACGGGCATGTATGAAGAGATTGATGAGAGTGACGGAGGCGAAGGAGGTTTGTCAGGAGCGTAGCAGTTGGAGTCCATAGTTTCTGCCTACCCCGGTGGGGGACAGGCGTGATGATATGTTTAATGGTATATTTGCTGAACTTATTTACAACGTACTTGACAATTTAAAAAGTTCCAATACTTATTTAATCTGTGAAAGGTTGCTTTTGTTTTCTAATAATATATTTGCGTTTATGTTGCTGTACAACTCCACCAATTTTGACCGTGCCGTAGTCGTAACATAATTCACGTCGTATAACAAGTGAATTATGTACATTATTTGGGTTTTTAGTCCTAAAACATCAATCTTAAGTAGTTTTAGATTCTCTAAGATTGAACATTGTATATTGTTTACAGATGTTAAGCGTCGTAAAGTAGAAACCAGCGGCAACGGTAAGGTGAGTATCATTGTAATAAACCGGGCTCGCATCGTGGTAGCACCGGACTGAGGATTGGGCTGGACCAGACTTCGATCGCGACACCGCCGCCGCGAAATATCCCCAAAAAGCTCAAGAAAAAAATGGACTACAGTGAAGACTCAAGTGTGGAAAGAAACTCTGACTTTCAAAGTGAAAATACATTTGTGCAAAAAAAAATACAAAAAAAAAATAATTATCGGAAAAAATAATTATAATTATAAAAAGAATATAATACAATTTCATTAATTAAAAAACGGACAAATAATGGTGTAAACTTACAAGCACCGTGCCGTATCTGAAGAAACCATTACATCAACTTCGATTATTACTGGATTTTTATACTACAATAAAAATGTTCTTAACTATGTGCCTGATACATTAAATTTTAAAGAATTGGCAGTGAAAATAATAGAGTATGATCGTCAAGAAATTATAAATATGAGAAGTTGTTTGATTTTGGGATCAGAACATGTTCAGATTATAATTAAAATCATAAAACCCAAAGATAAAGTATAATTATTTACGAGAAGTAGCACTCGCCCAAGAGAAACGAAATAATTTGAATGTTATCGCTGTTCGTCAATTGTTATTTGTTGTCAAACTAAAAAATGGAAGATACCAAATCTGCCCAAGGAAGGATCGAAATAGGGAAAATTGAGTGACTGGAAAATACAGTAACTACTTGATCTACAAGCTGGAGCCGGACATCGTCATCTTACAACACCCACATTCTGCATATACGATTAATGCAAATGAATGAAGTATTCAAACAAGAAGAATAATTTGGAGCTGTAGCTGTGTCAAATTGAAGATGTAACTAATAATCACTTTGTCTCAAGAAAGTTAAAATACAATAAAAAAAAGTTAAATATTAAAATCGTCGTAGTACCGGTATCGTTGCGAGTCGTAAGTCCAATCAGCCCAGTCCAAAGCAGCACTGGTAAGGTTATTTTCATTTTCCATGATAATGAGTCAAAAGGTCCACTGAATTAAGTATAACATTCTGAAGAAAAGTGGATAATTCGTAAACAAGTATATATGCGAAGTAAAACCATTCATGACGATGAAGAAAACGATGCGAATAGTCCTTTGTGAAATTTCGTCTCTATACCTTGAAAAATGTGAAAAGAATTACGAAACTTACAAAGACAATTTAACTGAAAAACATCGATGGATGCTGCTACCTTTCATAACTTCCATCTTAACAAACAATTACAATCAATATAGAATTTCCTGTTGAGCAATAAAGAGGAGGAATTCGGTTACAAGACTTCTCAAGACCCGAAAGTCCAGTCATTGATGTCGCCCATTTTTGATACGGAAATTTCTAAACAAACACCGAAAAAAGAATAAGAAGAAACTATATCATCAGTTTCTGAAGGAAAAGACGTTCAAAAGAATAGCAAATAAAAGCAAAGAAATATGAATTGTTTTAGTTATCTTCATTCAATGTCCCTTTTGGCTCTTTTTTTATAGCTAGACTAAAACATAGTAAGTAGAAGGCATAGTAGTCTTCGCTATTGGTTTGTTAATTTTTGTCATTTATCACTTGTCATATTGTATGAATAATGTTAATTTTCTGAATAAGCAGGGTAGCAAAGAGTTGGATGAACGTTCCCCCGAGAAAGAAAAGAGAAAGACTAAACTTAGAGGGGATGAACGTAAAGAGCGTAAGATGAGCCGTAAAAGGGTGAGTGATTACTTTGTTTAACAGTCGTGGACTTGGTGTGCTTATGCAAGCTTTTATTGTATACATGTCTATTACGCACGCTTCGAGGAGAGCGTATACGACTGCTTTCAGCTCCTTTTAATACTATTTCAGTTCTACCAAGCATATGTAGGCAAATAATAACGGATAAAGGTTAGAAGTTGGTAGAATAAAATTTATTAACGACGTCGATACGTTTGACCACGACAATGCCAGTTTGCAAATGCAATTTTTGTATGTAGATTTCTTAGTTTTGGCATGGACGAATTGATGCTTCTTGCTAATGAATGTTTTGATTTTCTGTTCAATAGGACAGAGCTGAAGATTCAGCGATCCTAGAGCAGAAAAGGCGACGGGAAGAACAGAAAGGTAGATACATTTTTTATCTATATCAATTTCCTGTGCACTCAATGTATTGTTTGATCATTTTTGTTATAGCGATCTTGAAAATGGGTAGTCATCAAAATGGATCCCAAGAAGACCACCACTATGAGAAATATCATAAAAGGGTGAGTAGCTCTGTAGCTGTTATAATTTCTGGTTGTGACTGTAACTGTTGTTATAACCTGAGGTAGACAGAGTATATTTACCTGAATTTTAGGGACGTAATACACGTACTTTGTATTATTATACAGTATTAGAGTGTGACTAATACCTGCCACTTAAATCCCGGAAACAATCATGTATTACTTGCAGTTTAGGTAAATATAATGCGCCTATTCCAATCACTGCTCACAACACTGTAAAGTAATACCTACATGCATTGGTTTTCAGGAAAAATCTCCCTACAGAGATCGTTCACACGAAGAACCGAGAGAAAAACAATATCCTTTTCAAAAGCGACTATTACTACTTTCCTAATTTTTTAATGGAACATTATAGCTCAAAATTCTTTCGACGTTATTTCTTGTTAATATATATATTATACAAATACGGTATTTGACTTGATTTTTTTTTAAATTCTTGATTCATCCAATTATTTTAATTTTTCTTATGTCTATTTAACGTCACTAAGTCATGGTGCTGGTGTATACGTCCAAATACGCGGGTAATGCGTAGCCGTAGCTTAAATCTTGCAATAGCGTAAATTTTGGAATCTGAGTTCTAATTTTCTTAACTCCTATGCACTACCAGAAGACCAAATGAGTCAAAAATACGAAGATAAGATAGCAGCACAAGCCGACCAGTGGAAGTATTTGTGCTACATTGTCGTTTGACGTGCCCCCAGGAGCAAAAATTATAATAAAATCTTGATGTCAATTAGTATTGTTGTTTCATTCATTGCATTTTTCCTACTTTTGTCTCGTAGTCACGAGTCAACAAATTGACAGCCAAACTGATTCGGCGTATATTGTGTTCTAGGGAACACAATACACGCGCAATCAGTTTCATTTGCGTGCCTTATTCCAATGTGACCATGGTAGTTTTTATAATTTTTTGTTATTAACACATAGTCGCCATTTAGTCGGTTCTATCCCCGAAAAACCAGATTTTGTCTGTCCGCCGTTTAAAATTTATAAGGGTGTTTTACTGTCCACGTAGCAGAGCTCCTTGTGAAAGAGTTCGTCCAGGGAAGTACTGCCACCTTATTTCTACCGCCAAGCAGTACTGTGTTCCGGTTTTGAAGGGTAAGAGTGCTGGTGAAATTACAGGCACATGGGACTTGTCAACTTATGTCTCAGGGTGACGTGCGCAGTGGCAGTAGCCCTCAGAACTTTGGGATTTAAAGCTCTGCACTGCAACTGTTACCATCAGGCACACGACTTGTTCGTCCCGTCACTTGATATTATATAAAAAAGTTCTTAAGGTGTTTTACTGTCCACCCTAGATAAACAAATTCCGGCGGCACCATTTTTAAATCTCGAGAATAACAGCCCCTAGCTTAGATCTGATTGCACCCAGAAAAAGTCGTTAATTAGTCGGTTCTAGAAAAATGTATATCTAAGGAGGGTCACCGCTTCAAATGTTCGTTGTGAAATCATTCAAGATATCGTGTTCATGGTTATTAAAATAATTTTGAATTGATAGAGTGTAATAAACAAATATTTTAAATATCTATTGAATTATTGGGTCAAATTTAACTGCAACACCAATTTGTAGTTCAAAACGGCTTGCGCTGTAAATTATAATAAGTAGTCATCGTTTAATCAATTAATTATTATTCTAATCAATAGTCGTTCAACGCGCTTCGTTGGTCTCGTGTAAGCCAAAAGCCCAACACGACACATACACTAATAAATATCATGAAAATTGATAAATCCATTATATCCATAATGCCATGGAAAGTAACTATATATTGTTTGCTAATTTCCTTGTATTAAAAACTAAACATTTGAACCTTCACTAAAATTTACATATAAGTAACATGTATTTAAAAAAAATCTGTATGCATAATATAACCCACGCATAACGTGGCACAAACGCAAGCTGCGAAGTGCTAGACACAAAAAAAAATTTACATGAACTCCCGAGACTACACAGCAATAATCACCCACGTATGTCTGTGGGTATGACAAATTGGTTGTATCTTCTTAACAAAAGGGCGACTAATTCTAAAATTTCGCGGCTAGAACCGACTAAATCACGACTTTTTCTGGGTGCAATCAGAGCTAGGGGCTGTGTTTCTCGAGATTCACAATGTTGCCGCCGGAATAAGCTTATTTCAGAGTGGACAGTGAAACACCATAATAACTTCAACACGGCGTAACGACTAAATCGACTCATCCGAAGAACAGTCCGATGTGATTATATAGCGAAAAGAGAATAAGTACTTTACGAGACTAATATTTGTTATTAAAACTTAAGGCCTACGTAAAGGTGTTTTGAGAATGTATATATCTTATTTCATTTCGGAAATATAAAATCGAGGAACGGTCGATCTGACATCCACAGCGAAGAACGAACGAAATGTACTGTGTCCTCAGAACAAGTAGTCTTGCATATGGATCTTTGTTCTACGAATGAATCAAAATTTAGTTTTTTACGATTGGAACCGACTAAATCACGACTTTTTTTTAAAGTAATATGATCTAAGCCTAAGCTAAGTGTTGTGGTTCTCGGGTTTAAGAAATGGTGCCGCATTATTCCAGCGTGAACATTTAACCACCCTTATAACTTTTGAACGACGGACCTACTAAATCTAGTTTTTTGCGACTAGAACCGACTAAATAGCGACATTTTATCTGGCTAGTCAAATTTCAAAACTTGACTATGATCACGCTGAAATAAAGCACGCGTGTCGATTTTATAATCTCCACGCCACCTATTCTACACGTACACTTGCATTTAATATTTTTGATTTACACTGGCGCTCCCGGCCACTGGGTCACTAGTCACAGCTACTTGGCTGTTCTTTTTGATTTATGGTAGTGTGGCTAGAAATCATCCATTTTGCTGAATTTAACATTGGTGTTAACAGCATTAGACATAAAAATAGCACATATTTTTATATTAAAATATAATACGTATCAAGAAGACGCTACAAGTCGCTAAATACTTATTTTTCGCTAAGAACAAATTTTTGCATTGCAAACATTAATAACATTCCCTAGAATTAGCGATTAAGTCGCTAAAACAGCACCAGTGGCGGGCAGGAAGAAGCCGGCGGGCGACTGTGGCCGAATGCGCGAGTGGCGAGATGTCACCGGACCAGACAGAGACTATGCTGGTCACATTTTAAATGTTTTTTATTTTCTGTTGTATCCAATTTATTTTATTTTTGATATCATTTTGTCACCTGTAAACGAAAGTTAGCAAATTACCTAACATTTTTTTCTTCCTATAATAGGTTTCTTTGATGGACAGTCAACCAAAATCGTTATGGAAATTGACATGCAATGAACTGCTTAAATACATTATAATTTTAATGAAATCCCTTGTATTCCTAATTTTAAAAAGTAAGACAGCTGTGACATTTAATAGCAGACAACCATATACCATATCTTCATATACCATATTTGTAATAATGGCATAATACTCAGGGTCGTACTCCAGAACTCTACTCAATAAAGTCAGGACTTAAGTATTGCAGTGAGCACTGAAAATCATACTCAAGTCCTTGCCATTAGGGTCGTATTTCCAGTGCTTGAAATCATTCTCAAGTCTGCTCAAATCCTCACTTGAATATGATTCAAAGCACTAGAAATCATACTCAAGTCCTTGCCATTACGGTCGTATTTCCAGTGCTTGAAATCATACTCAAGTCTTCTCAAATCCTGTCTAGAATGATAACGCATATAATATCAATTCAGAAAAAGAAATAAAGACTTATCTGAATGAAGACAAGTGCAGCATCTAGCATCACCTTTGCACTCTGTTTATAAACAAACACGTACATGTCTTGCAGTGCAATTTTTTTTAAAACGTTTCCTATGTCAATAATTTGAAATTTAAGAACCGGTTGCAACATAATAAGGGTTATTTATTGTTATATTGGCACTTGAAAAAACAATGAATATTGTGCATGATTACAAATTTATAATTAAGAAATAAGCGTAGCTGTTACGTATTGTAACTAGCGTCTCACGTGATAGTATATTCACAACGTGTACAAAATGAATGCCGTTGTCGGGTGGTAGGCATGGCATCACTTTCATTCTATTTCTGAACGAAGCGGCAATACGTCACAAAAAGCAACGGCATTTGTAAAATACGGAGTTTTTATTAATTGTAGCTTTTCATTGAAAATAATATAAGTTTCACAAAATGTGAACGTCTTTTTCCCTAAATTCATTAATTCTATCGTGGGACTGTCTATTCAAAGTGCGATTTTTCTGGATTTTCGAAAGCAGATGCATGCATGGTCAGTTAGCGGCCATTTTGTATACTTTGACATATGGACAAAAAACACCAGATATGGTAAATATTTTTTAAACAAGTGGAACTTCCTGATAAGGTGGGTATTGTATTCTGTTACGATTGTAATTCTACGTGATACTTAATGTTTCAATGTTACTTAAATTCATCTATTTAGATAGTATAAACAAGTCGCTTGGTAATAACACTAATAAAAAAAATTGAGAGGCGGCGTTACAGCGACAAATAGAGGGATAACAAATATCTACGAGTATAGTGCAAGTCACATAGAATCAAACTTCATTGTACCCCAAAATATATATATTTTATTTACTTGTCAATCGATGAAACAGTGTTACGGCTGAAACTACTGCAAGTCTTAGAAGTATATTATGTAAAACGTTCTTTCTTAGCCGCCATTTTGTTAACCATTTTGTGGATAGTGGCGTGGTAGTTAAGCTTGTTTAATAATTGTGCAGTGTTCATTGTGTTCTTAGCGGCTTGTTATGTAGGTACACAAACTCAAATAATCATTATTCATATCATCTATAAAAATGTAATTGCTATTATGTAGTACGTGTAGTATGTACATAAGCTAAAGGTGTATCTATACTTAGTTGATATTCGCAGCAATCAATGGTACACGTGGCGAATGATGATGATTAGTCGATGAATCAAGTTAGCAAGTCCATTGAATTTTAGAGTGTTTTATTTAAGACGTTTAATTCTTTATGTTAACACCTCGACGTCTTTTCCGTAAAATATTCACATTTATTTTGAGGTTACTCATTCACGGCATAGATATAGTTGTTCATGGCGACCTTGTAAAGGCAATTACGCCGAATATGAAGAATTTGTATTTTTTCCTATTCCTAATTTTGTCTAGATTTTCTGTAGTACTCATTACATACCCACTTCGCAATGTAAATTAACTACGTCCACGGAAAATAAATTGAAAAGGTTAGGTTATGTCATTCACTCATTGTATTGAATGAATGATTCGTAAGTGAGCCATACTATATTTATTACCTGGAGGATATCTAATCATAGTTTATCATTCAGTGTGTACGTTTGCATTTAGAGCTACACAATGATGTAAGTATAGTGTCATAATTTTTGAACAATTCAACTCCAGTGTATAATTGCATAATATTTTAATAAAATTTTATTTCTCTACGTACTTGGTTAATTTTTTATCAGGTGATTAAAATGACAGTGACACTTAAATTATGTGGCGTATGACTATAGCAGCCACGCAGCTGCATCTGTCATTTCATAACAATGTTTCTATCTCTGTCTGCCGTAACGTAAGCATGGGTGTGTTGCGTGAGACGACATTCGCGTGGAAACATTTCCGCACGTTTTTTTAATTGATCATTCATGGAGATTTGTCTACATAATATTAGCACAATATTATAACTGTGTTATTAGTGCTTAATAAAAGGAATTCGTTATTTTTCTTGGGGTCACAGTGTTTCAAGGTGTACCCACGTATAGTATGCCTATGTTTTATTGTTTTGAAAATTAGTTTTAAGTTGGGCGCTGTTTGGTTGAAAATCCCGGTTTTTGAGCCCATGTAATTTTGAAACTTTATAATTTGAACAGGAAGCTAACTTAAATTTGATTAGATAAAGTATTTATAATACGATCAGACTTTGTGTTCACTAAATAATCGTCGTTAATAAATAAGTCCTTTTATTATAAAGTTCCACATAATATGTCATATATGCAACGAGTTAATGAAAACACGGGTATCAAGAACGTTTAAAAACAATTATACTAAGTCTTGCTAACTGTAAATTTCACTTTCCCGATTAGTGATAACCACAGACAAAATGACCATGAGACTACTGTGCTACAGAATTTGTGCATTAATACTGTTTTCAGCTTTCCGCAAGCGAAAGATAATCTGTACTTTAACTGTTATTATTATTATTAAAGTGTAACAAATAAATGTATGGTACATTTTTAATATAATCTCACGGCAAATGGGACAAATACAAATAAAAGAAAATTGAACATTGGTATGAATGAAGCTACCCTAACATTGTTGTAATTGGAATTAAACATAATTTTTAAAGGAGACGAATTACTGCTTGATTATTATTACTGATTGACGTCTTCTATGTCCTTTTCTATGCTACTCGCACAAGAAAAGGAAAAATTTATGGTCACTACTTGTTATGAAACAAAAGATACAGTGTGATCATTTTCTGTATATCGTAGATTATTCACGTTTTATTCATTTTGCAAAGTTTGACGTTTGATAAGTCTGATGGATTATCATAATTAAGTTTATGATAATGGCACGTAATTGACGAAATAGGTATTTGAACAATTTTCTTCCTGAAAAGTGACTTGGATAACACTTGCATCTTTACAAAATAGTGCGGTGAATTTTTATGGTCCGGACCTAAAAGTTATTTAAAAATTTTCAGAAATTTTTTCCAGATTTTGCCTGCCATTTCAATTTTCTGCTACTTAATTATTTACTTCCCCCTGAAGTGTCGTGTGCTATAATACAAACGTACAAAATATTCAAATTTCCTATTAAATAAAGAGTTTAATCTTATATAATTTGTGGATTATAACCACTGAAGAAAAATAACAGTTTCGTGTGACATATTAGTTGAAAAAAGTATAGTCAACATTTTACGAGCAATTTTTGTTTTGATAACTTGTTTATATACTTGTAAGTAGGTACTCCGTAAAATTTAGCTTTGCATTTAATACTGGTATTTGCGGTACTTGCGTTAACAACCGGTTTCGAAGCATGTTTCTCATTTTCGGATTTCACTGTTGACGGTAAAATAAATGAAAATTTTATGTAGTCGACACGCAGGGGACACGAATCCGCTCTTGCTCTCTCTGGCAAGATTGTATACATAGCGACACTGTCGTTGCACGTTTTCCCAATACCTACATCAACGTGCACATCTCGTGTGAACACTAAATATTTGTCTAAAGTATTCCCTGTCTTTGGTTTTAACATTCTACCTACAGTACCTATGCTTATTTATAAATAATTACGTAATCATTAAATTTATTCGGTGGAGTATGAATTATTTATTATAGTGATCATACATTACAATCTTTCTACATAAATGGGTAAAGTAATAGCGGTAAAATTTGCGTTTGTGCAACAAAATTTATTATGTGTTTACCGTAAACACTGGTCTGAGACGTCATATGAAATTCTTCAACTATATACGTTGCATTTTATTTATACCCAACCTTATTCTTGTTATCATAGCTTTAAAGATTTCATACTAACAAACGACGTAAATATGTATTAAATGCATTAATATTATTAATTCGGTAAATTCTATACATTCTACAGGTAAAGGTGGACTTACAGTCTAGAGATGAAACGGATAGTAATTTGGCCGGATACCGGATATCCGGCGAGCACCTAGGCCGGATGGAACATGTTGAGACCGGTTTACATGATTAGTGAATTATTGCATTTTCACATTGAGGATTTAAGTTGTTGTGGTCACTTGGTTTTTATAAAAACGTTGAATCTATTCGATAATACAAACAAACACAGCAGAAACATGTTATTTTTCCGGATTTAAATCGCTTATATTTGTTTTTTCAAACAAACCGACATTTCGGGCCCTGCACAGGTCCCATGGTCACGGTTGACTTGTCACTTGTCAACAGTGACCATGGGACCTGTAAAGATCCCGAAACGTCGGTTTGTTTGAAAAAACAAATATACGCGATGACTTGTCACTTGTCAACAGTGACCATGGGACCTGTAAAGGGCCCGAAACGTCGGTTTGTTTGAAAAAACAAATATACGCGATTTAAATCCGGAAAAATTGTTTCATTTCCTATGTGTTACAATCGCGAAGACCTAAAAACTCGATAGAAACCTTTTAACCAAAAGTACAACGTTGGTAACGTCGAACTTGTAAACCTTCCGAAGCCTGGACTTGAAATTCAACCTGCTTACAGAATTACTATGGAGCCGAGAATTTCGAACTTTTTACATAATTTAAGAAACGTGGATGGTTCCATATCGAAGACATGGGCTGAACTGGCAACATCTGTTCTCTGTCTGTGTGTATTTGGCGCCAGCGTCTATGAAATGTTGCTTGTAATTACCTTACCCGACATTTCGTTTAAGAATTACAAAACTCCTCATACTACAACCTAATTTAGGTTGATATTGTTGGCGATCTAGTCCATAAAGCGTAAATTGTCATTATTCTTTATATTCAAGAATTTTAGTCATTGCCGTACCTACCTACTAGTAATCTTGAACGCAAATATAATTTTGACTATAGGTCATAGGTACATATAATTTTTTTAAATGTTTTATTTCAAGTTGTAAATGTAAGGAAGTTTAAATAATAAACATATATTTTTTTTTCAGATCCTAGCCAAGATGCAAGAAAACATGAAAGTATTTTACTCAGATATAACAAGAAGTGACAATCATATCCAGAACGATCTCTATGATTTAGTGACAGTCAAGGTTGCCGTGCCGATAGTAATAAATAATAATGAGAACGGAAACTATCCTAAATGTTATTTTGAACCCAAAGTTGACAAGCATTATATACCAAAGAAAAAAAGTAGATTAAAAGTTAAAACTGTTCGAGATATCCGCAATTTGTTTGAAAAAGACATCTTTTCTTTCTTACCTCAAGAGTTAGAAAAACAGCAAAGCTTTTTACTGAGAAAAATAACCGCAGGTTCTTCGAGAAATGAAAATACTAAAACGTTAGCTAAAAATATGTTAAATGGCGACAAACCCATTTCTCGATCAGCGTGGCAAATGTTAACTAACCTTAATCCAGAGGGACATACACATAATATTCAATACTTTCTATGGAATGGAAAAAAAATTCGGGTTAATGGGAGTAAAGGAGGAAAAACTAAATTTTTATGTAACTACGATTTAAGCAAAAGAAAAGTTTGCACTAGAAAAGAATCTAAAAAACCTATTGTCGATAGTAAAAAGGGGCTTTTACGAAATTCATTAACCGTAAAATTTAAACCAGGTCCTCTTACAAAAAAAGTTGGTTTAGATGATTCTTATCAAAAGTACAACGTTGGTAACGTCGAGCTTGTAAACCTTCCGAAGCCTGGACTTGAAATTCAACCTGCTTACGGAATTACTATGGAGCCGAGAATTTCGAACTTTTTACATAATTTAAGAAACGTGGATGGTTCCATATCGAAGACATGGGCTGAACTGGCAACATCTGTTCTAGGATCCATTCGTAATCAAGAACTTGTTCAAAACGAAGAATCGAGTGTAACTTTTGAATTGAAATATAAATGTGACCAGAATCGTTTACTCATGCGTCGTGATCTGAATAGCAACAGTAATAAAATTAATCCTGATAATGACATACATCACATTTCGAATTTGTCAACTGGACCAATAGAAGTGCCACTTGAAATTCAAACCGTAGTGAGAAATCTTTTAGATGCCGTTGACATTAGCTTACAACAAGATAACTTGTACACGGGAGTAGATGACACTAGGAAACAAATTCGTAATGACGGCTTTAAAAAAGAAATCAACATTGCCTCAGGGAAGGAAAAGATATTCAAAAGAAAATATAACGAACTGGACAGACTTGACGTTACTGTCATAAGGTTGCCCGATGCTCCTCAGGAGAAAGACTTTAAGAAATGCTCAAATAGTTTTTGCACTTTAGGATGTGTTTGTGCTTCCTTACAATGTGTTTACAATTTAAAGGACCATTGTGGGCATGCAGAATGTATGTTTCAATGCACATGTGATTTTTCAAAGTTCAAAACTACTGATTCATTTGATAACAATTGTACTGGATTAATACCAGGTTTGGTCAATTTAAACGAGAAAATTAATCTTAGATTAGCGAAAGAAGAGCAAAAATTCCATCAGACAGTTGTAGTAACAGGAGAGAAAAGTATTTTACTAAAGTCTGAAAAACGAAATTGGAAAGCTTCTAAACGATATGGAGAATTTTACAGTAACATGTGTTTGAAATCTGGCTTGAAAACTCAACCTATATTGTCAATCTTAGATTTTAAAATTAATTGTGAAAACATAGAACCATGGTGCATGGTCCATAATTTATACAAGTGTTTCTGTAATGGAAGGTTTACTGAAAATTCACTTTCTAGTAAAAATCTTCTAGAGGAAAAAGAATTGAATGAGACAGTAGCTCACGACGGTATACAACCTAACACGGACGTTTCTATCGTGGGATGTTCAGAAAAGAAAACTCTTAAACGTACGAGATGTGGAAGCATAAGTAACGATAAGAATGCTAAAAGATTTTCCGTATCTGACAGCAGTGATATGACAGAAATAGAATTTATTTCAAATTATGATGAAAAGAAATGTGCTAGATCAACACCGTACAAAGGAAGAAAATATTTTGATTCTTACTACTCTGCCACTAATAACAAAATTGCAGAGTTAGAGAAAAATGACGATACGCTTCGTCATAGGATGCTTAGTTTAATCAACGTCGATAGAAGCGAAGATATAAATAAAGTGCAGGCTAGTAGCAAGGTAGAAGAGCCGCATGAAACAAAAGAGAAAAAGAGTGACAAGAACAGACGTAAGCAAGTAAAAGATAAAGGAAAGCAACCAGTGGACGAAGAAAAATGTACTACAATAATGGGAAACGAAAAGTCGTACTACATTGAAAAATGCGATGCTCTAAATTTAAATAAAGAACAAAATTACAAACATTCATCATCATCACACACACAGTTTGCATTAGACTCACCAACTATAACTACTACTAATATAGGTAGTACCACTGCAAAAACAAAACTGATTGCATGGATAGAGCAAAGTTATAAACAGTACAAGCAGCGTTTGGACAGTGGTCTTGTCAAGAATACGTTAGATCCACCGAAACATGGAAAAGTAGCTCTATATCCTTGGAGTTTTATACTGAGTCGGTACAGAGAACGTAAAAACTTATTCATGATATCTAAACAAGGACCTTATAGAATATTTATGGCTGTTGATACGAATAACGAATTTTTCGTGAACTGTACGAATATAGATGATATAAGATTTGCTGATTTACATAAATACCCGCTCACAATCAAGAACTTGCTAACCAATGCTACAAATGAATTGAAAGACGATTTTTGTATTCTGTGTGGCTTGTCTCACTGCTGGGAACTAATTGGATCAGTATCAAAAGTAAAAGAAAATGAGACAAGTCGAACGGAATCGAAGACAGAATCAAAGTCGATTTCTGATTCATTGTTAATAAGTGATAATGAAACAACAGATCATAATATGGACGACTGTGACAAAGAAGCTGCTCCTACCACAACGAATGAAGAATTGCAAGAAAAATCAACTACAGACAGTCAAAATAGCCCTAAGAATTCGAAATGGTTTGTTATGACGGTGGAAAATGATTTTACCGAAATTCAGTTTTATAAAAGAGGCTTTTTCGTGAAATATGAAAGCATTTTAAAAGCTATTAATGTTGCCAGGCTGTCTGGGAAAACTGTGCGACTGTCTGCTCAAAAGTGTCCCGAAAAGAATAGTACGCCCCAGTTTGGCATATATGCAATCCCAGATTCAAGCGAGCATTGTGTTTTTGTAGGCCCTTACGATGTCAGTGAATGTTTGGGTATAGACACTGTACGTACTTTAATAGATGTAAGGAAGAATACCAATTTAACGAGAGGTATTTGGATCACCACTAAGGCAGATGATAATATCAAAGTTATCGAAAATCCTTTAGCATTCATGCCATCAAAAGATGGTTCACATGACACTGTTATAGTATCGTTACCTCGTGATGAGACAGTCCAAAGCTCCGCTGAAAATTCTTCGAATCAAACTTCGAAAAGTAATGTTTCAGTGCGTGAAAAGTCAGACATTTCTGTACATGAAAAGTCAAATATTTGTAAAACAGTTAAACCGATAAAAATACGCAAGACTGATGGATTATACCACCTGGCTTCAAAAGACTTACTGAAACAGATTAACAATCCACAATTATTGCAAACAAACGATCCATTGCTTAACAATGTGTTAAATAAAAATGAATCAGCTGTTCTGACGCCTTTATATCTTCCATCATCATCGAGTGTTACTTTACCCTCTTTACTAAAAAAATCAACCATAACGAGCCGTGATGTCTGTCCAGCTGATCCGCCTCCACTTATCGAGAATAAGAAGCCCGTTGCTGAAATAGCACCTCAAATAAAAATCGTCGAAGTGTATTCCGAAGCCAGTGCTACAATTACTCCTGTCAAACAACCGGAACGTGGAATGTTTGTTTTGAAACCTGAAGAAATAAACAAGCGCCTTATGGAGAATAAATTGAATTGTACTACACCAGTTTACCCTATACAAAAAGTAGAAGATATGGACCAAGACATAGAAAATTTCCTTGCCACATCTGCTGAGTACATTCCACCAAACGCTGAAATATTTGAGATTTCGGATGATGACGAAGGTAGTTCTACTCACAATGTTTGGAAAGACGTATGGATAGAGTGCAGAAATATTGATAATTTGGGTTTGATAAAAGGGAGACTCAACGCTGAGAACGAGTTGAGTTTCGAATTTCCTGGATTCAAATTCACAGATTTTTATTCTGAGGAGGAAGCATTTACTAAAATTAACCAGTAAGTATTCTATTATTGCACTTAAATAATTCGATAACCGGTGAAGTTTACTTCTGTAAGAACACGTTGACAGCTGGTCGCCGGTTGCGTGTATTGGATATCGTATAGTATCTCTTATTGTGCACAAGTGATTGAAGCTTGATTTCCGATTATATGGAAAAATGGCATAGGAACCCCCAGTTGACCTTACAGAGCAATTCTCTCTGGTACGTTTATTATGTTCAGCACAGAGTATGTACGGTTACATACAGACAGACAGTCGCTACTCTGCCCTTAGAGAGTATATAAGTAAAAAATAGCATTGATGTTGAAACAATTTTCAGGGTCTTCTCACGGAAAATATACGTTCCAAAAAACATTAATATCGAATGGCATGTCGTGGAATCGGAAACCGACCTGAAGACAACAAATTTCTTGAAATCGGAAGATCTTGGCATCGATTTTGTAAGTTGTAAACATACACTTACTTACCAGTTACCTCACTAAATGTAGTACTAGAAAGGCTAATTTAGCTATCTAATGTATCGAAAGATGATGATGCAAATGTTATAAGTAATTGGTAATTACTTGGAAAAGTATCTTCAACAAGTTTGTAAATTGTTACATTTACTTACATGATTATAAAATCATGGTACTCGTTTGAGAGAAATGATCGGAATCATACTATTTCATAAACGGTCAACTTGCAGGTGTTAACGAAACGTGGACTTCGCCATAAAAGGGATTTAATAGCAAATACAAAAAACGCTAAAACCGAAATGATGAAAACGAATTCTGGTTCCTCAGTCGGAAAGGGGAAAAAAATGTCCGCCGACGATATGGATTCCGTAAGTTTATACCTTTTGTAATGAATGCAAACTTTTTGTTGGAATATATTAAAAAGTTGGTGTGTATAAATCACGGAAAAAGTATTTATGTGGTCTGTGGTATAAATATATATAAAATAGATGATACATTTTTGATTAGACTAGATGTTTAAAATGAGTGTTTTGTCTATATGCATTTTTTGTTCATCAAATGCATTTGTATGTGTAAGTAATAAGTAATTAAACAATTAAACTTGTGATTAATTCCGATGAAATTCACCATCATTAAACTTAGTTTTCAGCAATATCATTTATGTCAGCTATGTAATTTTCGAAAATTCTAATTTAATTTAATCGTCCAGTAAATAGGTAATTAGTTAACACCATTCAGCGATATTTTTGGTCACTATGAAGGACTGCGCGCTAATTCTCAGTTATGACATTTTTCCCAGTTTTATGTGAAAATACTTTTTATAATTTCACAAAAACAATGTAAATTATAAAAAAATAACAAAAATTAAATAAGAGTAGGTTAGTCTGATCTAAGATGACGCATCCGATAAAGAGTACGCAATGTAGATCGCCGAGAAGTTATTTACAATATGCAACTAAGTTCAGTGTCATTTTGTAGTGCTAAGAAGTGAAGATTGTTGTGCGGAAAAATATTAAAAAAATATTGAAAACTAAGAAACTACCTAAGCCTGAACATTTTTATGTATTTGCGTAAAACTTTTTGTATTTTCAAATGGTTTCTGTTACTGAGAAACCAAGCATTTTTTTTTAAACTGACATTGTATCAAATCGCCCAAAAACTCGTCTACTGATCAAACTACAAACGATTCTAGTCACTTGCAACATATGGGGTTAGTAGCAGTTTTATTCTGAAATGGTTGAAGTGTACAAGAGTACGTAACTTGACGTGTTGCAAGAGTGCGCGCGTAGTCTCAGACCATTTTGTTTAGAAAAGTATACTTCTGAATGAAATTTCTGTCGTTGTGCCTTGTTCTAAATCAACTGAAACTTTATGCGAGAGTCAAGTATTTTTGAAGGTTTACCAGACCTGAGCCGTGTGCTGCGAATCTGCCTGAAACATCGGCTGCAAGTGCGCCTAAAGCACCACCACCACTCTAACTGAGGTATGTCCGTGCCACAAGTACATTCTCCTCAGCTCGCCATGAGCAAAGGCCCATGCATACGGAGACAAAAAAGTCACATTATCAAAAAGGTATGGAGGTGATTCGTGCAACCGGTAAACGAAGTCCTTGTGTACTCTTGCCGACGCACATGCATAGGTACGCTTGCCCATTACCCAAAGTAGTGTAAGAGTACGCAAATCCCATTTTGCACTTTTTTATCAATTACAACCACATTATTAAATTTAACTATTTTCCACGTTAGTATGTAAGAGTCAGATAAATAGACTATAAAATAAAACAATAGCTGATTTTCTAACACTTTTTGTTTTCATTCTACACGGTCTCAAACCTTAAGTGCGTCGTCTTAAACCAGGCTTCCCTACCTGATACAAACCAATAAAACTATCTCAATAAAACGTTTAGATAGAAATGAGTCATTTCTGATTGTAACTATAAAAAACTATGCATTTTTCGTTTTCTCTGGGCTATGCATTTTTTGTTTAGTATCATTCTTTCTTTCAGTATCATTATCAACCAGAAAAGTTATTCACAAAAGCGGAACATAAGAGTAGGAGTAACAATTTTGCCCCAAAAACTATGTATGTAGGGTTGCCGGAGGATCCCCAGCCGTCCCGTCCCATCATTTTCTCTTGACTTCGGGTATGAATTTGGATTAATGTGCTAATCAATCGTTTTAGGCCATCGACGCGTTAAGTAACATAGAAGAACACGGCAGAACGTTGGAAGAACAAGGTGACAATCTTATGACCGAGATCGCTAAAACTAGCGAGTACTTCCGATCAATTACCGACGTATCCGATTTTCCCTATGACCGCCGCGAGAGAATGATGGAAACATTGCAAAATATTATGTCAGTAACAGATACGGCCGATGAACTAACTAATACATGAAGATTAACGATAGTATCGAAAGTATCGGCAATGCTGTTTATTAATGTCTAGTGCCTGAGACGGCATTATGGCTACTAACGCTTAGTTAGTTATCTAAGATAAGACTATATTAACTACCTACTATATATGTATGCATATATTTCATGTCCAGTTGCCAGCGTGAAATACCGATCACGCTGACATTCTAGACACTAGCAAGTTAGAGTACCTTCTAGCAATGACTGTTTATATTGCTAGTCAAATTTTAAATACGGTGAGGATGATGATGGTAAATACGGTGTTGAAATTATGTTGATGCTGGAATGCGGCATACACTTCAGATCTCAGATTCTGATGAAAAGATTTGTGAACACCATTGACTTACAAATAAATGGACGACGGGTCTAATACAAAAACCACGAAAAAAATGGCCCAAGTCAACCTATTCGAAATTTAAATTGTAATGTCATCGCAGTATCGCGCTGTCAGTCGAACAAATGAAGACTAAAGCGGAGTTTGGCGCTCTGTATACTATTTGAGCGCCTTACAAGAGTGTAAGTATAATTGTAAGTCAATGGTGAACACTAATCGATTATGTCCTATGTGCGTGCAGCGGCGGTGTATAATCGTTTTTATCTACTTACAACAATTATAAAGAGAATTACATTGTAACTTTCGTGCTTTTCATGAATATTGATTTATAGGTATTGTTATGAAAACAAGTGTGGAAATTTATGTACGTAATGATTTATGTTTGTTTCGCTAATCCGTGTAAGTTAGAGCAAAAAGTTTTAAGTTCATTTTCTTTTTAACTTTAAACATTAACTTAAGTATTTAATGTAAAAACTGGTATTAGTAGTGTCCTCTTTTTCTATCTTCATCTTATTGATAGAAATTATAGCATTTAACACAGTGAATTTTAGTTTTACATGTGTTTTTCGACCATTTACGTTACGTAACATGTATATATTATATTTTGAGACTGAAATTAATATTTAGAAAAAAGAAAATTGTCATTCAGTTTTTCGAAGGTCCTAACTGCATTATATCCGATTTCTTCTTAAGACTAAAATATTATTACTATGTTTGAGTGGCGATTGTGGACTATTTTTCCCTACTACGGTTGCCAAGGTTCCATTTACGTCATCACATGCCATTTAAAATGTATATATTAAATAGGTTAGAACCTATAACAGTAGGTATAGGTAATTTTCACTAATATGAATATCATAACTTGAGGTAAATCGAGCTCTGTGTTAGGCATTACACGAATGCTTTGTTTTACATACCTATTTAAATTTTGAGTTTAATGTGAAATCTGTGATACTTTTATAATTATTTCTCTACTGGTTTTAATTCGCACTAACGCAAACTATTATTAAGTCTGATGCAGTTATGATTTTAGTCTGATTGCATCTCGTTTTTCATTATCAGCAAGGAAAGAACAGAGGGCCCCATTTCACGTCAGAGCTTATAGATTTTAATATGAATAAATTACCTCATTAGGTGCGTACCTAAGTTATTAAACTTGATTTAATTTGCATCTGTTAAATAAAACTTTGTTCTTTACTGATAACGAAAAATACTGATAAACTTTAATTCAAGAGGATTGTGAAGCAAGTCGCCATGCAAAAAGCACATACAGTAACATACTTCAATGTTTTGGAACATGTTACATAGATTACTCGGTTTGTATGGTTTAACTTTTTCGATATTCGTGTAGAAAGGAGCATGCCAGTTCACTTGATTTTATTTCCTAATTTCTTTCGTACGTAACCATTCATATTTTATAAATAAGCTATCAAAGATAAGCGAACGTACGGACGAACTTAGTTGAAGGTACACTGATTGAATTGAGAACAAATTCTGTACAATTTTCAAGAGGATTAAACGTTTTCTCCCTGAATGAGTTTTGTTAGAAATAGAAGATACTGAACGTCAAAAGCTGCAATTGTCGTGTGATCCTCTGTGGTCAGACCACCAATAAGTACTCATCCGAGTAGTACAAAATAATAGGTACCTAAACTCTATTTTCCTTGACATACAAAATTAATAGTACCTCGATAGATTACGAAATATTTATCCACGTAGGTGGTCTTTAGAAGTTATTAGATGTAGGTTGTGGTCCGGCTGGGGAGTATGTTCTGCAGCGAGTCTACTTGATGATTGTTAATTATAACTATGCGTAGATATATTAAAAAATAAGTATCATTACTTGCCGTTGATATATTTAATTCCCTCAATAAACTGTTGGTTTATTTAATATACTAAATCTTCAAAGTGTGTGGCGCGGCCAGAGAGTATTTCTTTGTAAGAATCAGAATGGCGGGTAAATCTTAATGAGTCCTGACACACTTGTATCAAAAAATGTACCTACTAATTGTGCTATTTAGTACCTGTGTAAGAAAAACAGTACCTCTATTAGAACAAAATTAAAGCTACATCAAAGCGCACGCAATTGTCACTGTTGATTGCTTTTATATTTATAGAGTCAGATGAGTAACTTCGATAAATTAGGTGGTATAAGAACGATATACATAGATATAAAAAAATTTGAGCAAACATTTTGTATGGAAATTAACTATTTATTCTGTTTTTTATTTGCTCTCTATGTTCATGTACCTGTGGCAGACATGAGACCTAGGAAATTCAGGGGCTGGCAGTTACTTTTGTCGCCGTTACTTGAAAGGGTGCTTGTGACAAAAACTCAAAACCGAGAAAATAATGTTTAAAGAAATTAAATAATGTCTGCAGTTTCTAAACGAAAAACATAGACACTTTCTGCAAACGCAGTAAGATAAACCTATATATTCTAAGCAAAATATGGAATTAAAATATTTTGTTATTTATATCCTTTCATTATTGAATAATTACCCAAAATATAGAAAAAGGGTAATAATTAAAAATGTTCGTAAAATACTCAATATACTACATGGACGCAAATAACCACTAATGCCTTTTCAACTTGCATTATTACAACACAATTAACTAAAAATGACGGATAATTTACGTATCACGTTTCGAACCAATTCGTGCTCCTTAATCATGAGATTCCGCGGCGGTGACTCAACGGAAACTGCGCGCCAAAGCCCTGGCAGCCCGATCACTCAGTACAGCAGCGGGCACCGACCATCCACTATCACGATTGAACCCCCCATTTTGGTACCCCCCCCCCCCCCCCCCTGCAACTTGACATTTTCAAGATTTTTAGTACTAAAATGAAAGGTAACATTTAATCCACTTTATTTTAAATTTATGTGAGCATTGTGTAACCGTCATCTGGGAAATTAACATTTTTAAGTAACTAATACATGTAGGGCTTTAACTGAGGAAGATTTAGAAAGTTAATGTGTCTTGCGTCTTTTCATTTACTTAAGTGATTGAAATGTGTAGTTAAAATGAAATGACGTATATATGCAATTACGTCTTTTTACCAATTTGTTTTGTAAATGCGTCCATAAAAGTGTGGATATTTAGGCCCTTTTCTCTTACAGTAACTTCATACCTAATCCACCTAGGAAAAAATAAAAATAGTGGCAGATTTGTCTTTTTTTGCTTATCACGGCTGTACAGGTAACTCATTTTTTGAAAAAGTTTCACTTGCCCCCTTTTAACTAACGGCGGCAGTACTTTGCTTATAGAACGCAGAAATTCTCGGTACCACGCTGCGTTAGTACAAACATTAGAAATTAGGGTTTTAAACTTTTAGTACCTATATGTATATTATTGGCCCCTTATATCTTGTAGATAATAAATTATTATTTACCTATACCTATGGTTCACGACAATTTGTTAAGACAAAAAAATTTGAAATTTTGGATTTCTCTGTTTTTAGCTCTTGAAACTATAAGTGATGTTTTTTTCGACAAAATACATGAAATTAATTCACCCTCTAATGATGTGTAGTTTAATGTTACAGGCGTGACTTTGCAAAAATCCATGTTAATAGAAATGTAACTAAATTAATTTGCTATTCCGCAAATCCAGTGAAGGTAAGTCGTGCAAAATAGTCGAGCTTGTATTGAATATTTTTTCATGCAGTTACAATAATTTTCTTTGTGGAGCTATCCACGGCCGGTTTTTCAACGCGCCAACGCGCCGTGGAAAGAGGGCCACCCGAGCGCGACTTAAGGAAAGTAAACGGCAGTCTTAGGGAAGCTAGTTTATTGTATAGTTTCAAGTCTGGTACAAGAAGAATCTAGAGTATTACTACGATGAATCTTATGTAATAAAGTAATAATGCACGTGCTAAAAGTTGCAATTATAATCTTTAACTTCTAACGCGTTCTTCCGAATATGCGCCACCACGCGCCGCAAAAACAGGCGACCACGGGCCACGATACGCGCGCTCGGGCCGGGCGGCCCCCTTCCCACGGCGCGTTGACGCGTAGAAAAATGGGCCGTGGGAAGCCAATTATATTAACATATTCATTTTTTTAAGTACTGGCCACTGAAATTTATAAATGTAAATTAAGACTGTATTAAATTATGGTTCAAAATTAAAAAAAAAGGCAAAAACATTTTGGAATTATGAGGGAAAACCTTTTAAATATTAGGCGCAGCGCATAGTATTTTTCTAAAGTAAGCAATAGAGAGTTTAATATGACTTTACGTTTGTTTTCTTGTATTAAAGAATTTGTCATTGTCGTTAATTTTTGTGATTTTGAGCGTCATGTCACGTCGTCATTTAACGCGGGAAGAGATGCGTAGGGGAGTATGCTGAAAGCTGGACGCCATCAATGTGATATTGCAGCCGCTGTTAACCCGATATTGTTGTGGGCTGGAACTCGCCTGGTTGGAAGAACTACTGATCTCGTTTGGATAAAAGACAATTTGAATGCAGAACGATACTGCGACGAAGTTGTGCAACCCATGGTAATTCCTCACCGACAGCAGTTCGGTCAACATTTCAAGTTTATGGACCACAATTGCAACGGCACACATTGCAAGGCTGGTGATGAACGATGGCGGGTGAGTAGGGGAGACCGGGGCTGATAGTTAGCCGGGGTAGGGCAGCGTGGGGGAATGGGAGCCTACTAAGGAAAATTGGTAATAAAAGTCATAATTTATGCAATTTAAACTTTTCTTAGTTATGAACGTACGCTTCACATATCTGGGTACTAGGTAATCACAGAAAAAATGTGAAACTAAAATAGAATATATCGAGTTCTTAGGTGTTGTTACACATAGTTATATAACTGGTTGAAGATTGTACCACCTCAGTCAACCTTGACCATGAGACCTGTAAAGGGCCCGAAACGACGGTTTGTTTGAAAAAACAAATATACGCGATTTAAATCCGGAAAAATAGTTTCATTTCCTATAAAATAGAATATTTGGTTAAAAAGGAAAAACTAAAACATGTCATTCGCTCCCATTACCCCACAGTTTGGGAAATGGGAGCCGGTAAGAGTCCCTTATGTCAAATGGGAGCCTTTATATATAATTAGTCTGAAAAAAAAATTAAATTGATAAAATAAGTTAAAAAGTAAGGAGAATAAACAAGAAAGTGTTAAAGGAATATCCAGTGAATATTGCAATGGGATAAGGAGAGCCAAATAGCTCTCATTACCCGCGTAACATCCAATTGAAAAAGGAATAAAACAGTAAAAACATTTCTATTTTCATTGTGATTTCAAGCATAACTTCTAAAGTTTGATAGATATGGTGACATAGCTAGGGTAAAAACAATGTAGTTACTATGCATTTTAATGCATACCTGGGATGATGAAATTTGGCAAACATTATAAGCGCGGAGCGGAAAACACACAACCATCTCGTACGACTAAACGCGGGGTTCTACGGGGCCGCCCACAGGACTCGAACTTTGGCGAACGTTTACGAAGACATAGGAGTGCTGTTTGCACAAATATGAGCATTGGGAACGTCCAGTTTAACACCGCTCTCATTACCCGCGGTCTCCCAATACCCCACGCTCCCCTAAGTTGTTCTCACAGCAATAACTTTGCAAGAAAAATATATAGCAATACCTACATGTAAAGCACGTCGTTACAGCGTCAGGTGATGCGTCTTGCCAGCAGCCATTTCAGAGTTACTCCGGCGACATCACGTAAGTACATTTTTTCTTGTTTAAATTTTTTGGTCTGTCTTAGTCTATTATGGGCCGATTCATACGTAACTTTTCTAAGTTGTAGTGACATTAGTACGGAATCTTATTATTTGAGTATCTTTTTCATTGATTCTATTACTTTGCCGGTATGTCAGTCTTCGTATAAAAACGTAATTTGAGGCTTTAACTTCCGCCTTCGAGGGGCTGATCTTTCCTAGGAACAAGTTCCCCAAATGATCTGCAATCATGCTTAAAATTCTTATCACCATTTTTCTTTGTTTTACGGATGCGAAACTACAAACGGGCTCATGTCAAATATTTAGACAAGGTGATATAGTCACTGTGTGTCTCAACTGTGATTCAGATGAAGAAATGAGCTATGAATAATGTTACTGATGAATAAGAATGTAGTTGTTTTTTTTTAAGTTAGTTTTGCATAATATAAACATTACATACATAGAATTATAAAAAAGGTGGTTTTATGTAAGAAAATCCTTGTTATCCTGTCATAATTTTGAACAATTTGCCCCAAAGGCGGAACAACGCGCCCCAAAGCGGGGCTAAATGTTCCATCCTTGGGGTATATGTACTTGGGTACTATTGTCGTGTCTATGTCTGCCTCTATGGATCCCATCATGGTGACGCGGAGACAACTCGTCTTTTAGGTCTAAAAGACGAGTTGTCTTAGTTACCTTAGTTCGGTGGCTGATTACGCGCAGGCGGAGTTTCCTACAGCGGAATTGGTTCTTTTGGGGGACTTCAATGCTCACCACGAATCGTGGTTAAGCTCGTCCAAAACCGAACATGCCGGAAGAACTGCCCACGCATTCGCCCTGACACACAATCTGACTCAACTACTAAACCAACCCACCCGGATTCCAGATAGAATCAGCGATGCGCCCTACTTATTGGACCTTCTGTTGGCTTCTCACCCAGACGGATATCAGATAGAGGACCGAGTCCCTCTGGGCACCTCGGATCACTGTTTGGTATCCGCTAAAGTTCAACAGATTCTGCCAAACCAAATATACAGACTAAACGCCGTATTTGGCATTACGCATCAGCAAATTGGGACGGCTCATAGGACTACTTTGCATCCGTCTCTTGGCGTCAGCACTGCTTTAGTGCGATGGACTCAACAGCTAGGGCATCTACTTTTGTTGATAAGATCTTATTAGGGATGGAATACTATATCACGCATTCAGATCTAGTCAGTAATGGGTGGCATAACCGCTGGTACAACCGTAAGTGTGCGGAGGCTGTTAAGAACAAACAGGCCTCATACCGCGCTTGGATCAGGGGGCGAGCTTCACATGATCCTAAAACGAACTCACTAAAGACAGCCTACAATAACGCCACCAAGTCTTGTAAAAGGGCTTACATCAGAGCGGAAACTCAGCGCGTTGCAAGAGTTGGCCAAGAGCTTCTAATGCATCCTACGGGCAGTCGTAGCTACTGGCGTCTTGGAAGGGCCATTACTTCAAACTTCTGCCTACCCTTGCTCCTCCCGCTGATATGCTCTGACGAAAATCTAGCCAACAAGCCACAAGAGAAAGCCGATCTGGCAAATCTCTTTGCGTCGAACTCCCGACTCGACGACTGTAACACACAACTGTGGTCTGTGCACACAACCACCAACTCTCCCTCACTGTGGCCACTGGATGCCTGATATTCATATTAGACAACGTGATGTGCGTATGGAGATGCAGTCTCTTGACGTTCGGAAAGCTGGTGGTCCTGATGGCATCCCAGCTTTTGTTCTGAAAAACTGCGCACCTGCGTTGTCCCCAGTGATCAAAACAGCTTCACGAAATCTCTGTGTCGAAAACAAGGTGCGTCGTTTCTTCACGCCTGACCAATTATGCCTGTTGTACAAAACCCAAGTTAGGTCTTGCGTTGAGCATTGTTCACACCTCTGGGATGGCTCCGCCAAGTACCTTCTCGATGCCTTGGACAGTTTGCAGCGTCGCGCCTCACGAGTCATTGGCGATAAAGAGGTCTCATCACACCTTGAATCTCTACAACTGCGAAGGACGTTACATCACTTAGCGCCTTTTATCGGATGTACCATGGCGAGTGCTCTGAAGAACTGTTCAACCACATCTCGCCCTCCCCTTTCCTGCTCCGAAGTACGCGTGCTGGCCTTCGTAGTCACCGTTTTACAACTAGCAGTATTCCGTCGAGAAGTAGAAGGTTTTTGGCACCTTTCTCTGTCGCACAGTTGAGAAATGGAACTCCCTTCCAGCGCACGTATTCCCTCCGTGTATGTTATGGGGTTCTTCAAACAAGGCGCGAAGAGGCATCTTGTAGGCATGCAAGGTGGAGGCAGCTAGAGTGGTGATTATATCAACACTTCACTAGTTTCCTTCACATTTTGGATTCCATTTTATATCAGGTGGAATGTAGTCATCTGCCTGTCATGTATAAAAAAAAGTATGGTGTATTCCACAGGTGACAAATGGACAACCTCATACTTAGTATGCTACACCGTTGTAGAGCCGTCGCTAATGCTTTGGGAGGTCCGATTGACTATTAAATAATCTCAGTACAAAGTATTAAAAAAACCGACTTCAACAGTCGTTCATCCCCGAGTTTGCCACCCTTAGAGGTGGAATACTTCAATGGGACCTGAGGTATCCTATTTCCAACAAAAAAAGAATCGCCAACAGTGTTTATGGAATGGGGTTCGTGTAGTGTAATATGGAAACTGTTTGTTAAATTTGAAAAAATATTATAACCTTGTTCCCTAGACTTTGTTGTGCAGTGTATATAAAATTATTACTCGTAAAAAGTCGGGAGTCAATTTTACACTAAACATAAAACCCCATTAATTGCAAAGTATTGGCCAACTTGTCGATTAACAACTTAATAGGGTTCTCTTTGACGTAGGAATATGACATGTTATCGAAATACTAAGTTGTAAGAAAATTAAGAAGACAGATTTCTTAATTTTCTGTCTTTTTCAGTTCAATACCGTCCCGCACTAAAAAGTTTGGCAATTCGTTTTTATGCCGAACCATCAAATTGTGGAACCGACTCCCGGCGCATGTATTCCCTCCCCTCTATAACATCGGGTCCTTCAAACGTAGTGTGAAGAAGCATTTGGCCAGACCGGCAAAATGATAGTGACGGAGTGAAGATATTTGTGTTTTCCATCCGTTACTCTCATCTCTGGACTGTATTCGCACTTTCCATCAGGCGCGGAGCAGTCATTTTGCCGAGTCGTAATAAAAAAAAAACAATAATTTAATGAGCCTTGTCGCCGATTAAGTAGCAAATGTTATTGTGAGTAATTTCGTAGTCCAAAAAGACGAAAATAGCCTGAAACAAAATAACTGAATATCTTTGAAAACTATAATAATTACTCATCAACGCTTTATGCTTTCGCACTGCTGGCGACCCGCCCTAAACTGCTGCTAGCTGCGGCACAGTTTGTATATCTTGTGCGCCCAGGGAAAAATGTTTCCAAGAGCACATACATTTTAAAATACCTATATCGATCAGGTGTTGCGACTCTTATTCCTCTTGTTTTTATTTTGCGTTCTCGCGAATTACACCAAAGCCTAGCTTTAGTACAAAACCAACTTGAAAACTTTTTTATACCTTCTGATTGTTTTAAGCTCAATATATTAATCGTAGTTCATTAGAAATAAATGTGGTAGTACCTAACTGTTATTTTGATTAAAACTCTATTAGGTATTAAAATTTTATTTGGTTCCAATAAATTTATTTTTTCTACGGATTTGACAACTCTGGCTGCATTAGTTGGGGATGATATACCAGAAATACGAACGGAAGCAAATTTACACAAGAGTTGAACTAAATACGGAACAAGACGTTATAGTAGAAAGATGGCTTACTGACCAAGAGATTACATATTTTTTTTTCTTTTAGTGGATTTTTGCTTCCCTTCGTTGGTGTCAATTTCATTTATTCGCTATCAAATAAAAATCCACGATGACCCTGTGTTGTGTATACATTGTAATAACTATCTAAAACGTAACATGGCAAACGTCAATACTAATTTATTTTGACAAGTCTAACAAGGGATACATCGATGTCAAGGGATAGTATATAATACTTTTATTTTATTAGCATATTTATGTAACAATATAAATAGGTATTTTAATAACATAATATCTTCTCCACAAACTGAATTATTGTTATGAACAATCATATTATTGTACATTATGCACTTTATGAAAAATACTTAGTCTCGTAGGTATATACTTGCTAGGAACAGCACGGGCAAAAGCCATAGTCTATATACCAACTACATTTAAATTTATTATTGGTAACAGCACTTTCAAATTAAACATCAATTTATTAATAGCTTTTAATAAATCAGTTACATAACATACGGCACTGATCTTACAATAGCGTCGTGGTTACGACACTTGTCATTTGCTTAAAGCAGTAACAAAAAATAATCTTAGATATGTGGACAGAAGCAAGCTATATTTACATTTACATAGATTTAGTTAGGACTTAAGATTCTTATGTAACTGAGCTATAAAAAGATAAACTACTACGACCTGCTACCGTATTCTGGCGTACAACACAAACTTAGAAGTCTCTGGTTCTACCAAACGAACAAAGTTGGTATATTTTCTACTTTATTATCATGAGCTTTAACACCTAGAACATACACGTTCGACATTTATAATGTTCGTGAATGTATCCAAAAGTCGATCTTAAGACTTGTCTGTAGTGGAAGGCCGCCTGACGTTGTTGCGTTGCGGGATGACGAATTCTGCATGTCGCGGGCCGGCGAATGGGTTGGTCGGCGCAAAAGGCGCGCTTATGGAACCTTGTCTTTGCGGCATTCGTCGGGCGCCGCCATCTGTATTTATCGTGCGCGCCGGGCTTAGCGTCCTGCCGGATTTCATTCGCTATTTAGATCCGTTTATTTATCGCGTTCCTGTGCTCTTTTTCGTCAATTACAACAGAGGTAACTTTTCTGTTGGAAGTCTGTCCACATCAATCTTACCTAGGCACTGTATTAAGGTCAGCCGCTGCAGAGTGCTGTCTCGGCGGCAAAGCTGGCGGGGGGCCCGCCGGGCGAGGGCTAGCCACTCCTGCACGTGGTGGAATCTAAAAAAAAATTATCTTCATGGCAGTACCGATAAATGGATTTGGAGGTGTTGTAAATATATCCATCGCATAATTTAGTAGCAGTAGAGCTCCTTGTGAAAGAGTTCATCCAGGGAAGTACTGCCTTACCTTAACCCATTTCTGCCGCCAATGCGATCCGGTTTCGAAAGGTAAGGGTGCTGGTGAAATTATAGGCACATGGAACTTAACAACTTATGTCTTAAGGTGTCGGGCGCAATGGCAGTGTCGCTTAGATCTTTGTAATTTAAAGCTCTGAATGGCACTGCATTAGTTACGAGACAGGCGTGTCGTTTTCCATCAGGTCCACGACTTGTTCGTCCCGTCTCACTTAGTATTATAAAAAAAAACTAATTGTCTATAATATGAAGCAAGCTTAATAAAGACTTGTGCTTGCAAGTTGGTGATTCTTCGTACCGTAACTATTTTCGCTGATGTGTGTTTTCGATGCACTGTTATTTAAGTAATAAACTAAAGGTCGTTTGTTTCCCCAATGAGTAAATAGATATTAACCGTCGGCGGGTCGAGCGGCCGCGGCGGCGGCGCGCCCGCGGCGTGCGAGTGCGCTCTGGCCAGGCGCTGCTGCGGCGGCGCGGGCGGCGGCGGCCGGCGCGGCGGCAGGCTATCTGTCCGCTGTGCCACGCGATGAACCTCCGGACACTTTTCACTGGATTCTCCCACTTTTTCACCGCTCTCCTTGAATCAAAACATCCATTTTGTTTATTTAATTGATTTACGATTATTCTATCTGTAATCCTGAACGACTTACTAAAGAACTTACGATAAGTTACTCTCAAATCGTAGAATTTTGCTATAGTATGGTAACTCCATACAAACGTAACAACGCGGTTTCAATGCGTGCACGCCCGCCGCGCCATATACGAACTTGCACGTTCGCGTCGGGTCGCAAACACCATTAATTATAGAATAGAAGGGTTCGCTTGGTGTTTAAAAAATTACATCAAATAGTAGACGTGTCTATTGTTATCTCAAGTTCAGAACAGTTCAACATTTAATTTCTATTTCATAATCGCATTCACATAATCGAAATAACAATCCGCGAAGCTGATATAAAAATATCAATACGAAAGTACTAATATAATAATCATTTCAATATAATTTAAAAAAGCACGAAAATACAATTAATTATTTTTTTCAAACTACGTGTTTTGTTGTGCACGTAAACCCGTTATTATAATTATTGCGTCCTGTATTTTGGTCTGCAGGAAGAAATTTCTTATAGGTAGATATAAGCAGTATCTTTTGTTTGTGTTTTCCGTTTCATTTAATGTGATTTGTGTCGTGTGTGTTGTACCTGTCCAATAAATAAATAAATAAAATAATAATGTGACCCTACGCTCGGTGTGAAATGTAGTTTTTTACCCTCCGGAACAGACAAGTGTTGCCCATGTTTACTTGTTTTATTATACTATGGTTTTACTTCGGTTTGATTTTATACTTGATCTATTGATAGTGTATCTATATATGTCTGTTGATGGTAACTGAAGGAAAATCAAACGTAGTATGTAAAATAAGAAAATTGCGGATTACCGCCAAAGTCTGCATACAAAATGAACTTTTAAGTTAGTCAAGTACCAACTATGCCGATACTACCTCCAAGGACTTATCAGTATCCCGGGGTGTTCTCTCGAGGCTACCCCGCGACTGCCGCACTGTGTCCGGTCTCTCTTGAGGTGCAGTATTGTCTCGCGATTCCGTTGCCGCCGCGTCGCTTTTCGCAAAAGTTGCCCTCGCTTCGCCAGCACGGCTTACTGGTGATCGCCTCTCCACCTACAACATTGTATTACTTATTGCACGACTGATCTTTGGCATTTTTATGCAATTCTTTCTCCCAATCTATAAATTAAACCCTATATAGAGTGTTGGTGGAGAGGCAATATTTGTTACCTGTGGACTAGCTCGTCCCTTAGGTGAAGTGCCACCAAAAGCGCCAGGGGAGCTGGCTCTTGTGGCGACTGCAGGCGTCAAGGACTCTTGCGGTGGGTGCGGCAAACGCGAGGCCTGCTCCAGAATTGCCTTTTTCTGCTCCTGCCCGGCCGCGAAGTAAGAGAACACGCACAGCACCGCGTAGCAAATCTGGTCCGCCTGAGATAACACAACCATAGCTATATACTTCTAACATTCATATTTCTTTTTTGTTTGGTCTTTATCATGCTTGCAAAAGTTGGGTTTATCAAGCTCTAAAATACTACAACTTGAGCGTCACATCGAGAGAATAAACACGTAGCTCAGTGGATAATAAAATGTTAGGTTATTAATAGAAAAAATCTTGTCTTCAAAGTTGAATTATAATGTTGGTGACGTTCTTGCAATACGAGTACACACTCGTTTGCTGTATTTATATATTTGAAATGTAATTTGTATAGCGAAGCAAAAGCTTCCCACGCAAAGCTAAGGAAGTAGTAGGTACGAGATATAATTTCGATAATGTGTAGTGTATTAATGTAATAAAAGAATATTGCATTTAATACGTACATAGGTACATACGTACAGTAGATAAGTAGTTAATATATTTAAGATAAAATATATTTAATATAATTAAAATGGAATGGAAAATAAATTAGTAATAAAAACAAAAATAGTAAAATAAAAGCAAGAGTTAGAGAAACATGCAAAAACGGAACATCACATATGTGTACATACATCGGTATGAACTACGAAACGTAAGGTGCATAATTCAGTCCATTGGCCTCGATATACGAGAAGTACCGAGAAAGCCATATAGAGAAGAAACGATGGAGGTCAAGCACTACTTTCTCTGCCTATAAGAAACATAAAACACGAAGGTAAATAAAAGAAAAACATAAAACTGCATACACAAAGTTACAAGCGGCGTACTTACCATAATTGATTTGTATTTTCTTTGGACTATTTGTCTTGTTTTTGGGTCTGCAATGCAATGTAACAAAAAGGTATGTAAGTTAAGTAATTTCTATTTAATAATTTCTATTTATCTTTAAAATCTCAAGAATGATACTCACTAAATTCTTCTATAACGAAGATACCGCCATTCTGTGTGAAGCATTTTCGAATGTGATCGAGCCGCACAAAGAACTGAAATACAAAAAGCGTGCTGAACTAAAGTCAATACGTATTTATTTAGTTATTAAAGCATATTTTAATGTTTGTTACGATTAAACTCAGTATTCTAGAAACGCGTTGACGCACAGGGTGAAAAGTTTAGTAACTGAATAATATGTATAACATTTCAAGTAATTCAAGGTCATTTAGAGACGTGACAATTATACCTGGCCACTGTTTTAACATCAACACGGCTACACTTGATAGAGACAAATGATTACTCCTTGTCGATATGAATTTCAGAACTGAAGTACCTACGTATGTAGCGTACGATGGTTCTTTACATACCTATACTACAATGCTACTGAAGTAACTGATCACATAGGTCTTACATGCATCGTAACTATAAAATACACCATGCATATAAATAACGACGAAATGAACCAAAAGCATACTACATTTGTCATCACGAAATAAAGCATTGCTAATCGTGCTCGTTCTTGGAGGGAGCTAATATTCGTAAGCGCATGCCACATACAGGGTTGCAGTAAAATACGCGCACGGCAGCGCGATGCGAGAACGATCCCGATTCATTAAATTCACCTGGGACCAACGTCCTTAATTACATCAAAGTTTAGTTTCGTCAAACAGATTCAACGGCCCAGTTTCGTAGCAACCGGCGCTTCGGCAATATATCATCGTTGCAGGGTTGCAGTAGTGCAGAGAGCAGACAGGAATGGAAGGAAGGGAGCGGAGGGGTGCGGGCGGTGCTCGGTCGGTGCGGGCGGGTGTGCGGCGGGCGAGGGCGCGGGCCCGGCCCGCCCAGAACTTGTGAGATGGCAATGCTCTACGACTGACCTCGTGACTCGGGTCCACTACGGGACGAGACGCTCGCTCGGGCTGCGGGTGAGGGTCCTACCGACCGACTGATCTCGGCACTGGGTGCGAGAGTTAAGAGATCGAGACCGCTCGCCGGACGATCCGTGAAACGAATGCAAGCTGTCGGGTGCGTCATGAACAAATAATAAACAAAGGGCTCTATGTGCATGCACGACCGCGCTTTTCGGCGCTCGCCGCACTCGGGAAAACTAAAACAACGCTAACAACGGCTAAAAACAATCGGTAAGCCTCAAAACTACAAGTAAAGCCCTACGACCTCGAACGATCATCTCTAATTGCACATAAGTGACCGTGACAGATATCGAAAGGTCGTGTCGATTATCGTAGGAGCCAGCCATTACTAGTGTATGAACCACTGAGTACCTCGAAATCCTTTAGCGCAGCGGCGCGGGTACGGCGTGTCCGGAAAGAGTAAAAACAGAGAAAAAGTAGAGATTAGTGAGGGCGGCCGAGCGCGTGTCAAGGACCATCTCAAAAGTTCCTAGCGGAGCGAGTCTCGCACGGGGCCGGCGGCCGGCGCGCCTGCGCCCGGCGCCAACGCGCAGGCGCCGGGCGCACGCATCCAGCGTTGGGTGTGGCAGACAAATAGCACATGCACATTGTATGGAGTAGACGTAAATCAGATGGACAACGTTTAGTCTTAAATGTAAACTCTAACTATTACATCAAATTGGTAATAGATAAAATATTTAAGGGCAAAGTGGTTTTAATTCGATAGAAGCAGTATTCGGTTTACGATAAAAGAAAATAATTGATAAAAAGCAAAATCGCGCAAATCCACGGCCGTATATAAACGAAATAAATGTAGATATAATTAATATAGAAAATATATATTTGAATAGTCACGATAACATGAAATATCAAGAAGAAATAGGAAAGTTTGAGTGGTCCTTGCATTCGGTAAAAATGTAATTATAATTATGATTTATAAACAAGCTGAAATCTATCTTGTTCGGGACTTGAACTAATTTTATTAAACAGTATACACTGGTTTTCTTATAACAATGTTTGTCGAATATCCCCTTAAGACAGGGATAGAAAAGTATCGGAGTCTTCGTTGGATGATGAAGCTTCGAAATGAAAGTACGAATTTTAAAGTTACATCGCAATTACGGCACCGGAACAATATAGAGACATGAAGCGCTGCCCAGCGTGGGACGCTGTCCCTCGGCGTAGACTGCCGCACAATGGTTGCACGGCATTCTACAGTGTTATGTAGTCGTATCGACACGTTTCCCATATCAAGCGTGAACACTGACAGATATCTTACCTGTTTTCAAAAAGTTACTGTAATATCACCAAAAATACGGGGAGACATTGTTAAAAGATTGCTCTCCTACAATTTTGGTATATCATAGCATTAACGAACAAGTAAGCTGACAAAAAGTACATACACAAACAAAGCCATGAGACATACCTTGCTGTGGTGGAAGAGGAGCCCCACGCCTTCCATGCACACCTTAAAAAATAAAGTAATTTATTAACGTTAATTGATATTTGGTTGACATATTGTGATGGTGTTTATGTAACAAAACCGTGCAGTCTGGTCAGTAAAGCGAAATCATCATACCAAAAAAAAGTTTTACTGCAAATATGGCTTATACTCCTACATTAATTTGCAATTAATTTGTTGGTTTCTAGTATGAATGATTGCAAAAACAGTTCGAATTAATAGTGATTCACATGTAAGCGTTACCTGTATAAGTCCGCCTTCGCCAGTGGCGCAGTCCTGTACGGGGAACTCGCCCCCGAGCTCCGCGGCATCCTGCCGCCGTCCACTTTTTTCCATCGCTTCCTTGATACAATAGTACAGCGCCTTACACTGTATACAATCAAGATAACTCGTTTAAAATATAGAAAGGCTGTTAATACAATGTCCAGCACACATTAAACGTTTGTTAAGATAAAAACGGACACCAGTTTTTGGTTCAAACAACTAAAATAATTAAGTAAATACAGTGTAAGACAAGTACAGACTCAGACATTATGTCTCTAATAACTGTTAAATGTCTAATCTGTTAGAGGTTGTATATAATAAACCATACCTTTTTCGTGTAATACTTGTGCAATTGCGTCTGACCTCCGTTCTTCCTCCAAAGGCACAAAACTCTTATTTTCGGACTATAAGTCATGTTAACCAGCCGTTCATACCACCACCTCTCAACGATTGTACCTGGAATATTTAAAATGCCGACTGAGCGAATTTATTTACTAAAGAAAAATAATAATTTATATGGTAGACTGGTTGTTGTGGATCAAGAAATTAACGGAAAGGAAAGCTGAAGATAGCAATTCAAAAAAATCCATAATACAGTGTACTTTCATCAACAACGATGGTGTTAATTATTATTTAAATTGATTTAATTGACTCACCTTGCGTAGATCTGAGAACAAGTCCGTCATCGCGGACTTCCATAAAACGCAACTCGCCGCCGGCATCGCCTTCATGCACGGTGAATGTCGCGCGCCGCAGCAGCCGAGACCCCAGAGGCTTTAGATCTATGTCGTTCCCGTGCTGTGTAATAACAGGGAGCATAAATAAAATCATTGTGTAATGGAGTTAAGTGAAATCAAACGAGGACTCGAACAAATTTAATTTTTATTCAATGGCAATCACATATCAACCCAGCGTGAGTCATTCAGATCACGATCAAGAAAATATTAATTCTCTCTCTCATCTTAGCGTTGTCCCGGTTGCGTCCTCAGCAGGGTTGCTGCGGAGCCCGGGGTCCGCTTCAAGAAAATATTAATTAGACCAAGTATTCCCTTAGCATAGCGATTCCCAAAATGGTCTATATGTACCTATGGGGTCCACTCCAACTTACAAGGGATCCATGTTAGGGGAAAAAGAAAATAGGAGGGGCATAAGGTGTTAATGCGGATCCACAACAGCTCATCCCATTTAGACAGATCGCAACCAAAATATTGGCTTTCCATTAATGGAATAACCTACATTACACAAATAATATCTTAACATTTTTTTGATGATATCAAGCGACGGGACGAACAACTCGTACGCTGGATGGTATGCGACACGCCTACCCATAACAGTTGCACTGTTTTTACTCAGAGTTTTAAATCGCAAAGATCTGTGGGGCACTGACACTGCGCACGTCACCCTGAGACATAAGTTGGCAAGTTCCGTGTGCCTGTATTTTTGTCAGCACTTTCACCCTTCAAAACCGGAACGCAGCAGTGAGTAAATTACAGCTTGCCGACAGATATAGGTAGGTGCTTCCCTGGACGAACTCATTTACAAAGAGCTTTACTGCTAACAATGATCTTATATACAAAAAAGGCAGAGATGTGTTACTAGAGTCCGCGTAGTGAATATTTGAAAACCAGTCATTTGATCGATCTTGCAATCAATCGCGTCGAGCAAAGAACATGAGTTTGACATTTCTACAATTGCGTCATTTTAAGAAAAATGCCGTCGTTTTTGTTTAGAGAATGCACTAATTACCATGTTAAAGTAAATAAAGGAATCACACACCAAGCGGAAGTTAGCAGACATATTTACATTAATGCTATATTTTATTATTTTTCTGTTTATTGTAATAAATAACAGTAGCTAATTGAAGATAGAGATAGCAAATTATTCCTGTAGCGAGTGCGATAAGGACGCGTAAAATCGTCTTAGATTATAAGTTGGTAGATGACTGACTGCATTGTAGTCCGGAAACTTAGTTATACAGATTTGTAACGTACATCTTTATGCTATCATACATTATACAATCTTTTCTTGTATATGACAAAACACAGAATTGAAAAAATAATTAATTTTGATTTGATTTGATCGAAAGACCAATATAATATATAAATAATGTTTAATGGCGAAAGAAGGGGTGGATCAAAATACAAAAATTAGCACGTGACCTACGAGACAAAAAAGTTTGGGGACCTCCGCCTTAGTGGATAGTATTGTTCTTGTTTTGGATTAGGTACTCACGTTTTTCTACTTACCAAAGTATGAACGGCGTCGAGAAGGTGGTTAACTTCTTGACTGTACACTAGTCCAATATGACTTTTGGCGAGAAGGCGACGAACTTTATTGCGTATCACATCGCTTGCTACACCGAAAAGCACCATAGCTGCGGTCAGATTGTAAAGAGCTGTTGACAGCAATCGATCTTCCTCGTACTCCAGCCTTTTGCGTTCGGTTTCGCTAAGACATTTGTACCGTTCCATCATTTCATTGGCGCCCTGGTCCATGCCAATCATATCTCGCTCTTGACTTACAGCGTCTAAGAACGCGTCTTCCCAGAATTGCATTTGGTCCCACAGGTTCGATCGCTCCTTGCCTTTAATGAAATTAGCATGATTATTTAAGATATAAACAAAATAGAATTGTAATATTAGGCTTATTGAATATCACGATGATACCATGATATTCAATTATTTTTGTGAACTTTTTGTGAACACTCCACTAGTTATAATTATTAATACAAAAATCGAACACAAAGAAAAATTTATTTGATCCGGCAGGACTCAAATCAGCGCCTTCGCCACAACGTGGCTGACGGTCTCTTTAGTGAGATACGAAACGAACCAGCAGACCTTACCAATCTTTCTTTCTTATCAATCTTTATTTTGGTTTTTAACGACTTTTTTGCCGAAGCACCATCTTGGAGAAATCCATGAAACAATTTTTATTTTATTTTATTATTATTGAAAACCAACAGCGTTTACAATATCATAAATATACAAATTAAAACTTAAAATAGTACAGCAGTGTGTGTGTGAGAGAGAAAGATATAAAATATATTATAGAATCATCATCATCATATCAGCCGGCAGACGTCCACTGCTGAACATAGGCCTCTCCCAAAGATTTCCAGACCAGCCTATCGGACTCGACGTGCATCCATCGCTTATCGTTAGTTACCCTTACCAGGTCATCTGTCCATCTAGTAGGGGGCCGTCCAACTGAACGCCTATTATAAAAATAAAATTTTATATCTATGTTTTACCAATTAGCCCCTGGTAGAGGTAGGTGCGAGCTGTATCGGGTGAGGTGAGCGGTGACGTGGTAGGAACTCCGACGGGCGGTCGATAACTCAACGAAGACTTCGATGAGAATACTGATGCTGCACGAGGCTTGCCCGCCCCGCCACTCGCGGTCCGCGTCATCTGCATCATACCAGTATCTCTGAATTTGTCTAAGGCAGACATTACTGTTCTAGTTCAGAATTAAACAAAGAGGGATGCAGTGGCGACCGAACGATTAAGGAAAGTTTCATTCTCAAATGTTTTTTAGGGCATAGAACATAATCACCGACTAAAGAACTGCATTTTAAGCTCAAGTGAGTGTTTTCCAATATTATCATTACTTTTGACATTCCCACATTACACGAGTGAGTGCCATGTACAAGTAGGATGTGCAATATGTGCTTCCAAACAAACAACAAGTGACTGAGTGAAACATTCGAAAAGGTTAGTTTCCTGTTTAACGTGTCGTATTAGGTGTGTGTTAGTAAATACGATAAAGAATATTTTGTATATGTGTCATATTATTTAGCAGTTGCTGGGACGGCATGCATTAACTACTCTTAGACAAATACCCTTTTAGAGTTTCGGATAAATTTTGATTTAAAACAGGGCCGAATTCACGCGGCATTTGTCTTCTCAAGCGGATATTAAGCTGCACCTAAAGTGCACACGACACGCACTAGGACTTACATTGAGGAACATGACGTCAGTGTCAGAGAGGTTGGACTTAAATGAGGCGCGGGAGTCGAAGAGATTTGCTCGGTTGGTGGTGATGGAACCGCTCTCGTCAGCCGAGCACTCCGACGACGGCGCCGCCTGCGCCACACAAATGCCCCCCTATAACCTCTAACCTCGCACCTGTGTCTACCAACTGACACATACCCTTCCCGATTACGATTGTGCTCGTACCACCCAAGTTCATTTATCCACGGGAAACAACTTGGAACGATCGTCAGCAGGGCGATCACTCTAGCAATGGTAAGTTTGCACGTTAATTGCTCGAGCGTAATTAAAAAAGTTTTCGATATCCAAATATATCCAATCGCTAGCGTGGTCGAGCGAGCTCAAAGTTCGTTATATCGAAAGACAACAAACAGTCACACAAATTACAGCCAGTGACAATAAGGCACCCATGCAATGTTCAAAGCGACTTTGTACCCAATAACAATGAACGTTCGTACGAAAGTCGCTTGAAACACAGTTGATCCACTCCCAAAATACCAACGTCGTACGACATTGATTTTTTTTTTATCGAAGGCAATGAAATACATTAAATAAGCTAGGTGGTAAGCGATTTGTCGCAAGAATATTGTTAATTTAATAGATCACAGTCTACATAAAATAGAAATACTTATATAGGAGTTATTAAATGATTAATTTCATTAGGACTGTCATGCTCAAGAGACGTACACATGACATATACACACATAACTTTACATAATATAACGTAGATATACAACAAGGTGTTCGGGTAGCATGAATTGCTATCCCCATGCATTAATGACACAGAAATATAAAATAAAAAAGTTATATACTAACATCAGAATCGAAAGAGGTAAGTTTGCTGAACAAAAGATTCCTCTTCTGATTCAACATGTCTTTGAACATTTCAGTGGTGCTTTGCGCTTCTGATGGGTCAGCTTCAGGGTAGTTTACGATTGGCACGTCTGTCCAAATGAAAATATACAAGAATTTAAGTAATACAGTATAACCGATTTTATTGTCGACGATGTTTCTTCAAATATATTTTTTGAGATATTCTGTGGCGATGTCCATAATATATATTTTGTTTCAATTGTGATTTAATGTAAGTTACCATACCAATCCCTGTACTACGAGTACAGTCAAGATCACGTCAAGCTTGACATTTTGTACTTTGCCCGTTCTTACCGTAAGCGGCATAGAGTTGGATTTAAATCTTAATTGTCAAGCTTGACGTGCTCTTGACGCTGTACCAGACCAGTACTAATTTAGATAAGTTAATTTCCCAAATTGGTCCTAACATATAACATAGTCATCTAACGCCCTCAGTGCAAACTTTTGGCTAACGAGGTCGTCTATACATAATAATAAAACCATAACCTCCAAATAAACTGGATAGGTACCTGTTTGAGAACTTTTTCTCGATGAAGGCGACGTCGAAGACGGTGTTTCAAGATCATGTCGTCCATAATGCTCTGACAACGCCGAACCGGCCAATCCCCCATGCTCCAAGCCGGCGAACTCCTTGCTCCAATAATGCGTATGAGCCATCTCTGCCAGTTGGAACACAGACGCCATACCGCCCAGACCGAAGTTGGAGTACGTGTGCTCGAGTCCGTGCACTACCGCTTGAAAAACTTTCAACATACCCTTCCACACTGGTTTGCTGACGAACTGTTGAAATTATTGTGAATTTAATATAGAAATACGTCCATTTTGAACTGCTGCAGCTGTTAGAAAAAAATAACAATTCTAAGTAGGTGATCGAGCTAGTGGACAGGCGAAAGTCAAAACCATCCTAGTGCAGCGAAACCATTACGTTCTCACTCGCTCTCGCCCGTGCCTACTTACAAACCTACCCTGTACTTTTAAACATAAATGTAGTTATTGTAGTATTATAGTAACTGCCTCCGTGGCGGGACGGTTACCATGCCGGTCGGACTGCCCCGCAGAGGTCGCAGTTTCGATTCCCAGGCCGGGAGAAATATTCCTATGGCCTACATTTATTTCTCTCGTGAGTTTGGGTGTGATTTGTGTTTGTCTATGTGTGTCCATGACACCCGCGACACAGGGTTTCCCTACTGCGAGGCTATGTTGAGTGTACGCGCGTGTGTGTTATTAAATAATTTGTACTTGACCTACCTCTTTATATAAGATCTCTTAACTTGATGTAATAATGTACTTACTGGAGGCTGCTTATAACTACTTAATTTTCATATTAACTGACTGATAACTAACGTAATTAAAAAAGTCGAATTTTCCTCGACATGTTTGGAACCAGCCCGTGGTCCTTAATCATGACTCCGCGGTGGTGACTCGACGGAAATTCGACTCAAACTAGACTCTTATTCAGTTTCGGTCGAGTTACCGCCGCGGAATCTCATGAATAAGGTTCAACTCACAATGGCGCAGAGTCGAAGCGTCGCGACGCGATATGATTTTCGCCTATAGGATATTCATCTCTATTTTCCCATTATTAAGGTACAAATTTCTGTTATGCAAATATGGAATCGTGGGTCTAGCCTAAAGACCACGATTGATTCGAAACATGGCGAGCAAAAGTTCAACTGAAATACGTGGCGTTATCCGTTAGTTTAGTTAATATGTCCGAGTCTCACGATAGTTTTCTATTTAAAAATTACTTAATCTTGATCTGTCACACGTAATATATTTTAATCTCGTAAAAGGGTTTCAGTGTCCTTGTTATCTGGTATCCCTATTTGTTAATATGTGTGAATATGTAAGGTGCTTTCTTAATTATATATTTAATTAGAAACTGCATACTGCGGTGTCTACAGCGACGAATATACTTCACTTGTAGTTCTACATTATATACAAGGTGAAGCCTGAAAACCAGCAAATTGTTGAGGCTGTTGCCTGGTCTTCAACACAGCGATTTATTTTAAGCTACTATTTTAAGTTTTTTATGGATCGTTCTATTGTTGAAGAATAAATCTTTTCATTTTTTTTTATTTCTTTATTAATATGAAATAAATAAATAACGTTCTAAACAGTTTACTTTCAATATTGGCGCATATAATGTACTGGATTTGATCTAGAATATTGTTAATTAAGTTGCTAATTTACCGAAAAATCACTTACCACATCATCGACTTTGTCGTTAGGGGTAGACTTCCTGTTGAAGTTCCTGTTTAGTTTGCTGAGCACCATGTTTCTGTAAGACTCGTCCTCCATCAGTTTCTTCAGTCGATTCAGCTTCAGCCAACCTACTCCTTCGCCTTCCAGTACGTGGTGAATTAACTACAAATCGTGTATATTTGTGAGTAAATAGAATAATCAAATAATAAAAAATCTATTGGTTGTTAACAATAAATACAGTAGAAGTGCTTAGTTTGCATGGTACGTGTGTGAAAAGTTCCCGTAGTTCCGCATACTTGAGCTCTGTCCGCCATTTTCGCTTACACTTTACATTACGGTCGTGTCAGTTATCTCTCTCAAAACCTCCAAAAATCATAGAAAAATGCCTTATTTCGCTACTTTCGAGTGCAAAAATATTAGTCGCCAGCACTTGTAATTATTATCTTTGGTGGTGTTTCATATCATCGTTAAATCTTATTTTAATAAATTATTTCATCATTTTTGTTACTAGAAACGCAAGTAAACCTTGTACAATTTGGTTGCTTCTTTTGTTGGAGAACTAAGTAAACATCTCGAATTCGTCGTCGTTCAGCTATTAACCAGTAGATGGCAACATATTGATTGAAATTTCAATATAAAATCAAAACGTCGTAACTTGCAATAATGGATATTGATTGTATTCAACTTTCAACGATATGCCATAATATCGAGCTATTAGATTTTCGCTATTGTTACACATAGGAAACGAAACTATTGACCGTGACTATGGGACCTGTAAAGGGACATTGATTTGTTTGAAAAAACAAATATAGGTACGCAATTTAAATCCGGAAAAATAGTTTCATTTCCTATGTTATGCCTATAGTTTAAATTATATTTTAACAGTCCAGAATTTGTTATTTCTTTTTAAATTTGAAACGGTGAGTTTTGGGGACAGCGGTACTTATAGTAATCGAGGCTCAAGGCACTTCTATTGTTTTTTTTCTTCCGTTCGAGTTATTGTGTCCTCAGCTCCTCACATAGTGACAAGTAATGTGACGGTTGTGGGTTGCAGTAGTACATACTCACGTCGTTCAAGAAAGCCTGGTTTTCAGAGTTTGCAGACGAGCGGGTCTGCGACGTTTGTGCCTGCTGCGGCGGTGAAGCGTGGTGGATGAGCGGCGTCCGCTGCACTAATCCTTTTGCACCTTGCGAAAACGGCCCGAACGTCGCCGCCAGTGGCGCTGACGATTGGGAAGCTGTACTGCGCGGTGTCTCTGCAGGCTTCACTTGTTTGCCTATTACAATCGAGAATCATTCAATCATTAAAATCACACAAAACGATTTACAGTTTACATGTGTTTTGTTGGAATGCGTTGAAGAAACAATACATAAACAATTTTTGTTACATTTTTTATATTCTTTAAAATGTAAAGATTTTATGTTCCAAAGTGACGGATTCGTCTTAATTACATTTTGAATAAAGATTTGCTATGGCTGTAGAGAAGAAAGGACAACAAATTGTCTTTACCTTTAGACCCAAACAAGTCGCTGAACATGCTAGAAGTAGAAGCAGCAAGGCCGTTTAAATCCGAGCTGATATTTGAGAAGAAGTCTCTGTGTGTCGCCGTCAGCAAGTTAGTAGTCTGCAGCGCGGTGGAATCGCGACGCGCGTTAGTTCCACTACTCAAATCTTGACTCTCACCCTAAAATAAGGAAAACATGTTAGATGGTATTTATATATTCATAGGTACTACAAACCATCGAGTATATAACCAGAAATAGAGATGAAATGTCATTTAATTTAGGAAATGAAATTATTTTTCCGGATTTATATCGCGTATATTTGTTTTTTCAAACAAACCAACGTTTCGGGTTCTTTACAGGTCCCATGGTCACGGTTCACTGTCAACCGTGAAAACAAAAATAGTTTCATTTCCTATGTGTAACAATCGCGAAAACCTAAGAACTCGATATGTCCTTTAATTTGTTTGGAAATTATTCTGCCAAATCATTACGGTGACAACTGCGCTCCGATTGGTCAGCCCGAATTTGAAACAATTGACGGGTGTCGTCAATAGTTTCACTTCATATCGACCAGTTTAACTTGAGCTTTATTGTAATGGACGAAAATTTAAAAATTACATATTTAATATTAATTACCGATGAAATGTGATTCCGTTTGTTTTGTAAATAGATGTTTTGCAGTTTTTCCCACACCACGGAATGGAACAGCTCCCCATTGTTAGAGATTATTATCTTTATTACAATAAATACAGAATATTTTTGGAATATACGGAGATGTACACACAGGGCAGTTGTTGGCGCTGTACTATTTCAGCTTTCTAATTGTGATTTCAGCGCAAACGAAATTTGATACTTAAAAGTGATATAAGGCTCATTTGCCTGATGAGTTGCCAGAGATGGAGGGCCCTTATTTCGTCTCTATTTCTGGTTATATACTCGATGGCACATACTTATAGAATCAATAGTTTGTTTTATTGGTGTTTTCAGAGCATCTATTGAACGCGTTAGAAGCCGTGGCAACCTAATCGTTTAAATTGCCGCCTCTCAAGCAGAGGCCGTGTATGAATTTGGACTTGCACTTCGGAGTTTTACGGAGTTTATGTGCGAAAACTTAACATGAGCTTTCCGGTGAAGGAAAAACATCGTGATGAAACTGCACGTCGAAGAAAACCTTCTTATTATGGTTATGAACCTAATCTTTGGAAAACGTGCGAAGTTCCCAACCCGCATTGGGTCAACGTGGCGGACTATGACCTAAAGTCCTAAACCCTCGTCTCAGAGGAGATCCGTGCCCAGCAGTGGGACGTATAAACGGGTTGATGATGATTGAATGCATTATATAAATCAGTGAACTGGGTTTAGGATTATTTTTAATGGCTAATTTAGAAGTGTTTTGTGCTTTAATATACCTCTACAATGTACCTACCTTAATCAGCAGTCCTTTCTTAGCAGCTACTTCCTTGGCACTTTTCGTGAAGTCTCCAAAAGTGGATTTTCCCACATAAGTAAGATCATCAAAGGTGTTTTTGCTAACTGCAGTGGCCGTCTTGCTGGCTTCGAGGGCTGTCTTTGACGCTTCTTGCATACTCTTTGATGCTTCTTCCGCCGCTTTTTTAGCGTGTAACGTAAGCTAGGAAAATAACAAAAGTTTTGTTTTGATATCTAAGATGCTCATCTTAATGCTTTGTTATTATTAAGTGCAATGTGAATTGAGAAAAGCAATTACGTGAAAATCATGCTCTTAACAGCTGTTCTCAATTAAGATCCAAATTTTTTTGGTAACTTTCTTTTAAAGGCATCCCTTTAGAACAGAGCCACTGGAATAAAATATATTTAAAAATAATAAAATATAAACTTGCCGCTTGGGTTGAGTAAATATTAATTAATTAATTTATTATTATTATAAGCTTACAATATTAGAAAGTAATATCTTTACATAACGCCATATATTATAGTGTTTATTTTTGAAAAGTTAATAGATATAATTATTAATGCAAAGATGGAACACAAAAAAAAATTCGATTTGACAAGACCTGCATCATACCAGAGTAACCGCTCTTCCAACTGAGCTACAAATCCGACAAACCATACGAAAAATTTTCTATACGTTTGTTACAGATTTTTTGCCGTAGCGCCATCTCTGAGAAATCTATTAAAGTTTTTCTTCACTCAACCAGGTACCGTTACAGTTACCAGAGATTGATACGAGTTGTCGCTTTATAAACTATAATATTACAAAGTAATAAATATCTTTCATTTGGGATTTCAAAGGGGATCCCCGGCTTCAAGTTCTGAACATGCCCTTAAAAGGATGTTAGTTAATAGATTAGCACCTGTCTTAACTAAATCGTTCGTTACCAGCGATGAAGCTTGCTAATTCATGATATATCCAAAATATTCTACGTAATTTTATGAATTGCGATAATTTTCGGGTTTTGTTTTTTAAAATGTTACCTCATGAAAAAGAACTGTATGAATAATATGGACTTAAGAAGCGATGTGTAATTTAACATTCCCTTTTATAGCTCATCTAAGTATTGCTCTATTTAACTTACTAAAAATATAATCCGTAGCAAGTTCTATAATGTGGTGTCATTAGGCACTACTTCAGGATAAGTTCGAAAACCTAAAGCGATCACTCCGTGGAGATAGATACCTTGTCAAAGGGCGCAAACAGTTTCTTGTCGTCCACGTCAGCAGCTTTTCCTTTCTTCGTTTTTTTTTTTAAATTAAATAAAGGTATAGTTCTTGTTAAGACAAAAAATAGACCTAAACAAATTTGAAAACAGAGATTTCAGAACTTTACATCCTTCGTGTATAAATTACATCTTATTGTATATCAAAGTCACAATTACCTTGTCCATATGCGCCAAAAGGCCCTCCTGGCTTCCTTGCCGGGTGGTTTCTCTCACCAATTCTTTCGCCTGAGCCGCAAATTGCTCCAATAGAGACGTTTGAGATGCCTGACGAGAAACACCGCTACTTGTACTCTGAAAACAATATGTGTTTGTCTTATTTGTTTTGCTTTCATAATATTGTACCTATTTTAATGTAAATAGAAAATATATCTATCACTGTAAATACCTTCAATATTGTATTACAAAAAGGCGGATTACGCAAATAAACAATAGATGCAAGCATATGCGTGTTTGCCAACTGTACATCTTTCTGGTAAGTAGTCATTTAAATCGGAAACTACACGACGTTAAGTTGCTTACATATTTGATCGATATTTTGACCATCAACACATGTGATCAAAGAGTAAACCTGTAAACTTGTAAGCAACAGACGATCGACGTGGTAGTTTTTGTCAATTAACATGTATGATCAGCTAAAATCAAGCAAATGTGTAAAAAGTAGAAGATCGATATTGTATTTTTGATCATCAAAATATCGAACAAATCTCTGGGTACCTTTAGTTACAATAACCTTAAGCTGCATTATGTGTAATTCTTATACTTACAAATATGACTCATGACACTCTCGAAAACAAGATTCATTCAAAATGTTACTGGTTTTCTAAGTACCTTAACATGAGATGTATGCGATGGCGGTGGATGCGTAGGCAGCGAATGATGCGGCGTGAGGGCACGGTCGGAGTCGCTTGCACTACCACTGTCCGCAGCGCGCTGTCGAGACACAACCGTCTTCGGTGTTGTCGTCGAGTTTGAGTCCGACTCGCGGCCAAAACTCCCGCTGTCCGTGTCCTAGTGCCCAACAGTGCATCAAACCCAGGATGTGCAATAAACGTGAATATTGGTGCTTTAGAGCAAAAATTAAGCAAGGATATACAAGCAAATGTAATAAAAAAAATTAAGTTACACCTCGAAACCCATGTAATAAAAGTACATATGAAGTAAGTATTATTGAGTTTCTAAGAATTTTAAGGCTTATCGAATATGCTTCACTATTTGTATTTAACTCTACCGATCCGTAATGCTAGCTACAACTTTACTACTGGTGGTATTATAATTAGTGTCTATAAACAGTTAAGCTTTTCTTTGCTATGTGTGAATTTTAGCACTACAGGTCTGTGTCAATATCGCACCTTTAAAGTATAGTTTATTAAGACAAGTAGTGCAACTTCCGCCTGCTCGGTGAGTTAATGCTACACTTCGCTAGCGTGCTTATTTGTCACATTATTTTTTCAGTTGTACCTACAGGTTGTAAACATAATTTGAAAAACATAAGGTGTTCATAGTGATGAACACCTTATGTTCAAATTCGCTGCAGCAGAGCTCCTTGTGACAGAGTTCGTCCAGGAAAGTAATGCCACCTTACCTATTTCTGCCGCCAAAGTTTTGAAGGGCAGGGGTGCTGGTGAAATTACTGGCACATGGGACTTTTCAACTTATGTCTCAGGGTGACGGGCGATGAGGTAGTGCCCCTCAGATCTTTGAGATTTAAAGCTCTGAGTGGCACTGCGACTGTTATGAACTGGCGTGTCGCTTACCGTCAGGCGCGCGACTTTTCGTCCCGTCTCTTAGTATCATAAAAAAAATTAAAAATCCGACTTACGTTTTGTTATTTTTATACCAGCATCGTGAATTGGTATTTCGATTATACAATAGAAATTAAATGCTGAACAATTCTGAATTTGTAGCGCTCTTATACAAACTACCACAAACACAATAACAAACACGTCCACTATTTGATATAACTTTTTAAACACCGAACGGCCACTTCAATCTGTAATTAATAGCGCGTGCGACAACCGGCGCTATGCACCGCCATATTATGCGAATGTGTGCGTTTGTTCACGACGCGCGGCGTGTATGCAGACATATAAGTCACGCTGCTACGTTTGTATGAAGTTACCATACTTTGTCTTATTTATACTATGCTTATAGCGTGATATGAAATATCATTAATAGCCGCTTGATACTTTTCATCTATATGTAATTTTTTATACATTTGTTAAAGAAGCGTGATAATTGTAGCTTTCCTTCATACTAAAATCTCTAATTACAATTATAAATACTTACACTCTTCTTTACGGGTGGGGCTCGAGAGTCAGTGGCATCCTGCCGTTCATCTTGAGCGTCATCGTCTGAAAGGTCACTGTGGTCCGAGCTAGATGCGGAAGGTGAAGGAGAAGTAGAATTTCTGCCTTCTTCGCCAGCAGTAGCTCCTTGACCATCCTCACCGTACATTAGAAATGACGGTGGAGTGTATACCTGTGAAATAAGTTGGTTTTTATATGTTTTCAGACAATTAATTAATTTGAAATATCGATACTTCATTGAAAAAAAGACGTAAAAGGCAAGCCACAAAGTTTTCAAGATGAAGCAAAGGAGAGTGAAAAACTTTTTTATAAACGTTTTGCTTTCTTTTTAACAGACTTCAAAGAAAGGAGGAGGTTCTTAATTCGACTTTATTTTTTTTACTTTTTTGTATGTACGTTACGTTATTTACGTTACGTTATTTGTGAAGCGATTTTGATGATTATTTTTGTGTTGGAAAGAGGGTAGCTCCATAGTGGTCCTATTTCATTTTGAAGAAAATCATGCTCCTCTAAGGATGGCTGTTCACGCATGAATACTCATTTTTATAAATAGCGCCTAAATTTTATTATAAGGAGCAATTATTTTAATGGCTGATTTTGCTATTCACCAATTAAAGGCGATTTTTATTATCTCCTGTGTTAAGTCCCGTACATGGGACTAGACCGAAGCTGGATTTTGTCTACCTGGATTCAAGGACATATAAGCTTCAAATCAAGAAAATTAAAAGAGAAAAAAGGCTATCCACATTGAATTGGTTGGTGATTTGACAAGCATTAATTATTTATTGGCATTGCGCAGATTCATTGCGCGTACGAGGAAACCCAAAACCATATTTTCCGACAATGTTCTATCAGTAGTTGGTGCTTATAGCGACCTTTCAAAATTTTTAAAAAGTTATTGTGATTCGCTGTCGTCTGAGGAAGAATGAAGAAATTAATTTCTGTTTTATTCCAGCTTATTCGTCACATTTAGGTGGTCTATGGGAAGCTAGTGTAAAGTCGACCAAATATATTTACAAAGAGTGTTGGGCAATTGTAACTTAACTTTTGAAGAGCTGTATGTAGCACTTGTCCAAATTAGCATATAATAACGCATACACTCAACAAAGCCCCGCACTAACGAAACCCTGAGTCGTGGGTGCCATGGACACTCACATAAACAACCACAAATTAGATTCACGAAAGAAATAAATGTAGGCCATACAAATATTTCTCCCGGCCTGGGAATCGAACCTGGGACCTCTGCGTGGTAGTCCGGCATGGTAACCGTTCGGTCACAAAAGCAATCCTCAATTCGACCACTTACCCCTCTTTCGAGTGATCCAGAAGGCCTAATGCCATTGACACCAGGACATTTCATCATCGGATAATTGATAAACTTCGACAACATTTTTGGTGCTGATGGAGCAAAGAATATGTCTCAGAGCCTCAACTGAGGACTAAAGGCGTACTTGTAAAGACGCATTGAAGATGAACGCTCTAGCAGTTCTGAAGGAGGACAATCTACCACCATTAAAATGGAAACTGGGTCGAGCTACAACTCGTGTTTCCTGGCACTGATGGCGTCAGTAGAGTGGCAAATATCAAAACTTCTACAGGAATTGTAAGAAGATCCTTTTCAAAAATTTGTCCACTTCTCGAAGCAAACATTATTGGTTGAAACGCAAAAGCTTTCAACGGCCGGCGGAATGTTCATGCATTAAGATATATTTTTATAAATAGCGTCTAAATTTTATAAGGAGCAATTATTTTAATGGTTGAATTTGCAATTTAAGGGTTTTTCTCTCAACATAAATTCAGCAGCGAGCACCGATTTTTATTATCTCCTGTGTCAAGTCCCGTATCGTGGCGCACTAGGGAATGAGTCCGGGTTTGCGCATTTTCCGATAACCGATTTTAATAAAACTTGGCAAATACTTATAATTCCACGAACTTTTGAGGTCGGTTTTTTTAGTACTCTGTACTGAGATTATAAATTTTTATAGCTATCTTAAACTAAAAGTTTTATTTTTTGACGAAAAAGTTTACTTCGTCTAAACAGATCGAGAAATTGGCGAATTTAACCCAACTACATCGATAGCTTATTTTGATAAAATTGGCTTTTAGGACTTTTATGCCCGAAGTATCGATATTTTAATAGAATAATTAATATTGAAATGTTTCTCTTCGAATATTAGTTACATTCTTTAAATTTAACGCGGTATTTATATACATTTTCATAGAAGTTTAAGTGATCAAAATTAAATCCCCGTCAAGTGCTTTTAAATATTGATATTAGTAGTATTCATGGACTTCTTAAAGAGACAAAACTACTTACTGTTTTTGGATCTAATGATGAAGATAAAGTCATTGGCACTTGAACTACGGCGCTGTAGGTTTCTCCTATTACGTGTTGATGATTTCCACCTAAAAAAATCACCGCTTAAAATATAGTTTGCATTAATATAACGTTCATTCCTTTGTATGCCAATTGGCAAATGATTTTATCACGATAGTGAACATGTCCCATACTTCACTAGAGTGGTTACTACTTGTGACAATAACTTCTGGGCTACAATATGGCTACAATAATATAATGTATGCCATTAATACGATAAAAAGAAGTACTTTTTTAATATAAAACATTGTATAAATACTTTATGGATTGTTAAGGGTCGAACTTATTTACTATGACAATATACCTGGTGATAAATCCGACGAAATAATTTCAGATACAAAATCGCTAAGAGAAGAATATGACGAGCTCGTACTCTCTGCTGCTTCAGAGTCTGAACCACTTTCATCTGCAACAAATGAAATTTACCGGTTTTCATTATTTTATTTAATCAATAAAAATGTATAGGATGCGACTAGTAAAACGACACTAATATAACTACAAAAGGTATTTACACTTCAATAGACAAAAGATTTAGTTTTGTTCTCACCAGTAGGCTGATTTTCATGTCGCTGCAATTGCCTCAGCGCACCATTGAGCGAACTACCGTCATCCCAGACAGCAAAACGAATCGGTTGCAACTGGTCAGCGAACCATTTAGGTTTATCGCCGATTTGCCGTGGATCGAACACTCCTGTTTGCACTCTGAGGAAAGCTACATTGCAGGGTGTTAACGACCACTCTGCTAGAAATTCAACCGCCTGAAATCATACAACATAACTATAAAAGTTATACCAAGTACTTAATACATAAAAACTTAGCTTCAAGGGAAAAAATATCGTGTTCCTATGAAAATTCCTACCAAACAAGAAATTAATGTTGAATTACTATTTCTATACCACTTAATTGTAATGCTATTTCTAAACAAATCCAAAACTAATAAAAAGTGTATCGTGGGTCAATGATCGTGAAAGAAATTTCGTGGTTATTCACTAAATGACTATCATTAATTACAAGTTTCTTATAACTGGACATATGATATTACATTTAAAGGAATATTTATAGTACATATTTATTATCTTAGTTTTTTTTTCTTATATGTAATCCATGCGTATATCTGGTTTCGAACAGCCCGTATGCGCGCGTATAGTAGTAGTAGACAGTAGGACTGGTTTCCTTGCAACAGCTCGCGCTCTGCTGCGGCAGTAAGCTATAGCTTAAGTTTTCGTTAATATTAATTGTGATAAATCTTCATTATATTTTTTTCCTACATTGTTTACATTTAATAAAATTGTTATTTCACGTATTATGTTAGAGAAGTTGCAACACTCATACAAATCTGTTCAGGTTTAATAGTGTAAATTAAAACCGTGTTAATGTTTTTGTAATTGTTATCTTAAAAAAAAAGAGTTATCCCGTGACCATGGAGCGTGTAACCATTCCGAAATATCGGGAAAATAAAAAGAAATCATACCGTGGTAAGAAACGTGTAATTAGTGACAGTCCTTCATTAAAGTGTTTAACTTCTGAACTTACTTGCGTTCGAGCAAATTTATTCAAAAATGAAGTAGTCCTAGGTCGAGATCGTAAGAAGCTGTTGATTTGAAACGCGACCACAGGCCGTGGGTATAGCCTCAGAGTTCGCGTGTGTTCCATGAAATTCGCCAGTATGTTTTGGGAGTTGAAAAAACGGACCTGGAATGAAGTGATAAAGTGAAGTGCTAAATGAAGTACCTATTTAGGAACCATTCTTCTGTGCGACCGAATTCTATGCTTTCGTGGCGTTATGCAGCACTGTTGTTTGGTAGTTGCCGCCTACCATAACTACCTTAGTACCATTAGGCAGAATACCAGCAGTGTTTGTCTTTTCACGGTCTACAGTATTTATGCGGAGTAAGGGTCATTATAGCACAACCTGTTGCAAATAGGTACAATTAGTACAATGTGTACCAATACTAATTTATGTTCTACGTGTTTTTGTGTATACCCCGTGAAGTGATTGTAAATGTATGTTTCAGTTTGTATTTGTGCAAACGTTTATTAAGCAACAACTATCTATCTATATATTTATCGATAACGAATATCAGTAGCAAAATTTGATCGAAAATAAGGGCTGACCACCGAGTGTCGCTGTCGCGTCTTGTCCACGCTGCCCGTATCCAATATAAGTTACATATCCACTTACCATAGCCACTCGAGTAGCAACATCGACAGAGTCAACATCGTTGCCAAATATGAGCGGGTTGAAGGGCTGTGAGTGTGAGCTGGCCAGCGAATGTCGCTGCGGCGTGTTACCCGCACTTATCGCACTCGAGCTGCTGAGCGAAACGCGGCGGCTCTCCGGCGTACTTTGTGGCGCTGAGTGGGCACCGTCGCCAGAGCCACGGAAAGACGGCTGTTGCACCCTGTTATCACATTTATTGTAAGGTATTGTCACCGATTCGTATCACGATGGCAACTTTCCTCGCGAAATGACACGCGACGGAGATACAATGCGCCAAAATATGGGGACCTGACTAAGATTTAGATACTCAATAATAATTATTATCAACCTGCGCGCGTCCACGCAATTTTATTATACGGCTTCGGGTTCCGAATAGGACCACTGTATATATTTAAACCTGTAATAAGAAAAGTAGTATAAGGCGTCGTCGTCCTAATTGAACGCGAGCGACCATCGCAAGTTAGCGCGAGTTTTGTTCGTGCGAACCTGCGATCAAACATACCTACAAATCCCGACTAGATGTCCTATTTGCCGACTATAATGTTTGAAATCTATTCGCGCGAAATTAGTTCGTAGGAACGCACGATCATACATATTGATGTCGGAATAGGTGTAGTTGATAATCGCATCGCGTTATCGCTAGCGGGCTCCACGGTCGCACAAACACAAAAAAAATTGCGGGAACACGGGCTCGGGCACGGGCGGTAGCAATAGATATTAGGACACCCGCTTTTTGCAACCGCGTCATAATCTTGAATTCGCGTTCAATTAGGACGACGCCTAACTCTCGCTAGACACACGCGTTGTACAGCGCGAGTCGTCTCACGCGCCGTTATAAAACTGAAGCGTTCACTCGGTGTTTAAAAAATTACATAAAATAGTAATCATGTTTATAAAACAAATTTATAAAACAAACCACTTGATAAATTGGTAATAAAGATACATAATGTTCAAACTTCATTCGCAACTTACTTTAGAGTGGCGCCTCCGACACTGTCCCGCCTCGAGGGCATCAGCTGTGCCTGTGCCTGATCGTTGGTCGTGTTCGTCAGACTGCTCAGAGCCTGAACATAAGTGTTTCACTTTATCATCTTCTGGGATTATACGGGTGAAACGTTTATGTGTCGTAAGACAAAACCGTGTTCTGTATAAATATAACAGATTCTAAATAGTCTGAACGAGTATATGAGCTTAATTTTTTTTTTTCAATAAAATAATAATGACTGGCAGAAGTGGGTCTTTTACACAGGTTTTTTCTTACGATGTAGATTCACCCAACGCCTACTATAAAATTCAATGTCTACTAAATTGTATATAAGTAAATATTTATTTACAATTGTACTATTTTAAAAATTATACATTTGTTAAAGCGTGATTAATAATATCATTTCTCTGCAGCTTAGATTTAAAAGCACTTTTAATAGCATTAGAGATCCTTGTGGAAGTGTTTTTTTTATAATATCAACTGACGGGACGAACTAGTCGTGCGTCTAATGGTAAGCTACACGTCTGCCCATAACAATTGCAGTGCCCCTTAGATCTTTGCGATTTAAAGTTCTTCGCGTACCACCAGGCGCACGACTTGTCCGCTCCGTTACTTCGTATTATAAAAAAAAGATAACTTTTAGAATCGCTATTTAAAAATATTTAACAGTAATTGTAATTAACTCATAAAATCTTAATTAACTATTTACACTTGACAAAGCTGAGCCCAAGCTTAGCAAAACTGTTAACAATAAAACTATAATTTAATTTTATCGCGAATACAAACTACATACAGCATTTTCATTCAAAATAAGGCCCAAGAATAAAAACCACAATACTGTACTTTACGTACATAGAAGAGAGAAGGCTGAAATACTATTCAAATAAATATAGATTTATAATAGCACTCTCACAACAATCAGTTACATGCCAACGCAACAGTAAGTAAATGACTGAATATGTGTTAGTGTCTCACATAGTCATTATGTTAGTAATAATTAGTTTGTGTGGAGACTGTTATGTGTGTAGGGTCAGATCGAAGGTGTTTCCTTTGTGTGTTTGACAAACGTTATCCAAAAACCATGCATAGCTTCCTACACTATTATCATAGTTGACTGTTATACACAACAAACTAATAACGCGTAGGCTATCCAGTGATAGATTTATACAATATGTTTTTTTGTCAGAAACCTTCGTTCTGACATAGTTGTGTAATGTCGCTAACACACATTTCAGTCAAATATACCTTCTCTTGGAACTTCACAACGTCTCATGAAAATTATGAATACCTTATATGGGTCATATATGAGTTATGTTAAATGAAAGTGGGTGTTATAACAGTACAATGATAGAAGTCGTTCCAGAGTCGGCATGTATGCATATCAAACTCGCATAAAACTCAGTTGTAGTGCATAGTGAAGTCAAGTGTGCAATGTAAAAAGAGTATGGATATTTACACCAGTCCCGGCATGTCCCATGAGTTGCATGGCCTACCGACGAGAGAAGTGAGGGCTGATGTTAGTGATAAGATACACAGATATTGTAGTCAAGTGAGCGAAATTCGGACCAAAGAAGTAGAGCGATAGAGAAAATAGATGCAATGGTACTTAGAATAGTGAAACGCAACACGTATGTATAAATTATTTTTATGTACATAATATATTAGTAATGCCAGAAAAACTTGTGACAAAAAACAGGGGTCGAAATTATGGAGATGTTTATTTTCTCTAATAATTGTCTGATACAAATCCGATAATTATCTTTAAAATATTATATTTAAACTTTGACTAAAAATAACTAACAGTGAAAATATTAAATAAAAATGAAGAAAAGTCTATGGGAAAACGATTTGGTTTGTGACTTTCTTGAGATTGACATTTTTACATGTTTAAATAGTATGTCTCTGATAAAGACACATCACATGACATTGTTACCGGCAGCATTTTATTGTTCTTATCGAATTTTATAAATATTAAGATAATCAAACCTTTATAATAAATGATCTTTATATTGATTATTTATTATCAAGGTATATTTATCAAGATTATTATCCCGATAATTAACAAGATAATTATCAATGATAATTGTAACTTCGAACTCTGCAATAAAAGCATGTAGCGATAAAAGGATGTGTTAGTTTTCTACATCGTCTTATCCTCTCAGTACCCACCTCTTGCTTCGGCTACAAGTTAACGACAGGAAGCAGCAAATTTAATCTTTGGCAACTTTTGATGCCATGGACCATTTAGTGGGTAAAAAGAAAAATGAGTAAAGAAGTATGATTACTAAGGCAAAGTAGTCACGCTAGTGTCACGTCGGGTAGGTAGTGTTTTACAAAAGTTACTTTTGCATCTATTTATTTGAGCCAGAAAATTATATACTGCCAATGTAGTCAATAGTAGAAAATACACCTATAGAAGTGACCGAAAAATGCATTCACTTGACATAGCAAGTAAGCGACATCGAAAACAATGCGCTCACGAGTGCTTGTAGAAAAAAACCATGTGATTAAAATTAAACGATAAAATCGACATTGAGGCGCTTTGCCAATACAAAACAAAAAACATGTTGAAAGTTAAATAGTTACGTACCTGTTTTAAATGATTTTTAAGTACAGAACCCTCCGGTTCAGGTAATGGCGGTAAATCTTGGTCGGTCCCCGTAGGGCTTATTAGTTTTGTTGCGTCCAAATCAACTAGCCATATGTCATCTGGTAGTCTGTACAAAATAATTTTACTGGTATTAATGGTAAAAATTCTTGTGACGACGGTGCATTGTGGCCTGAACATTTTGGTGTTGCAATCATAAGAATATTTAAAGGTTCGGCTGCACGATCGAGCTTCACCGGGAGCAAGCTTGCGTAAGATCTACGTTTGTATATGTCGCACCTCCGGTGAAACATAACCTTAACTACAAAAAATTATAATGCTTTGGCGTACAATTGTATCCATATTAACTGCATTTAAAAATGGTTTGTTATTTTAAAAACGCAGTAAATATTTTGCACCCTATTATACACCCTAAACCTTGGGTTTTTCCTTGTAAGTTTTACAATCGACAAGAAGAAGAAATTTTATTAACATATTTGAAGAGCGATTTTGCTATAGCAACGAATGTTACAACAAATCGCACCTCCGGTGAAACAGTGACTTGCACTTGCAAAAATTTTCGAAAAAGTAAAACAAGTTTTATTTTTTGTTTCTAAGGTGTGTACTGTATGTGCAAAGATCTCTTAAATGTTATACTACCAATAAGTAACAAGCATTGCGCCCTCCGTAGAAAAATGAATGAATGCATAATGTGTCTCTGTTATTGTGTTTTTTAATTATTAAACAATTTTAACTTTCTTAGCAGTTAAGTCCTTGTTTCGCCGTAGGTGCGAATTTCCCTCACCTAAAGTTCTTCTTATAAGTGAGGAAAGTAGCAGGTATGCCAATGAGGAAAGGCGTGGGAGCTAGCAGAAGTTGTTCAGCACAGTTCATGCAACTTGGTAGCAGTGGAATGGCCGGAAACATGTACTCCAGCGGGTACAGCATGGCCACTAACGCCATCACCGACATCGACAGCGCGTTGTAGTCGCGAGATTGGACTACGACTTTGTTTTCCAAAAGTATTAGCGTTAGTACTTTTAGGCAGGTGTCCACACCTAAAATAAAAGTGAAATTTTAGACGACGTATTTTTTAGCTTTTTAATTCACTTCCGGATTTTGATAGAAAACAATATTAAAACAATCTCAAAGACATCTCAAGCACGTAGGAAAATTCGTGAGGTCCGCTGGTTCGTTCCGTGGCTTAGTTGGCATAGCGTCTGGTACGGTTTGCTACGAGACGTCGGTTCAAATCCGGCTGGATCGAAGATCTTGAGACGATCCATATCGATCTTTGTATTAATAATTTCACAAAAAATAATTGAATATCAACATTTTTATTCAATGATGAAACATTCTGACATTTAATAAAAATTTAAACTCAAAGATATATAATTATTAACTTAAGGTGGCATGTCACGGTCTCTTTTTCATACAAACGTTTGTGAACATCTTTGTCTAAACATTACGTTACCAACTAAAGGTCTTATGTAGCATGGTGAATAAAGTTCCATTCGGTCGTATAGAAAAATGTAGTATTTATTAGCCATTTTATGTAAAATATGAGGCAAACAAGTAGACAAGTCACTTCATGTCATTGACTTACAATTTCATGTAACGCCGTTTCTCTCTAGAAAGACATTGGAGCCCATAGACATTTGCAATACCAAAGGAGCTGCCTATGCGTTGTTAGCCTTTGAGAGACATGTTTACTCGCCCTTTGAAGAACATTATAGATTATAACATAATTTTTTTTATTTTAAGTTTTATACTCAATACAAATACAAAAATGTATTTGAAAAAAAAATTCAATACATACAATTATTGTTCTATGTATATTTTTTATAATAATTAAGTGACAGGACGAACAAGTCGAACACGTGATGGTAAGCGACACGCCTGTCCATTACAGTTGCAGGGCCACTAAGAGCTTTATTTAAATCACAAAGATCTAAGGGGCACTGTCACTGCGCCCGACACCCTGAGACAAAGTTGACAAGTTCTATGTGCCTGTAATTTCACCAGCACGCTTACCCATCGAAACCGGGACGCTGTAACTCACACTACTGTTTGGCGGCAGAAATAGGTAAGGCAGCAGTACTTCTCTGGACGAACTCTTTCACAAGTAGCTCTACTGCTAATAAACTGTGCTCTATAATAAATACTAAGCTCGTGCCCACTTGCACGCAACTAAGATTGATTATTATTTAAGTTCTAAGTAGAAACCAATGTTTGGACACATTCACACATAAAGTCTTTTTTTGTACGAAAGCAAGACTGTGACATAACACCTTCATAAATGGCGACTACGGATAAAATTATGTAGCCACCATAATGATCCTTCTATGTTTTCAGGAGAATTTACATGGTTTGCTAAGGTTTAATATGAGCCCGTTATATTGTTTCATCGTAATGATACCATCTATTGATTGTAAGTAGTATTTGAAGTGGCCGCACCCGAACCCATTTTGCCCGTCCTCCTTCAAGAAGTGTTTAGGCTTTATCCAATGTGAGAAACTTAAGCTAAACTGAAGCTAACTTTATGTAGTGTTAGTTTATTGGCAATAAAGACTACTGTAATAAAATTGAAATTATTTAGCCAATAGTGGGAGGTTCCGCACTATGTAATTAAACTTTATATAGATACGGCACCTTCTTTTATTAAGACATAAAACTATCCATAAATGTCTCCATTTGTGTTATACTGTAATAAACACTTTCAATATTTGGCTATCAGCGCAAAAGTGGTGTAACACACATTACATTTTTTTTCTACAATATTACTTTCAATGATATTAGTACTTAAGTAATTATTTTATATTTATTATTTTCATGTATTAAAAAAAACTAAAAAACGCATATTTTATGTATGAAAATAACATCCAAATATAAAATAATAAAGTACATTACAATTTACTTACTTTTTATAATTTAAAGGAATATTTTGGGGGGAAAAATATGAGTTAGTTAGATAGCCTCAATTATGAGTAAAGATACGCGTCCATGCCTTCTTATGACTGTACCTGTGCAGAACTAAACACTTACCTAAAAGCTCCAAAGGCAAATGTAAAGGGAAGTCCACAAGGGCGAATCGCGTATGATCAGGTAACGCAAACAACAAAGGTGCATGAGCTGTAGGAGATAACACTTCCAGTTCCACTCGAGTCTTGCCCGGGACAGGCACTGGCGCAGACAGAAGGCGTAATATCCAAGTTTCTATTTCTTTTACGTCGTGTAGTACTATTGTGGGCGTACTATCATACGCCTGACCAGTTAACATTGACCATACTGTATCCCTGTACACATAATGGGACGTATTAATTGTCAAAATATGAACTCTTTATTCATCGACTTCAAAAAAGGAGGAGGTTCTCAATTCGCTTGTATTTTTTGTATGTTACGCGATTACTCCAACGTTAGCGAACCGATTTCGGTGATTCTGTTGTTGGAAAGGGGGTACATCAGTAGTGGTTCGATTCAAATTTGAAGAAAACGTTCCGCCTCTAAAGGTGGCAAATTAGGGAATGAAATCGGTATATTGAATTTCCCCACCCACTTTAAAAATATCATAGTTACTACTGGTTACTGACACAAACCAAATACGTTGAAAAAACAAATGAAAATTAGGTACAGTCACGAGTACGTCAAACTTGACACTTTGATCTTCGGACCGCTTATCGTAAGCGACATAGAGTTGGATTGAAATCTTAAGTGTCAAGTTTGACGTGCTCTTGACCCTGTACCAAAATCAACTATCGAAAAATTTTACTACAATTATTTAGACATATGTATACATATAAGTGATTACTAAGTAGCAACTGCTTTCAGAGTCACGCTTACAGTAAGTTTGTACACTTAATTTAAAAATAACTATATAATATAAAATAAGTATTTTACCTAAATACTTGTCTCGACGCCCCAACACGCCGCGGACTGGAAGACTCATTGCACGCATCAATTAACTTTTTAAGGATAAACAGGCACTCCCGGAATGTGGAGAAAAAGGGGTGATGTGAGAGTAAACATAGAGATGTTAACGAATGATTCCGCACTCGCTAAAACAAGAGAGAATACACAATTACAGGCTAATATTAACTTATAATTTGGTAATCATTTAGTAAGTAGACAATATGCCTTCAATATATTTGTATAACTAATATTTAATCGGGCGTAGTGTTACCACTACCTTTTATTTCTACAAATCAATGAGTAGTGATTTATGGACTACTAGCTATTGCCCACGCTCCCTATTTCACCCTCTTGAAGATTTATTTTTATGACAAAAATTGGCCTATGTCTTAGGTCTCCTTCTATCTCTATGCAAAAAATCATCAAAGTGTTTCAGCGGTTTAGTCGTGACACGTAACAGACAGAGTTACTTTCGCATTTATAATATTCGAATGTATAAAAAATTTAATAAAAATAAAATTAAAGCACCATAAAATCCGAATAAAATTAAACTAATAAAAATACAATAAAAATTATAATAAAAGTTAAGTCAGAATAAAAAAAGGAAATTCAATTTATATATTTGTAGTTTCCGTTTTAGTAAAGAAAGATGCAGAAAAACCTGGTAGCCTGTAGAGGACACCTCACCTGTCTCTTCCTACTTGCCCTAGGACTGGGCGAGTGCGAGCCGCCGCTCTCAGAGTCGTGGCCGGCGGCAGGGCCTTGCGCGACGGCGAGCCGCGGGGCCATAGTGGCACTGCAGTCGCGCTCCGAATCACTCGGCGCCACGTTGCTGCTCCTATAGTCACTGGAACATTCGCTACGTCTTAGAGCGGTTACACACGGCGACTTATAGCAGCGATGCAAACGCGCGAGTGCATCGATATACTTGCGATTTATAGGTGATTGACGCAAACGCGCGTTTGTATTGATGCAACCGCGCGTTTGCGTCAATCGCAAGTGTAGCGATGCAATCGCGCTTTTAGGCGGTCCCTCACCGGGAGCATTCGTCTGTAATGTAACAATTCAGATTCGAGCATTACATCAGTGAGTGAGGAGAACCGAGCGTTACAGTTCGCAACCTGTAATGCTACAAATGTAACATTCGTGATATAGTTTGTAATACGAACGCGCGATTGGATCTCTGCTAAAAGTCGCCACCTGACTCACTCTTAGTCTTATCTCAATATAGTTTCATTGCAGCATATTATGGTTTTTTATTTGACAGCTAATGAATAAGTTACAAGGAGGCCGAGTTCCGTCGCCACTTGAAAATAAATATTCATGACGCAACGAGTATTAGCGTTATAAGTATCAATCTATGTTCAATGGATTGTTATAAGTAGTGATTGGATATTCGGATGATTTTGTACTTAAACTTAACTTTTCCCCTGCATTGCTGTCGAAAATAGAAGCGACTTCTTAAAATATGTTTTTCCTTTAGATCCTGGGATGACGTGATATGTTACGTTATTCTGAATATACATACGGTGATCTTATATTTCATTAATAAATAATTTAATTAATAAATAATAAGTAATTATTTTGGTTCATATAATAACACATAAACATTAAAGATCTGAAAACATAAAATTCCAATTAACATTTTTAAACGTTTATTTTTCTTCAATGTTGTACTTAATAATTCGTCAATCCCAGTGTCGTACAATGTTTCGACACAAAAGTGCATTTCGTGTTATCGAGCAAACGAATTGTAGGTAAATAAGCATCCGATTAGCCGACCACTAGTTATAAGGTTCAAGTAGAATATACTAGATAATGTAGATAATGGATCAAAAGGTAAATAAATAGAAGTAATAAATGTCCACCTTGAGAAGGCCGAGTCCGAGCTCTTTTCCATGGACTTGCGCCACGACTCCCTCCGTAACATGCTACGCTCACGCGGGCCCGGCGCTGGCGCGCGTTCCACCGCGCGGTAGAAATTGACGCAAATTCCGTACCGAGTTTTGCCTTTACCACATAAAATATGGACATTTAAAACCAAATTCTGTTTAAATCTACGTTCAGGCTAAGATAAATATATATAATAATAATAATAAATATTAGACAACATCACAAACGTTGCTTTGATCCCAAAGTAAGTAACTAAAGTACTTGTGTTATGGAAATCGGAAACAACGACGGTACCAAAAACACCCAGAGCACAGAGACGATATAGAAAAGTAACTTTCTACATTGACCCAGTCGGGAATCGAAGCCGAGACCTCAGATGTGGCGACACCATGGAAACCGGCGTGCAAGCTACTCGGCCACGGAGGTCGTTATAGGACAAAACCAAGAAGACAGAGATCATAAAATGCTAAAATTCAACACTGACTTACTAACACACTTACTCTGTTCATGATAGGATTAGTTAAAGAATCAAGTCATTGAAAGGCCAAGCCTTTTATCCTTTATTTAGAAAGTAATTGGATAAAATTTTACACCATTGAAAATATATTATTAAGAGGAAATAATTGTTTTGTTTTATTAACACTTGCAACAATGTCAAATTACATACCTACTCTATGTCGAAGAAAGAATTGGAAACTTTGTAGTGTATTCTGGTCTTGGACTCTCAAGTTGTATTTCTTTTTTAATTGCATTTCATTTAAGCTAATAAGTAGGTAGGATGTAGGAAGTTATGTAACATGTAAATTTGTACTCGATATAGATAACAACTGCTGTTGAACTTAAATAAATTTAAAAAATAACTGTTTCATTTTTTCTTAATTTTCTATGCAAACCGAACCTTTACTCATATTATGTTTCTTATATTTAACTTAAAATGTCGTAGTAGGTTTAAACAACTCGTGTTATCCCCGAGGAAAACCCCCACTAAATAATTAATAAGGTCAATAAAGCAATAAACCTCGTACCGGAGTCTTTGTCAGTGAGAGTAAACACAAAGGACGTGCTGTCCCTAGCGACGTGACCAGGCGCTCGTCGCGGGCCCACGGAAACGCAGCCCTCAGGCTGGCAGAAGTAGACCATGTCCAGTGGTAGAGGGAAATCATCGTGGTTCGTTAGGGGATATCTACGCAGCAACTCCGGGGCCTGCAGATCAAATGCCAATCACCACAATTTGAATAAATGTCCATCTAATCATAAAGATTATCCAAATACTTATAGGTTCTCAACTTCGAAATGGGTAGTAACAAAAGGTCCGAAATGCAAATTAAAAAATGCGTTAATTAAAAATATGGACATTACTGCGTTATTTACTAAGCCACCGAAAACTTTTGTGCAAATAAAATAGTGAAAGTTCCGAAAAATTTTGCTGACGTAATACTACTATACTGATTTAATTTAGGTATATTTCACCGAAAACTACTGTTAGTACTATTATAAAAACAGTGACCCTATATGTTTCATAAAATTTGTGGTGCTTGTTAAAATATTGCATCATACAGAAATACTTACTCTAAATGGCAACATAGGAACTTCTAAGAAATATCAAAATTAATTGTAGTCAACTATTACGATGATGTAATTATTTTGAGGTACCATTAGGTATAAGTGTTAAATCTTAAAAAATATTCCTTAATTCATAAATTTCACACTAAAGCTCAATTTATATTGCGGCGGAACGGAATGGAAGCGAATTTTTGTAACGATATCTAGTTTGTACGTTGCGCAATTGACCATAAAGTTTATTTTTATGTATAATATCGTCACAAAAATTTACTTCCATTCGTTCCGCCGCAATATAAATTGAGCCTAAGTGCATGGGGGAGGTTCGAAATAAGTGGGGATGAGGGAATTCATTTCTGTCCAGAACGACTTCCGCGTGTATATAATTTTTTTGAAACTGATACCCTTGTAGCCAAAGCTCATTAAAAAAATTGTCTCGTTAAAAAAAGGCATTGTTCTGATATTATCGCGTTTAGTTTCAGCGATCCGATCGGTACTTGGTACTTGGTGTAACGGGCTGGTGTCCGCAACTCGACGACAAGGCGCCTATTTTGCGATCGGTAATAGCCATTTTCATTGATATTGAAACTATTTAAATGAAACTGGTTCGTACAGTATAGTAAAATTTGTTTATAGCAGAATAATGTACTTTCTGCAAGTTAGTATTTCTTTCGAAAGTTTAGTAAATTACTAGAGGTACATTTTTTCGTAGAATTGGAATTTGAACAAGCCCTTGTTTGATTGCTAAATGCGATTAATGCTGCCGGGTATTGTGTTTATTTTCCAGTAGGTCGCTTTAACGCAGTTTAGTTAGTATTAAATTTAGTCACAGTTCGCTGCAATTTCATTTGTTTTTCGGAACTTTTGTTATTTCCCTTTCGAAATTATAACCGTCTAGTCATTTGCAGGAAGGCGTACCTGAACAGGAGCGAGTCCTTTGCCAGATGTATAAGGGCGAGCTCCGACTATAGTTAAATAATCCACCAGTCGCGGACACAAGTGCTGCTTCTGAATGTCCATACTTCTGATATGCTCAAAGTTAAACTCGACTCTCTACGCGCGAACCGTCTTGAAACCATTATATTTTACTATAATATTGCTTGTCATAATTATCACTTTATTCCTGAAACAAGAAAAAAGACTTCATGTATCGTCGCCTTACTTTTTCAAACTCGTATCTCAAAGTACAAAGTTACTGAAATACAAAAAATGGATTGTATATACAAATGTTGCAGGTTGATTTCACATCACATTTTCTTCATATTCACACACTGGCTTTTACCTATTCTTAAAGTAATGCATCCATATTAACACTCTCGATAAGAAATTTTAAATAAATAGAAAGTTTTGCCATCTTCTGAATAATCACTTTTTACAAGATACGAGTTTGAGAAAGTAATGTATCGATATGTATATAATCATCGACTTCTCGTCGTGAGATGAGAAAAGTAAAGGGTGACCCCAATTGAAAAGGCTATCTTATTCCCTTTTCAACCAGACTCAGTGAATCGGGGTTGGTATGTACCTACATAGTATCAAATTGATTGATGAGAAAGATGGCTCAGAAATATAATTATTTAGGAATTATCTGTACTATGGGCCCTTGGCCTATTTCCCCACTCTTGACCTAGATTCGAAGGTGCTCGGGTAAGTGGCATGCAATAACAGCCTTTATTGACTATTAAAGTTGAAGCATAAAGTACACGTGTAGCGCGCACTATACGGCAATCCTGGTGTTAGCAGACGAGTTCGTTTATGGGTGCATAGAATATTTATGCTGAGCTGTATAAAAGCGGCATTATATTCTATTAATGATTTTGTTTTTCAACGCATTTGATTTGATTTTGGATTTTCAGAGAACATTCTAATTTCAAGAATAAATCTCTGTTTACTATGGTCGAAAAACAATAGAATCGATTTCAAATAGATACTTAACGCTTCGCCGATTTCAAAATAACCCATGGAAAACTTTGTATCGTACCTTTACAATTGACATTTTGGCGAATTGGAATGACTGATAATGACGTGATACTCATAAGAAATTGTAAAGTATTTTGTTACTCGTATACACAGGACGGCAGATCGTTACCAGCGTGCGTACAATAGTTATATTTTAATAGCTTTACTTATAACATTAAGCAAATGCACAGAAAATCTGCTAAGGATTAGTGTGGCTTGACGTCTATTTGTTCATATATTTTAGGTATACTGTATTTGCAGGAGCAATCACTATACTTTTAACTGATCGAAATTTAAATACATCTTTTTTGAGGATATGATCCAAATTATGCATCAACATTTATTTTAATTCAATAGTTGAATTATTCTAATTCTTCCAGGATTTACCAAATACTTTCTCAAGAAAGTGGAAAAATGGAACTATCCTGCATTGAACTAGCCCGGATCATACTAATTTATTTTAAACGTCACATTCAGTTCGCGTAACTCTGATGAAAACCAAATCCTAGAAAAAGATTAAATGCACAAAGTTGATGATGCAAAGAAGTCTAGTAATTAAAATCGAACTAGATGAAGCATTAGCAGCAACGTGCCTACATGATGATACGCCAGGGTTCGACGTTATCAATTACGTCATTGCGTGGGTGGCACAACCAACAAATGACACTGAATCACTATGTCCTTTTCTGTGTCATACAATATACCTGCCAAACTTAATCGAGAGCAGAAATACGCGTTCTATTGTTAGCCTAAATCTATAATGAAATATCTCAATATGTAGGGTAGGTACATAGCTAACAGGAAGGCAAACATTTGCGCGCGCACATTTAGTTGTGTCACAAACCTAGTTCAAGTTCCTATTGCCGTAATTAGGAGAAAAGCTAAGTACAGCAAATCGATATTACTGAAGTATACTTATTATATGTACATATATTTACTTACTTCTTGGCGCAAGCGTTACATCATCTGTACAATACGTATAATGCAGTAATAATGAGAAAGTTCAAACCAATTTGGAAAAGTTCCGAAGTCTAATAAGTCAATCAAGTAGTAACTAATTTGATACGACGGAAGTTTCCGGGAATTAACGAACAATTGAGTTTCCGTCAGTTGCACGACTTGATAATAAATTTAATTACATTTATTTAGCTGTAGGTATTAATAAGGTGTACAGGATGCTATAAGATCGAACTGGGCTATTGTATTCAGGCCCTCCGCCGCGTTAGGATGTAATTGGCGCCTCTAATACCTCCTGTAGCGCCGTAAATTGATAGAAATGTAATGGCGCTCTTGAGACGGGAACACTTAGCCGCTCAAGTAATGGCCTCATAATGTCCTGTCCCTAAAACTTTACTACGCAAACTTAATTCGGACCAGGTAGCGTAAACACAGTCAATCCATTTATTATTTTACAACTTTAGTAACTGAGCGTTGGCAATGTCCAGTTTATTTCATGAGTCCCATAAAAGAAAGCAATTTATTGCCGTAATCCTATACCTACTCTCTGTAAGCGGTTACTTTGTGACAAGATTACTGTCCGCTTTATATTCAAGGATAACTTATTGACCGTAGTGTGAACGTCGGATATGTCATAAAATTTTGTTTAAATTGCCTGTCCTTGTATTGTTACCTATACTCGTAAATGTATTTTCAATTTGGCAGCAGTGTTTCAGTAACTGTAAGTGAAAGCGTCGATATGCAAATTGTGTTCCATTTAAATGATAGCACCGGCATTACTGAACCCAATGTCACTACAACAAAAGATAAGGCTTGATAATTTAGCGCAAAAGTGTGTTATGGTTAAACATTTATAAAATATGTTGTCAGCCTCCTGTCCTGTGTGCTTTTATGTTTGATTGTTATTATAGGCGGTTTCAATGTTCTCAATAAAAACCATTTTTGCTAACCTTCCACTTAGCTCAATTATACTGATCTCATCATCCAAACCGTACAAATACACTAGAGCGTAATCGGCTAATGGAAATGTATAAATAACACCATATAATACTTTTGTTACTGGGCTATTAATATCATTTTCTAAAGTATTGTAACATGAAAATATGTAAAATCTTTTCCCAGCAAAAACTTTGCTTTTGTTGTTTTGTTTTGTTGAATTAACGTTACTAAAGCAATATAATGTCAACTCTGCTAGTGATATTAAACTCAATAAAGTTTGTCACAAACTAACAACCCGAGCTATGACTGCGCAAAAATATACTATACCTACTTACATATAACAACTATTATGGCGCCAGAATTGCTAGCACAGTCATACCAAAATTATTAAACAAATTACCAATAGATTTAAGACTTCAATTCCAGACTGTTAGTTTTAATAATAAAATTAAATCTTTTTATAAAAAGCATCAGCCTATGCAACGTTAGACCATGACGTCAGCGTGACGTAAGGTTTTTGTTTTGGACGAGCTTGTGTTGTTCTTGTATGTACCGTCAACTTTGTATAATATTTATCTGTTAACCTGTTCCTTGTATCTATAATTGGGATTGGTTGTTTAAGTTAAGTTTAATTTTCAATTGAATGTTTTGTTGTCAGACGTGACACATTTTAAACCCCTCAAGGGTTTTAGTGTCTTAACTACATGTTACTTAAGTTGTAAATTAAATGAAGAATAAATAAATAAAATAAAATAAAATAAATTGTAAGTACAACGAAAAGTGGTAATATGCGAACCATTAAAAAACGTACAAATTTTCGGGTTTCTCTTTGTTTAAAGACACAACAGACAAGGTAACATTATATTTCAAATCGACAACATTATTTCAACCAAAATTCTGCATATTGAAGACAAAGTACTTATAAATATGTAGATTTGCGAGATTACGTAAATACCACTGTGACAGCCACATCGAGATTAAGGGTCGTATTCCAGAACTCTACTCAATACTCAAGTCAGGACTTGAGTATTGCAGTGAGCACTGAAAATCATACTCAATTCCTTGCCATTAGGGTCGTATTTCCTAAGGGCGACTTTGTAAGTGTACAGTGCTGTAGAGCTCCTTGTAAAGAGTTCGTCCAGGGAAGTACTGCTACCTTATCTATTCCTGCCGCGAACCAGTAATGTGAGCATTACAAAGGTAAGGGTTGTGATGATGTGACCTCCTTACATCGTCATCCCACCTTTTTATTACCTTTTCTCTGGTTCCTGGCCACTGGCAAGGCAAAGGCATCAAAGAACGATTCAAAATTTAAAAACATTCTTTAACCCATTAACGCCCAAATACAAATTAGCGTTAAAAATAGTAAAATTTTTTTATGAACCTTTACAAAATAGCCTAGTTATGAGAAAATTATGAAGAAAAAAAAGATTTTATTTTATTTTGTATGAAAAAAAATGCCGTCCTCAAATGGGGACAATGGGCTCAAGCGGTGTCAAAAAATTTGTAACAATATTTGTCGGTGCACAAAGACTTGACGCATTTTTTATATTGCCAACGCACTTATTTGTGGCTCAACAGCTATTTTTGCACATCGTAACTGTTAAGCCAACTTCTGAGCGTAGTGATCAACACCAATGTTCTGTAGATTTAGCACCAAAGAAGCTGCTGGATGTAAACTTTGAGTATTTGTTTCTCCAATAGTGACGTGATGTAACCGTTTAACTGATGTAGCTGATCTAGCTTCGTATTATTGGTCAGGAGGTGTAAACGCCATGTATTAGCTAGTGCTAGGTGCAGCTTGTAGTGGAACAAAACACACCACCAGTTTTTGCCTCGAATGGCAGTGCGATACAAAAAGATTGGTCAGCTTGATTTATCCTGCTGGTACGTTTGAAATCACGCAGGATACCCACGTCAGCTTTCTGTTTATTCACAGTGCTTTATCTTTTTACTTTCACCAGAGAAAGGACATTATCATAATCAGAGCTCATCGTGCAAATACTATTGTCAAGCCATGGAAAAAACAGAATTTGGTTGATTGGGTAAAATCGATAGTCAAAATTGGCACGATTTTACTCTACATGTGTATTACAAATCTGGTCAAGTAGATATTTCTTAGTTTTTCCTTTGCAGACAGTTTCAGTTGTTCGATAACCAGTTTGCCGTAGATTATTAGATCTTGTTACATAAGAATAGTACTTCTACATTGGTGAGCGCCCTCAGTTCCAGGGGAAATGCCCCCTAAATCTATCTCCACATCATGGTCTCTCTCATCCATTACAGCTTCAATAGCTTTCTGAAGCCCATAGTAATAATTGTGGCTGCCAAATACCTGTTGTGTCATTATTTCGTTGAAAATTACTTATAGATGAAAAACTAATAAACTACCCCATAAGCGCCCAATGGCCCCAATTGGGGACACCGTTATATACCACCGTCTGAAGTTGTCAAAACACTATTTAACTCAATTATATAATTTTTATTTTATAGTATACGAATACATTTCAATAATATATGTAAAAAAAGAAATAAATTGTTGGTAATAACATACAGAAAAAACAACTAACTTTAGGGTTTCACGTGTGCGTAAGTTAACCCCACTAAAGGAACAGTCAAACCACTTTTATTTAATTCTAAACAATTTTTTTAAATAATAAAATTAAGATCCACTATTTTACTTTACATATACACTTTTGTAATGAGTATTAATAGTAATATAAAAAAATTACGGGTACTCAAAGTAGTGTCCTCGATTGGGCACGGCGGGCGCAAATGGGTTAATGCCTTTGTCTCGCCATTCTTATTTTGTTTCTTGCGTCCTCAATCGCACTAATTTTGATCCTTTTACTTGTTCTCAACCTAATCATGTGCCATTTAATACTAATCTGTAATACTGTACCTATAACTCAGTCCGCCCGGGGTAAGTCTGTCTCACGTTTAGTAAGTATTTAATAGGGAGTGTCTTGTGGCGTTGTACCTGTTTTCCTTATATACCTTTCTTGTTACAGCCTTTTCCTTTTGATTTAATAATGAATACATTTTTGTGTACCGAAGTATCCTATTTTATAGCCGTGATCCTAGTCATGGCTCATCAGCGGTTTACAATTTTATCAGGGTGCTAGTGAAATCACAGACACATGAGACTTGTCAACTTATGTCTCAGGATGACGGGCGCAGTGGCAGTGCCCATTAAATTTTCGGAATTTTAATCTCTGAGTGGCATTACGACTGCTATAGACAGGCGTGTCACATACCACCAGGCGCATTTATTCGTCACTTGGTAGCAAAAAAGTACAACGGCTATATTGTCTGTTTTTCAAAACTAACTGAAGTGGTTTGGTGCCGTCAACTCGCTACTGATTCGTTGGTTTCTTATTTTTTCCATCCTCTAAGGGTTTCTAGACATTTTATTTCGTTCATTAATTAATTTTAAAAACAACCAGGAAGAAATACTATGGTGAGAAGGAAAATATTTATTTTCTTTCATTTCTCATTCTAATCTTTTAAATATCATGCTTTTTAAAGAATTTAGAATTGAATTGTTTGTAATGAAACACTTTACAGGTGAAAGTGCAGAGTTAATGAATGCTTCTACACAGTAAAATGCTAAGACAGGTAGCTACAAGCGTTTTAATTATATCAGCGCCAATAATCACAAAACTAATTCATGAAGTTTGTTACAGTCATAGTAGACACACACACCACACACGTCATTGATGATCAACTTAGCTTCTGTTTATCAAGCTTAGAGGTGGGCGTTTAAACGAAAAGCAATTTAAAAAGTTTGCTTGTTTAATATAAGCACATAAGCACGCTTATAATTTTAAATTGTAAACGTTGCTCAGTTCAATACTTAACAATTTCATTTTTTACAACATGCCTAAATGTCAAGTCCCGCCGTCTATGTTTCCTAAACAAGTTAATTGGTCAATGTGAGTAATAATATTATAGATAAAAATAAAACTTGTGTTTTACAAATAAACTTACATAATTAAGGACCTTTACTGGCCTACTCCCGCTTTTCGCTGTCAATGCAATGTGGCAAACATTGCAAATGCATTGTGGCAAAAATTTATAAGCAGTTTTTTCCGTCTCTAATTAGACTCAGTTTCACCCACATCGTTAGCGTTCCTTTCCTTTCTAAAGAATATTATGTCAGTTCTTCAAAATACGACCTTAAATACTTTCTTTTTCATTACTATTCGTATGCCTATAATGATTGATAATAATAATAAATAATATGTCCCGCCTCCAAAGAAAACTACCTCACGTTCGTCCTTAGAGACCCACCAGGAAATTTCGCGTCAGAAGGGATCAACTTCATCCAAGATAATTGAATGATAATCTCGTGAAAGCTTCCGAATTTAACCCATCGTATTTGAGTAAGTACATCACACACTTCGTATGTATAAATTACGTAGATTTATGACCTTGGGTTTAGTAGCCATTTGGGAATTTCAGGGAAGCTTGTGCCAAGCAAATTTACAGTGGTAAAAAATTTCTTTAGGTGTAGGACGTAGTCATAACCACCCATGTAAAATAAATTACTATTTGTACTTTTTTTTATTTTCAACCACTGTAGCTTGAAACTTATATCACTAAATTAAATTAAAATAAGTACGAATTTAATGTGACCTTGTTACCAAATAATGACCCATTTTTATGTTTATTCTTATATATTTGTTACAAATAAATTATGACGGAAAAATGTACTAGGTACCAGACATTTCTGATGGCATTAAAACTACCTAAGATGTAGGTAATGATCGTTTACATATAAAATTGTAGTTTTAGCCTAGAAAGACCCAGCAAAATAAAACGCGAACAGCGCTAAACGCCCAATGTACATTAAAATGTATTAAGTAAAATTACATTCTTCAGGCCTAAACAAGTATGCCATCAGATTTGTATGAAAAACGTATTTTTCTAGACACCCTATGGTCATATAGAATATATAGCGCAAAATTTGAATGCGATATTGATATGTAGGTACCTACACTTCACGAGGGCTTAGGAGATTAAAACTATTCCACCGTATTTAGAAATGAACGTCATATGGAGTAAGATGGCACTAAGTTATTAAAAACTAATTTAAAATATATGCCGTAATCGTTATTTGAACAAATTTAAATTTAATTTAGTTCTTGAAAAAGCTTTCATTAGTGAGCTACAGGAAACTGTAATAGAATTAATTAGTCTTTATATAATCGTAATTATTTAATTGTACTAAGCTAAAAAAGATACAAAATACGTGTAGAGTCCAAACCAGGCTAAGTACCTAAAGGCTAAGTACCTAAATGAAAAGGCAGACTCGTTATTATCAATTTACGACTTTAATAATTAATGATCTAAATGGTTGTTCTAATACTAGATAGTTCAGAGTGACGTTAAAATCGCCCAGTTCATTGCCTAACTTTGCATTAACGCGTAATTTTTCTAAAAATACTTAACAAAAAAAAATTTTGAATGGGAAACTAAATACGGTATGTGTGTGTATGAGCCTTAAACAGAATTTCACTAAGTAAATTTGGTCACTGACATTCACTAATACACGTCAGTCACTTTTCATTCGATCACGAGGAAATAAGTGATTAGTAGTGTCTGACAAAATATAGCGAACGGATAAAATAGAGAGATGAGTTTTATGAAACGAATACTTACCTTAATGTAGAGTAGTGGTGGTTGTTGTTTCTTACTACATGATGACTATTGTCAACGTGGGCCTATCGCGATACCAATTGGGTATACTTCGTGGCGCGTGTTCGCGCGGATGGCGCGTAGTGGCAGCAGACGCTGATGGCGGCAGAGCCATGCGCGACGCCCACGCTCGATACGCTTCGCGCCGCCGCAACAGGGCCTAGCGCCTCTGTAAAGATTCACGTATACTATGTAATATGCAGTACGTCGTCTATTTACAGTCAGTAATTTGAACACATGTGTTCTTATACTTAAACGAAATATTATCGTAACTCAAAAATTATGGAATTGAGAAAACACGATTCGGATGATCAAAAACCGACCTCAAAAGTCATTCATTCCCTAGTTTGTCACACTTAGAGGTGGATATATTTCCTTCAAATTTAAATGGGACCACTACTGAGGTACCCTCTTTCCAACAAAAAGATAATTATCAAAATATGAACACAAACTATTGGAGTTATCGTGTAACATAGATACAAAAAAACATAGTCGAATTGAGAACCTTCTCCTTTTTTTGAAATCGTTTAAAAAATGACCGTATGGAATTCTCATTTATAAGAGGATAACTAATTATTATGTACAAATAAAACTAATCCCATTATTAGCAATTAGATTCAGTTTTTATTAAATTTACAAATCGTGTTTCCTTAATTCCGTCCATTTTGAACTACGAGTGTTTGGTTTTACGTGCGTTACAATAAATTATGTTTTACTATTGACTAAGTGCTTACTGATAAGTATAAAATTATTGCATCAAATTATATATTGTAGCTCTTGAATAATATTTCAATTATTTATAGTTATATTACGAATCTAATTCTAATTGTTTATTAATGTCTCAAATCATTTATTAAAGTTGTATATTCCTTTATGGGATATGTATTAGAAATTTAAATAATTGTTTAAGTTTATAGGAAAGTGTAATGTTGTATTCTGTGGAAGTAGGTAGTGTGATTTAGTAGCAATAGAGCTCCTTGTGTAATTTGTCCAGGGAATTACTGCCATTTTACCTATTTCTGCCGCCTAGTGGTGCTAATGAGATTACAGGCATATAAAGGACTTGTCAATTTATGTCTCAAAGAGCCCCTCAGTGCCTCTACCACGAGATTACTGACATTTGTCACAAGTTTCACAATTTTGTATGGCAAACTATACAGCGCCCCTTATGGTCACAAGAAGAAACAACATTTTGTATACAAATATTTTACGCGATCGCTCGCGATAACTGTCACCGTAATCTCATGATAGAGGAGCTGATCTTTATGATGTAACGCACTGAGTGGAACTGCAACAGTTATAAACAAGTGTATCGCTTACCACCAGTCGTCTCGTCACTAAGTATTATAAATTAAAAAATGTACCTTATCAAATAAATAAAAAAATACTTCGGTAATTCAAAGTGTTTCTTAAAGGGTAAGTTACTTTTATTAAAAAAATTGAAATCAGTTTATTTCAAACGTAACAAAAGAAAGGATTGCCTTTGTAGCAAACAAACGTATCGGATGGGTCTATGATTTCAGCTTTAATGTATACATTGACTATTGAATACATTGACGTATCTTGTCCCGTTGCACTGTTGACGACATTGAGCATAAGTATAATATCATTAGTTGACGATTCTCAAACAAAAGAAAATACACCTTTGTTTGAATATCGCCAACAGCATGAAGTGCTATACCTTATCATAAGTGAAGTTATCGTTATTTTTAGCTAAATTGAGTTATTAACGTTCATACATATATTTTGTATTCCAAATTGTTGGCACTAGTAGAAATTATTTCTCTACATTTCCGCCACATGATATTGTACAAGTTTAATTAATTGTATTACGTAATCGACCGGTAGTAGAGATTAGTAGACAAACAATACAAATACATATATTTTTCATTTTCCTTCTTAGGTTGCAGTAGCTATTTATTAATTTTTGCATAATAAGCTTAATGTCATAACTGTATACTATTCTGACATAGTTATAATGATATAAAAGATTAGTAAGCACCTACTGGACCAGCGAAGGTAAGGCCTGAAGGCCTTTGGTCACGGAGACTCATTGTGACAAAAAAAAACTACATACAATCATGCATGAAGTTGAAATAGGTACTGACTTTTGATTAACCAATGTTCTCGACTTCAGCTTTCAGTAAGTATAACAAATGGCTCTGGTATTAGAGTGCACTTTTGCATGCACATCTTCACTGAAATATTCGACTGAATACAATAATTTTTCACTGCAGCTATTGTATGGAATTGGTTTCAGCAGATGTCAAATATATTTTAATACTTAGGTTCAAGGTCATGGGCATGTCAAGCTTGACACTTAACACGTTCACAGTCCCCTTATAAAGGCCTAAGTCAACCCTATGTATGCGTGGACTTATGGTCGACACCAATTTACGACACCAGGTGGAATCATGGACTGTGAACGATCTCAATTCAACTCTACACCATTTGCGATAAGAACGCCCAAAACCTTGTACCGTTGAAAAAATATACATGCTTGATTCCTCGAATGAATTGTGGCGCACCTGAACTATACCAAATTCTATCACGGGGAATCTAATTGTCAAAAATAAACTTGTACCTCGTAATTTATGGAATTACGACGTGCAATGCCTATGCTCCACAATACCTTCGGAGAACTAGGTACTTACATATTCTGCAATCAATATGAAATGTTTGTTTTTGTTTCTAATTTCTTTCTTTGTTCATTTTTCGTAATAAAAAAGTTTTTGAAAAGCAGATACATCAAATAATTTGTCTGATATATAGAAGTTCGTTTGATCATTTATAAACTATGAATATTTTCGTATTTCATATTTTATATAAGATTAATGTTTTTTGTCTTTGATTTTGGTCATACATTGTATTTAAGTATATCCAATCACCAATGAGTAACATAATTTTTTAAGTTTTTAATCGCTCCTGTAAAGTTGCAGTTTTTCCTTTACACTGTATGCGGTGGGGCTGTCGATATGAAGCGAGTAAATTTCGCCATGCAATCCATTTTTAATTTATGCCATTTTAATGTTGCTATGACAATTCCGACGCCAGTTTATGTGTATATCACCAAAGATAGTACATGTACTATAGTTTCCTGACAAAACGCTTTTTTATATTAATGTGCCAGACAACCACACCAAAAGCCTCGTCTCAATCTAGGGAATTTTCTATACTATGAGTATCAGAGCAACGGAACTCACAGTGAGGCATTTCTGGAAACACCCAGACCAGAACTAACTTAAAGTTCATTTCCCAATTTGATCCTCCCAGGTATCGAACTCGGGACCTCCTTCCAACACCCACAGTATAGACCACTAAGCCACCGAGGATTTCTGTTTGATGCTGATGATGAAAAAGATAGGGTAATGAGGACAATTAAGAGTATTTTATGACTAAATAAATGTCTGCTTAATTCCCCCTTCAAATTAGACGGAGAATGAAGAGGAAGAGAAAGACGAACAATGTACGATGTATTTATTTTACATGTATGTATACGTAAGACCCTTTTCCGGATTCTCTATATACACACACCGGCACATTTAACGGAATAAAAAAGTGAGATATATTCAATCGTAACGTTTACATTGAAATAAATTAGAATTAGACATAAAGTAGAAATTAAATTAACACCGACTTAGCCTTACTGAACCTTTATTGGAAAAAATCGAAATTAACAGCATGCATTATTTTTTTTGATTTTGTGACAAAGCATAAAAAGCTGAAAATTTAAAAATTTTAACAAATAAACGAAAAAAGTACAGTGGAGTATTTTTTTATTTTCTAAATTAGTCCTAAATAAAAAGTAAAACAACCGACCTGAGTTTTCTAAAAACACTTATTATTTTGGGGATTTTATTTGAGTCTCCCAAAATGTGCCGGTATGTGTATTTTACACTTGTAAAAATTATAATAAAATACAAAAACACTTTTATTTAATTTTTTTATCATAAAAGTTTTATTCAAACAATAAATTGTAAATTTTATTTACGTAAATACACGACACATTTATGTAATAAATACTAGTTATGAGTATATATATATTTTTATTTATTTCCCTGTATCTTCTTTGAGGGACACGGTTCTGTTGAATAGGATCTGTGAACAGACAATAGTATCACTAATAAAAATATTGAATTGTACTTATGCATTACGTGCATTCAAGTATATGTATATAACAGTCGATAGAGTAAGAATAGTAATCGTTTGTTTCAGGCAAAACTATTTTTCAAATATTTGTTCAATAATGCATGGACAAGAAACAGTGGTGTGTTAACACTATATAATAAAACAAGTAGTGCAACTCTCGCCTGTTTGGCACATATACGTACTTCGCTCAGAGCATAGGGTTGTTACAATATTATTTAAGTTGTACCTACAGGTTGTAAACATAATTTAATTCAATTTAGGTGTTCATTACAATATTCTCATGCTATATTGAAATAATTTTTGTTTGTTAAATGCACTACTTACGTATAAATATTGATATGCCAGGATCGCGGATTGATATCTCAATTATAGGAGAGCGATCATGAAACGGATATGAAATGCTAACCAATTCTGAATTTCACCCATACTTGCTCAAATAACTAACCAATTCTGAATTTGAGCCATTCTTGAATAGAATAGAATACGTTAAGTAAAATTAGGTACATTGTATTCAACCTGCAAGCAGATGTGCAAATATTAATGGGATTCAATGTTTCTTCAGTCTCTATAGTTTCTAATTAATGTAATGAATTTGTAAATTTTAAGTATTCTTTATTACTATAGAAGCAATGTGTCAAAAGCCATTTTGTCAATTTTAATTTAAAAGTATGTCGTTGTAACAATTTAATTTTGTTTGGTAATTTATTGTAAATAATTATACACATGTTGAAGCAGTTATTCTAATAAATTACTTTATGGCAACGAGGTTGGTATAATAGATTCATAATTTTTACTCTAGTTTGCCTTTGAATGACTTCACCGCGTGTTTTAAAATATTGAGGATGAGAGTTGACATATACGCAGATATCTCTAATGTACATGCATGACAAAGGTAATATGTTCAAATAACTAACTATAAACACGTCTACTATATGATGTCTTTTTTAATCACCGAGGGAAATCGCTTCAATACTATATTTAAGGGTTTAAAAGAAAAGCACTTAAAAAAGTTTGCTATGCTTACGTACGCTTTTCATTTTAAGCGTTCAAGCGTTGGTCACTGGTCAGTTCTATACTCAACAATTTAATTTTTTTTATCGTGCCTAAATTTCAATTAGCGCCATCTGTTTCCTAAATAAATTAATCTAAACGACTTTTTAAGCTTCAAACTAAAAAGCGTTTATGTGAAAAGCGCTTTTACAAGCACGCTTTTTAAACATACGTTTTAACGTTAAAAAATAAGCAGTTTTTTCCATATCAACAATTTTTTAACGCTTTAAAATGCCAATGAACAAAATGTTAATATAACAATGTTGTGTTATAAATAAAAATAAAACTCGTTTTTTACAAATAAACTTACTTTCTTAAAACGTTTAGTGGTCTACTCTTGCTTTTCGCTATCAACACAACGTTGCAAGCTTTTTTTAACATAAAAGTCTATGTTTCTAAACGATTTTGTTAGCTACAAACTAAAAAACCTTTAAGTGAAAAAGCGTATAAAAAAAGCACGATTTTTAAAAAAGCATAACGTTTAAACGTTTAAAAAATAAGCAGTTTTTCCCATCTCTAATTATAATGAATGACGCGTGTGACGTCACCGCGAGATTATGCGAATTTGTGCGACTGTATTCGGCGCGCAACGGGAGTGCACACGTACAAGCCCCGCTGCTATATTTGTATAGAAATACACTACTTGTTTTATGTACTAAGGTCTACAGAGTGAAATATTATAGAGGAACTTTTTAATGCATTTATCGGTGGTGATAGGGTAGTGTAGGCCGAACCAGCAACACACTACTACTATTGTATGCAGACGTATAATAAGAATTATTATTATTATTCTGTGTTTTCTATTTTAGACTCGTGGCCTGATAGATGAACTTTGAATTAAATAGAATATTCGGTGTCTCCTGACATTAGCAATGTCAGCTGTCCGGAACAGAAGCTGCCAGGTCCAAGAACCAGTGAACGATACAATTATTTATATTATAAATGGCAACACTGACCTGGAAAATCATAATATTATGTCACCGGGCTTTTTCTTCGCCTTTATAATTTCTTTTACGACATTTATGATTTTATTTACTCACTTTGCTATTAGTAGAATCAGAATCAACAGAGAAGAAGCCGACCCTCTCGAACTGGAACTTGTCGTATACTTTAGCCCCAGCGATGGAAACATCCGCAAACGCCTCCAAGATCTGCAGCGTGTCCTTGCGACAGTCCGACAAGAATCCGCCTGGAACTTCATTGGGGTCTTCGGGGTTTTTGTGTATAAATCTGTTACGTTTCGAAACAAAATTTGGTGTAACAAAAAATTATAATGACTATTGTATTTATTCGTGCATCTTGTGTCAACAAATTTATGGCCAACTAATTCTAGTGACGTGGGTTATTTTAGGACGTAATCCGCCATACTACCTAGAGCGAATGTGAGCTAAAATGTGTCTGAAAAGTTTTTTGAATCTTCGAAGACGTGCATGTTGCCAATTACATCTTTTTTCACCATTCAATTATAGTAAAAACTAATACTAATCGTAATTTACTCACAAAGGCTGGTATAATCTGACTTCGACTGTCACTGGTTCGGAAACCCAGTGAATAAAGGCTTTCGGTTTCTCTGCAGAATCTGTAGGCTCTACCGTACATTCCAAATCAGTAACTTTTCCTGTATTGTCCTTAAGTACTTTGGATATCTACGAAAAAGTAAAAAGATTGGTTGAACACATGGCACAAAATGATTCAGAACAATAATTAAAAGCTGACTGTAAAGTTGGACATCACAGTATTTAATTTGATTTGAATAAAGTTATTTATGAAGTGTTTAAATAGGGTCAACGGCCGACTTCGGCAGACGCAGAGTTTGTTGTCATTGTCTTACCGAAGGAGGCACAGTCGACTCGCTGTCTACACCATGTCAATTGCCTCCTTCGCCGAAGTCACCAAGTCGGAACTCACATCACGTATACAAGTTTACGCACAGGAATACAACAAATCGTTCGAAACATTAAAAAAACTGATCGGGTAGATTTTCGACTCCAGAACGCGCTTAGTGGTGAGATGCGGCCGCAAATATTGACGGTCAACCGTCGCTTTTATGGTAATTAGTGACGGGACGTACAAGTCGTGCACCTGTTGGAAAGCGACACGTCAGTCCATAACAGTTGCAATGTCACTCAGAGCTTTAAATTACAAAGATTGGGCACTCCCAATGCTCCCGTCACCCTTACACATAAGTTGACAAGTTCCATGTGACTGTAATTTCACCAGTACTCTTACCCTTCACAACCGGAACGCTTGGCGGCAGAAATAGGTAAGGTGACAGTACTTCCCTGGACGAACTTTTTCACAAAGAGCTCTACTGCTTCTACTCATAGATATATATGACCACTATATCCGAATACGTGACCACTACTGATAATACTATATTTACTTTATTAGCACGCAACGATTAAAATAAAATCACTACGGCTGACGCTATTTCACGAAAGACTGTGTTCTTTCTGTTCGATCTTTAATAAGCATTATATGAAAACCAGTATATCTCACCTTAATGACATATCCAGCATGTCTTAAACCAACGGACTGTGATTGTGTCAGACGTCTATACCCTTTCTCGGGCTCTTCTTTAAAATCACTCGCCTCAATATAGATAACTTTACTAAGCACCACTTTGTGAGAACCTTTGTCGGGTTCGTTGGGGAAGTCCGGTACTGTAACTTCGACTCTATCCATGGTTAGATTCGTTAGCGTGATTTTTAGTGGCTCTAGAACCACCATCACCCTGATAAAAACAGAGACTGTTAATTTCAAGATTTGTGAGCGTCGGCTTGGTATGCTGAAGACGCTCTGGTTCAAATTCAGCCGGATCGAAAGATCTCTGTGTTCTATGTTTATATTAATAATTATAACAAACTAGAGTAGTAATTTTACAAAAAAATAATTGAATATCATGGTAGTAAAACATCGCGATAGTCAATCAACTTCATATTACAATTATTAAAGCGTCATCTCCAGTCAGCCGCTGGTAGCTGTAAAGGTACCTGGCTGAGTGAAGAAATCTTTAATGGATTTCTCACAGATGGCGCTACGGCAAAGAAAGTTAAACAACCAAAAACTCCTTCTAATTTGACTAACTTCTGCTGTCCCAATTTTTTTCTTCCAGTACAATGAGTCATCCTTATAAGAAACTGAGTTCATGAGCATTTAAAAAAAATAGTCAAATTTATTCATTTTGTATGAAAAAATATTTTATGAAGTTTGACCAACTTCTGCTATCCCGATTTTTTTTCGTCCGATACGATGAAATGATGATCCCTTCATGAAACTGAATCGATCAGCACTAAAAAAATTTTGATCAATTTTATTCATTTTTATGGATAACTCACGCTAAGCCAAAAAATTGACTGTGTCAAAATTGTTTTCACAAAAAAGACTTAATGGTTCCTGTCACGCAAGAGGTCCCGGGTTCGATTCCCGGGCCGGGAGAAATATTTGTATGGCCTACATTTATTTCTCTCGTGAATTGGGTGTAATTTGTGGATGTCTATGTGTCCATGGCACCCGCAATACAGGGTTTCCCCAGTGCGGGGCTATGAGTACGTGCGCGTTATTATTATTATTATAAGACAGTTTTCTTGTATCTTCTATGGTTTCGGATTTCCTCAGTGTTCCATTTAAAAATAAACATCTGTATAATTACGTACATACGTTAAAAAATAAAGCACCATAAAGTACTACGGTTAATAAAGTATATTATTTACCTTTATCTACGGCAAATTCTTATAACACTTAGTGTTTGGCACGTTATGGCCGAATGTGGTAATTTAGCTGCCTACCTGGGAGCTGTGACATTGAGCACGTCCCTGACGGCGGCATCCAGCATGGTCGGGTCGACGGCACCAAGAGCGCCGGTGACGCCCAGACCCGCGCAAAACTTGTTGATAGCTGCTGCCGGCACCCCCCGGCGACGTAAAGCCGTCAATGTATACAGTCGGGGGTCGTCCCAATCTTTGACATGCAAATTCGTTAAAAAAAATTTAAATACATATTTAAATCATCTCAGTACAGCGTACTAAAAATACGACCTCAAAAGTTCGAGGAATTACATCTATTTGCCAAGTTTTATTGAAATCGGTTGTACCGGATTCATCCCCGAGTTTGCCACCCTTAGAGGTGGAATATATTCTTCAACGTTAAATGGGGCTACTACCGAGGTATCCTCTACGAAACAAAAAATAATCATCAAAATTTGTTCTCAAATGCCCGAGTTATCGCGTAACATACATACAAAAAAAGGCCGAATTGAGAACCTCCTTCTTTTTTTGAAGTCGGTTTAAAAATAATAGTAAAAACATCGTGATATTCAATCAAATCAAATAAATATTGCAATTAAATTAATATAGCGATATTTCTGTCTGTCGTCTGGTAGTTGTAAGTACCTGGCTGGCTGACTGAGTGAAGAAACTTTGATTAGTTCTCACAGGTAGCGCTATCGCTACGGAAAAAAGCGTTTAAATTTAATACAAATCCGCAACAACCACACAAAGAAATTCGTAAGATCTGCTGTCTCGATCCGTAACTCAGTTGGCAAGAGCGATAGCCACGTTGAGGCAACAGACACTTCGAGTCCAGTGACATCAAAGGAATTTTTCTTTGTGTCTGTTCGATCTTTGTATCAATAATAATAACAAAGTAGTGGAGTATTATCATTTATCACAAAAAAATTGCTAAATATCATGGTAATAAAAATATCATGATATTCAATAAAAATAAATATCTTAAATAATACATATATCGTCTAAATATTACTTTTTGTTCCTACAGTGACAAATTGGTATTGGATGAGTGGGCTCGTTCTCGCAGTTGGGTGTTACTAGCACCAATGGAATTTTTGTGGTGTGGGTTTCTCTGGCCACCCTACCTTCCCCGGGAATCTTAAATTGTATTGTGATCATTTTGTTGAATTAATTAAAAATTATTAAATAATATAATATGATGATATGATATGTTATGACATATGACATGACATGATATGATATGATATGATATGATATAATGCAATGCAATGCAATGCAATGCAATACAATACAATACAATACAATACAATACAATATAATATAATACAATAATATATTTAAAAATTATTAAATTAATTTGTAAAAATTACTTACGCTACTTACATTAATTAACATTAACCACTCTCGACCGTATTTACCATACTTGATACATCTAAAATTTTAGAGTTATACATATATAGGTACATGAATTTAGCAACTGGCATTGAATAAAAATAAACTAAACTTGAGACAAATTTTAGTAGCGCCTGAAGTAATCGCTTTCTGAGTCACATATGACCAATCTTCTTTGTTTATGAACAGTACTCACCATTAACTATTCCCTCATCAATAAGCTTAGCAATCTTTCTCTTGGAGACCACAGTATAATTCACATTCAATCTGCCATACTCCCACTGCACTGGGCAGTAGATTCCAAGTGCATTGCAAAGCCAATAATATGAAGATCTATAAAAAAGTGTTTAATTATAGTGTATTAGCTTTAATGGGCAAACATGCAGCACACAGGTGTTCAAGTTGAGAATTTGCTGTTAAAACTGCTACCATGCTATTTTATTTAGTTGTAGCAGGAATTGTATCACTGTATAAAATACATCAAGTATATAACCAGAAATAGAGACAAAATATCGTTCGAAAACTATTCTGCCAAATCAATACGGTGATAACTGCGCTCCGATTCGCCAGCCCGAATTCGAAACAATTGACGAGTGTCGTCAATTGTTTCACTTCAAATCGACCAGTTTAACTCGAGCTTTGCTATAAAAGACGAAAATTGAAAAATTACATATTTTATTACCGATGAAATGTGTTTCCGTTTGTTTTGTAATTAGATGTTTTGCGTTTTTCCAACACCACCAAATGGAATAGCCCCCCATTGTTAGATCTTTATTACAATAAATACAGAACATTTTTGGAATATACGGAAACGTACACACAGGTCAGTTGTTGGCGCTGTACTACTTAGTTTCTAATTCGTGATTTCAGCGCAAATGAGAGTTGATATTAAGGATATGTTCACATGACAAGCGTTCAACGCGCGTTAGGTTTTTAAATAGTATACACATGGCGGGCGCTTTTCACTGTTACAGTGCAAGTTCGGCATTAGTCGAAGATGGACTTGGAAACAGCTATGTGTTTGTGGATTTTATATCGAAGGCAACAGGAGACGGAAATAGGTCCATTCTATTTTACTATCCAGGCTCAGTGAAAGTCACTTAATAACTTTGTATCCTAATCTCAAACTATATGACTATGGACATGTGTTTTGCAATTTCAATTGCAAAACACGTCTCACCGCATCGAAAACGCTGTATATGATCTCAAAGCGGTTAACAAGTGCCCGGCGTTAGCGCTGGGTTGAGCGCGCGTTGGCCGCTCGGTGAACACCTACAGCGATTTACGTACAAAATTCGGTAAGTTGTGAGCGCGCGTTAGCGAAACGCCCGTTGAACGCTCATCATGTAAACATACTCTTAAAAGTGATATAAGGCCCATTGCCTTATGAGTTGCCAGGGATAGGTGGCCCTTATTTCGTATTTATATACATATGACAAATATACTGATGACAAATTCTGATCACTAAATTTTTCCTATTCAGGTTGAAGTAACATGACAAACATTGAATAACAGTGTCAAGTCATTGTATGCTCTGCCAGATCTAAGCCGTACAAAAGGTACAGTTTGAAGTTTTAATTAAGTACCATGACTATTTTGATACCTGCTGTTGTAATAATAATCACTTCTATTAATTCCTATAGATAAATTCCTCTGAGTAATCATGTAAATTTCCAATCTCTACAAACAAAAACTACTAACCTTCTTGACTGGAACTCCTTAGTACAAAGAGAATGTGTGATGTGCTCAATACTATCACAAAGGCAGTGAGTGTAATCGTATGTAGGGTAAATGCACCACTTGTCGCCAGTACGGTGGTGAGGCTTGAACTTAATCCTATATGCTACAGGGTCCTGTTTACCTTCTTCTAGGGTTATTTTCATTCGGAGTGTGGCTTCCCCTTCATCAATTTTTCCATTTCTCATGTCCTTTAAAATACTTATAAATAAATATAACAGAACATCGTATGTTATTAATTCTTGCATTGAAATTTCCAGTGATTGGCATGTTATTTCTTATTTGTGGCTTTAAAGTATGTACAAACAAAGGTTTATGTTCATTGTATAATCGGTACATAATTATGTTAATAAATGTTACATATTTCCTCATTTATTAATGGCTAACAACATTACCTCAAACAACTGTAAGCTTTCCTCAATGGGCCTGTTTCTCCAAGGAGACGGAGGGGGATTAAATCCTTTAATTTCCTCTGATTTTTGATGGCACACATAGGCAAGATCCTTCTTGATCAGCTGAACTGCCCATTCATAAAGTTGATCAAAATAGTCAGAAGAGTGAGTGATTTTGTACGGCTTGTACCCTGTAAATTACCCCCAATATAGCAATTTACTATCATCATCAACCCATTTATATGTCCCAGTGCTGATCAAGTGACTCATCTCAGGCTTAGGCCATAGGCCATAGCCTAGCCATAATAGCCATCAGGGTTTAGGCCATAGTCCGCCATGCTGGGCCAGGGGAATTGGGGTCTTCACACATTTCAGAGAATTGTGAACCTTCTTCACTTTCAGTTTTAATCACAATGTTTTCCTTCACCGAAAAGGTCATGGTAAATTGTAAATTAAATTTTGCACATAAATTCCGAGAAACTCAAGGGTGTGAGCCCAAATTTGGACCCACATCCTCAGCTTGAGAGTCGGTAGGTCAAACCATTAGGCTACTAAGGCTTGTTTTATATAGTAATGAAAGTGGTATAATATTGACCAATTAAATTTTATATTTTAAAATTGTTGAATATTCAGCTAACAAAAGACATATCAAAATCCTTTCACCACGGCAATAAATGATGAGCTGATGCAAACAAACTTTACATGCAATGTCACATAATATTGTTATCTTAGAGTGAATACCTCATATGTGATTTCTATGTAATTTTTAGGACAAAGATATAAATTTGTTGTAAAATATAGTAAACACAGTATTAATGTTTGCAATTAGCATTTCATTAGTTAAATCATATATATCTCTTTCAAATGCTATATTATTGTAGTAATATATTTAAACAAAAGGTATGTAAGAGGGCTGCTGGTGCTGGTGGCGTTATGTCCTGTTGGATGGAATGTAGTAGTAGCCTCCGCAGCCTCCATACATCTTACTTACTAAGTTTAAAGTTCAAAGTTCAAAAGGGTAGTGGTAATAAATCGTTTTATAAGGCTTTACTATGGTTTTTAACAATACTTATGATCTTGAAAATGTATATTGTACAAGAGAATTTTAGTAAAATGGTAAGCAGAACAAAAAAATAACAAGATGTGTTCTCTGCCGTGATCGGGCAGTGAGTGACGATGGAACAATACAAAATCAGAATGCGAGGCAAAAGAATGGAACAATTCAACAAGTGTGAGAATAAATTAAGAAATTTAAATGAAAAGGTGGAATGATGATCAAGAAGGTCACACCGTCACAGGTATATGCATTTTGCTGCAACAAAAAATGAGTAAAAATGTGTATAAATTCTTAACCAATGTTTCCACTCTAAAGTGATGATTTGTGGATGGAACAATTTTAGAATTTTTTCAAGACACACTTTAAAAAAACAATCTTAGCAATACTTACCAAGCCATTCAACCATATCCCTAATTCCAACAAAGAATTTTTCCTCCTCTTTCTCAGGATTGGTGTCATCATACCTCAAAAAACAAACACCATCATGGGCAGCCGCATATCCAAAGTTAATATTAATGGCTTTAGCATGTCCTATGTGTAAAATACCATTTGGCTCAGGAGGAAACCTAGTTCTTACTTTTCCTCCTGTCATTTTTAAGTGTTCCTCTAACAATCTCTTAGTGTCAGGAGTAACAACATATCCATCGGCCTTGTAATTTTCTCCAGGAGCATGAAATGGCAATTTTTTCATTAATTCAGAAATAGACGATGCACCATCAACATCACCTGACGATTCACACTTATCAACTGCTGTTGTCACTGGAAAGAACAGATTATAATTCTAGTACAATTATTTTCTTATTTACCTATAAATACTTCTATATAGCTGTAATATATTAGGGGCATTATGAAAAAAATATTATTAAAATGGTATTTACAAGAGTTACATGTCAATGCTTCATCCACATGTGTGTGAAAAGAGACTTTTATTTTACATTTTTTTGTCTCATATAGGAATGAAATACCTTTACTATCTTCCTTCTTCTGTTTCTTTCCAGCATCTCCACTTTTGCCTTTTTTATCTGTTTTAGGAGGAGGAGCAAGGTCTGCTTCAGATTTTGGTCCTAATAGATCAAATATCTGCAAATTACAAAAAACTTTATTTTTGACAAAAACACAGTTCAATGTTTGTTTCTTGCCATAATTTTATAAGCAAATATTTAGTTTATTTAATCACAAAACAGTTGAGTAAACAATTACAAGGTTAATAAATGATAATGTTTATGCACTAATATCAAATATTTAGTCAAAGTACTTTTAAATAATCTACATGTAGATACCATGCATAAGCAATTTTAATATTAAAGACATTACCTGTATATCAACCTCATTCTTTATAGCCTTTCCATCAGCCCATGGTAGGTCAGCTCTAACTGCCTGCATGACGATGCCAGCATTGAATCTGTACCTTTTTTCCAGCAGCTCTTCCTTAAATTTAGCCATATGTTTTTCGACCGCCTGTTCGACCTGTTCAGGCGTAACTACGACACCTACACCACAAGCTTTCTCAAACCTGCTAATATCAACTTTGGTTTCATTTACATTATTAAGGAGGTATTCCAGGGCTGCGTCTACACGCAGCGTCGAGTCAAGCTTGCCATTTTTTATATAATCGCAAATAAAACCTAATTTATCGGCGATTTGAGGCTTGATTTTAGTCGCCAGATGGTAAATCAACATCCCCGCCCCTGCTGGTAAACTTGCGATATCCACCTGCAATTATTCATTATAAACGCATTACTCACCATTTGTACACACTTAACGAAGTTTTAAAAATGTATTGAACCTGAAATACTGCCGAAAACTTATTCTAACCTCGTTTATTGCAATCAGTAAATACTTCGTGACGTTGGCATTTTTCAGCGTTTCTTTCGCTTTTTGTTCACTTAAACCTAAGTGTTTTAATCTTTCTATTGTTTCTTCCGGCGACATTATAATTTATTTAAATGCTGTTACGAAATAAATTTAATGTTTTATATACAATCCGGCAAACACATAAGAAAAATTGCAAATTGAAATTCAAGCTGTCAGGTGTCAGAGTGTCAGTTTTTTTTTTCTGGCCATGGAAACAAAGACCTTCAGCCGAAAACATAAAAATAAGTTTTTCTGTAAATATGGCCGCCACAAAGAGGATAGGCAATTTGAGGCGGCGTGCTTGGATTGACTCGGAATTCCTTAGAACGGGCCGATACGGGTATTTTAGTTCGAGGTTCGTATAATTTCGCGTTTTAATCTTCGATTAAGACACAATAGCACTATCCTATTCCACTTTAAACTAGATTTCACAAAATAATTGAAAGTCGAAATAAAAACGACACTTTTCCCTCCAAAAATTCCAGAGCGAATCTCAGAGTGTCAGACAGATGCAGTGTTGCCAACTAGACTTATGCAAATGTCGCTACCGCTAGACGATTACTGTTGGGTAATTTTCCAAAAAAATTTAAATAGTGGAAATTTTTCCGTAAAAATTTGAAAAATTGGAAGGCTCATATTATGTTCTACGTTTAGAAATATCTTTTGAAGTTTTATTTAACGTGAATTGTAAAATAAACTCGTAATAGCTAAAAGTCACCTTTAGTCGAGCCAAGATAGCATTCTCTTTTTGACAATAAAGAATGGCGATAGAATGTAACTTAATAATTATTGTCCAAATAGGATACGAATTATTATATAATTTGTCTCCACTGTGAACACCAACGACGTGTTTATTGCGGTTAAATATACATATAGTATCTCTCAACAATAACACATAATTAAATTTAATATCTGCATTAAAGTTGTGATAGTTTGTATTTATGATACGTCATGTAAACGGTTGTTCTATGTTTTTTTCTTCTTGAACCTAATGATGCTTGCGGGACAGCAATAAGATAATACTGTTAAGTGATTAAAAATCATGTAGTATTGTTGTAGAAATATCCCCAGAAATTAAGCAAAAGCCATTATCGAAAATGTATATAATAAAAAACATTAATAAATGTATAATTTTGAATCAATCATTGCAAACACCGTTCAAAAGATTACTTTCTTAGAAAACATGTACCTATGGGTAAAGTAAAAATTTGATTTGGCACTAGTTGCACTCACTACATGCAGCATAATGCACATAAGTACGAGTGCGATAGCCTTGTAACCGTCTTGTTGTTTCTGTTCCTTGTAATCTCAGGCGGGTGTGAATACTACTAAATTCCTATACTCGTATATTAGTAACTAGTATCCTACTAGTATTAATGATACTAATTAAAGTGGATCGTGTCGCGGCTCTAAAACTGTCTGCCAAAAAAAGACTGCTTACTATCTTGGCACGACTATCGAGGAAAACGAGATTTAAAATGATTTCACGACCGCAAAAAATCCTGCAACAACCACACCATCACCACTTGTGGCATCATCTGTCATTTTCATTCAGTAACTTCAACTTTTGACAACTGTCAACGTCAAATACGCAAATTAAAGGAAAATATTGGAAAATATCAGGAAATTTTTTTTTTTTTAAATATTATTTTTTCAAAATGTAAATTTTCCATGACCCAACACTACTAAGCAGAAGGTTGTTGTCGCTAGTTATCGCTGAAACGTATTTGTTGCCACTCCGTATGAAAAGCCGACACATTATAAGGCTTATTTTATTGGTAAGAACTTTATGTCAAAGCACAGACAAAAGACCAATGCCCTTGACATAAGAAACCTATTGAGTAGCATGTTCAGTTAGCTTAAGATAGAACCATATTGGAGAAACCTAATTAATTAGGCGCCTAATTAGTTTGTCGCTAAATAGAAACAAAATTTATAGTAAAAAAGTCTATAGTATATTCATCTCTATTTTCCCATCACTAAGGTACAAATTTGTGTTATGCAAATATGGAAACGGGCGTCGACGTTTAGATGCAGTCGAGCAGTTTCGCGCGTCAACGCGTCACTTTAGCGGAGTGAGGCATAAGACGACGATCACACTGCGATCCGGGCGCACAAGTGTCGTCACGCGTACGACGCGTATCGCCAAACGTTGTAGTTGAAAAACAGGACACGACGCGATGCTTCGACTCTGCGCCAGTGTGAGTTGAGCCTTAGGTTCATAACTTTAAAAAAAATTTTATTAAGGCTTTGGCAAAGCCATCAGCCTCATCATGAAGTTCAATTATGTTTCTGTAAGTATGGCCGCCACAAAGACGATAGGCAATTTGAGGCGGCGTGCTTGGATTGACTCGGGATTCCTTAAAACGGGCCGATACGGGTATTCTAGTTCGAGATTCGTATAATTTCGCTTTTTAATCTTCGATTAAGGCACAATAGCACTATCCTATTCCACTTTAAACTAGATTTCACAAAATAAATGAAAGTCAAAATAAAAACGAAACTTTTCCCTCCAAATGAGCGAATCCCCTTAGGTTCACATTATATTCTACGTTTAGAAATATCTTTTGAAATTTTATTTATCGTGAAATAAAATAAACTTATATCGCCAAAAGGCACTTAAAAAAAAAAAATTTAAAATTATATCGCAACAGCGACAAAACATTTTTAATTGCTCTATCTTTTTCGTTCAGTAACTAACTTGTCAATGTCAGGTATTTGTATCCCAAAATTTCAATTCTCTTCCATGGCATGTTCTGTGGAATTGGTCTGAATTAACGAGGATATGATGTGCGAGACGAGACATGAAATATTTATTGTAATATTCAATCATATATCGCCTACGTAGTGTTTATTAACTTCGCACTAACAAGATTTAAATTTTTAGTTTGGGCACAGTAGAGATTGCAGACGAATTCTCTTTTGTTGCAAACATGAGCTCTAATTGATCGATTATAATGGTCATTTATAAACCTTCAATACATAGACCGGCTGTAAAAAAAAATAGTAAGTGTAATGAAAAATAGTAAGAATATGAAAATTACAGTTTATCAAAATATTTTCCTCCAACCCTCACACACTTTAGTATTCGGATGGACCAACTTTCAAAACATTTAAAAACTTATCTTGCGGAAGGTCGAAAAATAACCTTCGACGGCCTCGTCTGCGGTGTTAAATTTTCGCCCACTAAGCATTTTTTTACTGTGGAAAATAAAAAGAAATCGCATGAAGCTAAATTTGGGCTGTACCTACGGAGGACGGGGTAACATTTGTATCCCCGAAGTTGTCAAATAGTCGATGGTTTTAACAGCTGTGTGAGCGGGCGCGTTATCTTGGTGAAAACGAATGTCACGGACTCCGCTCCTTGGGTTCTCGCTATTCAACTTCCCGCAAGCTTGAGGCTGACAAACTTTGCAATACTACTCACTAGTAATGTTCTACGGTCTTCTTGCAAAATCACTGCTACTGGGCCCTGATTTTAATTCAAATCGGAATTGATCCGATCGGGTAGCCCATACGCAATATTATATGCCTCGACTCGGAAAAGACGCAGTTTCCGATCGGGAGAGGCAATCAAAATCATGCTGCTGGTCCAATGCGTCGAAAAAGAACCGCTATCATTTTTCTTATTAACGTTCCGACCGCGAACAACTTTTATAGGCAACTCGTCTTCTTCAAACACCCATTGCGTGGATTGCTGCTTCGTGAGAGGGTCGTAGCTGTAGATCCAAAATTCGCCGATTGCAAGGATGCAGGATACGTTGTGAAGTTTCTCCTTCGAACTTTTCTAGCATAAATTTTCACCAATCAATAGGATGGGATTTTTACTTTCGGTGAGAGAATGAGGTATTAATCGCGAAGCAATCTTCATAACTTAACTTTAAACTGTTCAAACGGGATGGTGGAAACTGCCTGTGATTCAATCAACCGTGACGACGTTTTCATGAGTTACTGCATTTAGTGATCGGCCGGGTCTGGGATCATCGTTTAGGTTCTCTCGACCACGTTTAAATTCTCGAAACCAATAAGATACCCCCCATAATAATTGTAGTAAATCTTTTGACTTACTTGAAATACCATTACTTGCTTTTTAACTTAAATATTATGCTTTTTTATGTACATACCTACCTATATCATTATCATAGGTCCCAAGTTTAAAAGTAAAAACAACCATGTGTGATTTCTTTAAGGAACATAAAAACAATATATATAAGTAAAAATTGAGTTTTTTCAGGAAATGTGTTTTCACACCATATCGGTGTGTATATTATCATATATACCTACACTAATCAGTATATATATTATCCTCAAATTTACTATACATATATTTTTTCTAAAGTAATTGATTCAACACTTTCAGTGTTAAAGCCGAATTAACAGTGGCGTATACATTACTTAATTTATAGAACCCTTCACACGGTGATTAACCTGCAAAAAAACGCACACAGCTGTATACATTTATCTCATTCGACTTGTCAAGCAAATAATCGAATGATCTTTAACGTATTCGGTGTGCAGTGGCGCATAGTATTAATGCACATCTTTCACACGGCACGAAGTCATACGTTTTTTATCGTATAGTCACCGAACAACGGGCGTCTATTGAAGTAATCTTTTGGAAGCATACACGCACGCATAATTTTATTAATACAAAGTGACCGGCGAATCTTCTGTGGACAACAATTTATTTATTGATACCTTTAGTGGAACAAAGACGCCGTTTTGTAGGACAAAACTTTGGAATTGTATAAACCCAATACCTTCTGTTTTTCCGGCGGCAAAGCCGTTGGCGTCTCCTATGCCAATATAAAAGTGCAATAAAGCGTGAGTCCATCACAGATGTGTTTTCAGGGCGATTGCTGTGTGAATACTGCGACTATCCGTCTTTTAACCGCATGAAAATATATCGTGTGAACACCCCGCTGTCTATTCGTTTATAATAATAACGTTAGGTTACACGTGCGTGCAGGACAATGCCGTGTAAACCAAGGCTTATACGGAATCAACCAAAGCCATTAGGGTTGTATCGACTGTTAAGGAAAAAACGTAAAGATGCGCATGAATCACCCGCCTTCAGGAAAAGCCTCCCGACGCGGGCTCGAGACGTAGTTTGCGTACGTTAAGTCGGTTCCGTAGTGCGCCCCTGTTAATGATATCCAAGTCCTTATTAGATTGA